TGTTTTTCCCCCCCCCCCCCCCCCCCAGCTTCCCCCCCCCCCCCCCCCGTCCGTGTCGGCGCCAGTCTATTACTCTTTTTCATGTGGTTTCGGGTGAAATTGAGAGTGTAACGAAAGGGCGACATCAACCTCGGCAACTATTCATAAGCGGTGTGAACCAGCCGTGTTCATGCAACCTCTGTACAAGTACCGCCGTACGTTGTATAGGCTTGGAGCCTCAAAGGCAGGTGGCATAGCATGCCTCACGATGTTCACCCCGCAGCGCCGTCTCTATGCGATAGATCTATAGTATCCATCTTGGAGCAGCCGTGTTCATGCATTCCATATCGATCTTAGCCGCCCAAGGTTTCTCTGTTTAGGTGCGGCGATTGCTACAGCAGCAGTACACTATTACAACTGCTGAATGGAGGTGCAACACAGCCACCTAACGCAGGCGAAACTCGACCCCTGACGCCGCCACCCCACCCTTGCGCGGCGGACAAGCTGCTGCGGCCAACGAGTAAGAGTGCCGTAACACTTGCGCCTGGGGGTGAACATGTACCTAGGCCTCTGCCCGGCACCCGCGCGGCGACATTTCCTTCTTGTTGGGTGCCTGGTCGGTACTGTAGACTATAGACTACCAAAGTACCCAGGCAGCAGCGTCTCATTCTTTGGGTAAAGTCGGGTTGCTGGTGCACTAATACTCTCGGCGCTGATGGGTGTTGCAGCTTCCGGACAAGCATGAACACGGACGAAGAAGGGTACGCTGCTGTCAAGGAAGCAAGGAAGCGCGGAGGGGGGGAACAAGCCCGCCGGAGAGAGGAGAGTAACGGGGGGGCAGGACCACCGCCGACTGGGCACACATATTTCAAAATGAAAAGAAAGTCAAACGGGATTACAAGCATCTAACTGCACACGCAAAAGAGAGTATGCCAATAGGGCAATGCTTTTGAGGCATTCGCGGAGATTAATTGCGCGCAAAGCAGTAGTCTACACATGCAACGCAATGGCGCTGTGTTTACTGTAAAACAACACCCGGCAAACCACAAGTTTACCGCACTCAATAACGTCGCAAATAAACTCGACAATATATCGTACCTCATTTGCGGTATGCCCACCATGGACGGCTTCCAGGGCTGCCAGGATATTGTTGTACAGCGCCTCGTCCATCTCTTCCTCTCTGCAATACGCACACAAGCAGCGTGCGTCTGCTCGTGGGGAGGAACAGCAGCGGGATCCTGGTCATCAGGGGTCCGAAAACAGCCCGAGGTGGTGTATGCATCGTACACGGTCTATTGTACGGAACCCCTCCTGGCCGGGCCGGCCAGCCTACTCTGCCTGTGTTGCAGCGGGCTTCAGAACGAGAGAGAAAGAGACAGAGACGGACAGACAAAGCATGTGCCAGCGACTCGCGGTACCCTTCCTCCTGATCGTCCAGGCCAGGTTCGTTTGGAGGATAGATGTTCGACGGAATGACTGCTGTGGAAACCTATCTAGCTCTACAAGCTTTGTGCACCTATTGCTGTCATAGACCACGGCCTTGTAGTTGAGCTCTGCTGCCCGCGTGCGGGGAGGGCGTGTGTGGGTTGGTTGGCTGATACCTCCGTCGCGGTTGTACTGGGAAATCACTGCTGTGATGCTCCAAAATGGTATGGAATCGACGGAATCTATGCTTGCCTCGCCTTGACACGAACACCGATACGTACGATGAGTATTTCCACCGCTACAATCCCAGCAGCACGACGTATCTACTGCATGATACAGCAGTAGGCCTTGATATAGTACAGCAGTAGTCCATGCACAAGCCAGCCATACAGCATGCTGTCTCTCGCGCGATCCGTCTCTCCCCCCCTCATCTCGCTCTTCCTCTAGCGTATTTCAAATATCTAATGTAAAAGGTCGTGTTCGAGAATGACTCTGTTGGTTTGCTGTCGCTTGGACTGCTGCTGTAGACTACTTGTAGACATCTCACTAAATAGTGGCGTTGCTGAGAGCGAAAGGTTGCGTCTCCTCTGTGCCATCCTCTCTCGACCTCTTGCATCACAGTAGTTCGCCAGCGACAAGTATATTTCGACCCCCAACTCTGCAACCTTCTACATACCACACTGCTGACTCCTGGTCAAAATTCGCCCCTGGCTCACGCCACCACTACAGTACCTGCAGTACCGCAGTACCGCTGTCGTCACCCCCCCCGCCCTGCGCACACAGCCTCGGCTACTGCCCCCCGAACGCATTAAGGACGACGGACACCTCAGCCCCGTCTTGGTTCAATGGACATCCATCAGCGCGACAACGACGGTCGTCGCATAGCCGGCATCAACAGCGACCCAGAGGGACCGGTAGACGCGGCAGCAGCAGCAATCCTTCAGCAACGTGCCATGCGACCCACCTCCACCACCAACAAGGGCCGGGGCGGAATCAACGCGCAGGCAGCGGTAGCGCCATTGCCGCTGCGAGCGGAAGCGGATCGGGGGGTGAAGGCGGGTGCAGAGGGGACGGGGGGGTAACGGGAGCAGCCGTGGGTGGCCGGCGGCGGAGAACTTTCCTGACGGGCTTGAGGGCCAAGAGGGTGGCGGGGGAGGGGGTCTCGGAGGAGCAGGAGAAGGCCAGGGCGGCGCATAGGGCACGGCTTGCGGCGAGGCCGAAGCCCCCACCAAGAGAACACGTCCCGCCGCCGCCGAACACGCAGGTGAGCTGGATAAGAACGTTTGTAACGGTCCTTTGGCAAATGGCGGTGACTTGTCGTTCTTGTGCGGCTTTGCAGCGGTAAAAAGTGGTCGGTTTGATGGTGTAGCTCGCACACGTGGAACGAACACTCCATGGCGGCGCGCGTTGGTGCGTGGCTGTCGGCGGCAGTCCCCGCGCTGGACGCGTCTGACATCGCACGTGCCGGCGTCGGCTGTGGACGTGAACGCAGGCGCTAAACGTGGTGCTGACGCACACGACGGCGGATTTCGACACCTTGGCGGCGGCGGTAGGGCTGGCCAAGCTTTGGCAGGACGAGCGCCCGGACGACGGTAAGGGCGCGAAAATGAAGGGCTACTAAAGGAACCTGTGGTTTTAATCGCCTCCGATACTGCGTGCAGGTGTGCTCCCGCCGCCGCCCCTTGCCAAATATAGATCACGCCTGGTGGTGAGGGCTCGCAAGCTTGAACGGTTTACCGTAGGTTGCTTGAGGTAACGTGCCACACACCTCGGGGCCGATTTTCGAAGCTCGAGTACTCTGCAGAAAATACAGCAGTAACGGTGCCGGAAATGGTGGCATTGGAACCATCTCGTGGACAGCTTCCGATAACGTATCATTCGACGGCGGCATCCCCTTCGTGTTGCAGTAGTGGGGCTTTGGAGATGGTTCCGGGGGGTAGGGTATATTTCGCGACCCACAAGACAATGTTTTCACTCGCTGCATTGCTCGAACTCTCTTCGCGTTACCAGTATTTCATCAGCAACAGTACATGCGGAGGAAAAACCTCAAGCCTTTGCTTGTACTTGGTGGGCTTTCCTTCGGAGTTTCCTCGTTGCCATGCGTGCGTGCTATAGAACGAGCCGAAATCAAACCAGCGCTGACTAGTCTAATGGTTTGATTTCGGCTTCACTGACAAGCCTAAGTTGATTGATTTGGGCTGCTACTAATGGGTTGATTTCGGCTGCTATAGTACCCGTATGCAGATATGCGTGCGATTCTTCTTTGATGAGCTGATAGCATAGCCACCGTTACACCTCGCCGCGCAGAGTGCTGCGTGTGCCTCCCACGCGGCACGCACCCGGTAGTCAAGCGCTTCCTGACCCTCCACAAGAACCTCTTCCCCATCAAGGCGCTGAGGGACATCGATCACGACCGGGTGAGGACGAGCGCGAGCATATCCCCACCCCGACCAGACCTCCAACCTAGCGTGTCTATTCGGTCTTGGGTGTAAGAGTTGGATGGCTGGTCATTCCCCCACGTCATAGTTAGCTAGACTCGGGGTAATGTTTTGTGTGCGCGGACCTGTGTAGCGTGTCTGGTTCCATGTAACGGCTATGATGGTGTACGGCTACGCAAGTAAGCTGTTGGTGGTCCGATGGTAGCCGAAGGCTGGTACACTACTGGTCGTGCGTGGGGTATTTGGGGGCATTTGGCCGTTTGAGAACGCGCACGAAAGTCCTCTTTCTTCGCCCCACCTGCTACTTTTCTCAGACATCACACAGCAGGCACAGCAGTTACATGCGACGTGTTTTCTGTTTGTTTCGTGTCGGTAATGTCTTTTCTGCTGCTCCTGCTGCTGCTGTGGCCGGCTGATGCCCGTCCGCCCCTGTTAAGGGTGACATGACGGCCCTATCGCCACGAAGTGTACTAGTCTATACCTTGAAGTCAAAGTGGTGGTAAACATCTGTTTAGAGTAATTTTTTTCAGTGCCCTTGTGGCTGAGGTTTGTCTGTTTCGCACCTCGATTAAATTTTCCGGTCAAATCGTGCCGCAGATTTTCCGAGTTGGGCTCGTGGACGCTCAGAAGATCGACAGGATCGGGACTGCGGCTTCCCTTCTGGCGAACGCCACAGAGGTATTCTTGATTTTCACTCTCTTGATTACATTCTTGAATATGTTCTTGATTCTATTCTGTCACAAACTCTGTGGTGCTGGGTGCTGGTGCTATGCCGGAGGAGGGGGTGACGCAGTTTACTCTGTACTAGCATTTTTGTGGCATATGGGGAGCAACAGCGGTGGTAGTGGGTTGGAGAGTTGCTGGCGACCACGGTTGATGCATACTCTTATCACCAGTCTACGCCATAAGCGCCACGAATTAGTTTTTGACGTCTACTTTCGTTTGCGGCGGGATGTGTCACGCGGCTGCTAAGCCGGTGCCGGAGAATGTACAGGCGGGGGAATTGCGTGCCTTTGTTGAAGCAACCCATGGCTTTGCCCTACAGCCGTGCCGGACGACGAGCATGTTCACCCGCACCCTCGACCTTGTTGCTGTTTTCATCGTGCGGTGCCTTGGACTGAGGCAGGTTCACGTGGTCGACCACCACAATGAGCAGAGCTCGGATATCAACGCCACTTCTATCGTGATCGAGGAGGTGCGCGTTGTACCATGCATATAAAACACGATTGAATTGTCGGTGCCTCCGCCTCCCACGAAGGATCGCCGAAAGATGCCTAAATGGAAATTCATCAGCAGTCAACGTACAAGAGTTGTGTTTTCAGTTTTGAGGATGAGTAGTGCCTTTTTCAGGATTGAATTGTACAGCGGCAAAGCAGCAAGTAATGACAACAATGACCCATTGTCATGCCGCAGCATTGGACATCCTCGCGCCTGCCGTGGCTGGGTCTAGGCAACGATAATGAATGGTTTATGATTCCAACCGGCACAACGGATGATCGATGGTGCTTGTGTGGATGCATGTGGTATGTGTTTTTGCAATATAATAGGTGGGGTCCGTCTCAACGATCATTACGGAGAAGCTGCAGGAGAGGGGTTTGCAGATGGAGGAAGCCGAGGCCACGCTGCTTGCTTTGGGGGTGCACTCGGACACCGGGTCGCTCACGTTTGACTCCGCCACGGCCAGGTATGCGTGTGTATTTATTTTTTGCATCGACCGCGCTAACCGGCTGACCAATGAAAAGACGTCAGTGCCAGCGGGTAAAATCAAGGTCCGTGGAAGGGGGCCAAAATTCATAATGTGCGCAATGCGCTAAACGCGAATGCGAATACGACTCTCATATTCTTTCACATAGACACATATCACAGCTCCACACATGCCCTCGCCCGAACCTAGGAAGCCACTGATGCAAAGAGCGGAGGACAGCAACAGGGTTAATTCAAGCCCAGCCGAAAGCCTGGATATCGTGGTATGCTCCATCTCCCAATTTGATAATCGTACACTCCCAAGATCCAACAGTCATGTCAGCAGCTAGATGACTCAAACAAAATAGCAACACATACACTTTGCCATAGCTCCACACATGCCCTCGCCCGAACCTATGCGTGTGTGTGTGTGTTGAGACCTCAACCACTTTCGGCTGGGTCGATGCAGATCGGATACCGATCGTTTTCGCTGCTTGGAAGCACGTGATTTTCATCGAACGATTGATGCATCGCCGTCTTGCTGGAACCAACCCCGCGATTCGTCCATTTTTGCTTTTTTGTTGAACGACAACCGTGTGAGATTGGAGCTGTTACTCTATGATACAACCCTTATATTTCTTCGCAAATACGTGTAGTAGTTCTGGAATTTCTTTCTCTCTATTTAGACCTTGTATGGTGCTCGTATTTTCTATTTCCTTACAAGGTCTCCCTTCGGGACGTGGGTGTCTACCCTCCCTCAGGTGACGCAAGACCACATTCGCATTGCCCGAAGAGGGACTGTGTGTCTTGCAACGCTTGTATTTCCGCACAAAACATCGCGCACGTTGTTGTTCTACATTGGAGCCAGCTCGAGCGGACAATATTCTGGCAGCGAAAACTCAGACTCCCATGATGTCTTTGATTAATGATGGCAGATTTCCGATGAGAACTGAACTTGAAGCCGAAACAACACCACAAATGGAACGTGTTCAACACTGCGGCTGGATGCATGCTCTCAGACTTGTCTACACTTGGCCCGCTGCGAAGTGTAGTTAACGTAGGCACTGCTGTTGGACAATGCGATGACACGAAGAGTCACAGCCATGAATCATCGAATTAAAATTAATGAATGAACGAATGATAGTGGAGAAGCAAGAGACAAATATTTCAAACCGTCGCATTTGATGGGTTTGATGAGTTTCAGAATTGGTTCGCCAGGCTTTGTCAGCGCGGAACGCGTCCCCGGGGTTTTGAGCCAGTTTTCGCAACTTTGGCCGTCAACCACACGCGCCACGGAGGCCTATCGAGCTCCGGGCACGGGCGCTAATGTACCGACGAGCCTCCTGCGTGCCCCTGAGAAGGAACCGCGATAAAAGACTCGCTGCCGCGAGAGAAAGAAACGCCGAAGCATGAAAAGTGACCAAATCTTATATGTACATGTAACTACAGGTAGCACCGACGCCACCCAAGGACGTGGCAGAGAGAGCAAAGAAACATAAGTTGTTGAGAAGGGTAAGGTAGCACGCATTTGTGGCGCATCGTCAGGAACCTTTTAGCGTAGATGAGTAGCTCGTGGGGGGAATAAGAGAACTCAACCTTCGAGGAAACAAACAGGTGTCAAAGGGGGAGCTGCTGGTCTGTAACCATCAACCGGTGTTATACAGGAGGGGTGGAAATTGAAAACAGACAACTGCACACATTTTTGTTTGAAAGGAGCTTCAGAGAAGAAGCTCGAAATTAGGAAATAATTACTTCGCTGCCAGGGCTCGACAGAAGGGCCGATGTGAGAGGTCACGGAAAAGAAATTTCCTGAAGAAATTTCCTGGACGGAGAGCTCAAGAAGAAGAACTCGATGAAACAAGTTTCCCTACACCGATATTTTGTATTTGATCATTTTCGCCTGCGTTTTTGCCAGGGATGCCGTGGCTTTGGCGTGGCTAATGGAGCAGGGGTCGAGCCAGCAGGCGATCGCGGAGTATGGGCACGCCGCGTTGAGCCAGGAGCAGCAGAGCACCCTCACGGAGTGCATCAACAACCTCAACAGGTGCGGCAACATGAAGTTAAAAGAGGATCGTGATGTCCGGCGTAGACAAGCAGAGTGAGGGTTTTGTAGGCGGGGTGGTTCATGTTGTGCTGGGAGTACAGTATTGCTCTCGTACAATCGTTTAAGGCCGGTGACCCCGACGCCCACAATCTCAGCAACGCGTGCTTTCTTGAGTCGCAAACTAATGTATTCGTATTTGTAACGGTCTATTGGCTACATATGATAGTCCGCTCGTTTGTCCTGTGGCGTATCGTTCCGTTGTCGTTCGTTGTTTGCTGATTGCCCATCGCATCACATGTCATGGCGTTATGGCAGGACATCGCTGAACGGAGCCACTGTTTCGACGGCTCTGGTGCAACTGGACAGCTACGTCAATGGCATGGCCGCTGTTGTAAGTGTACTCGTGCGACATAGCGCTCTGTAGGACCCTCGCCCACTGGACAGGCGAACCTGGCCACCCTTTCGGAACAGTTTTTGACCATAGATATCTCCTTCCAACCGAACCGGCAAGAGGGCGTCGAAGCCAAAGCGGGAAGAATGCAATGTCGAAAGCTGTTGACAAAGATGGTTCTTTTAGCTCTGTTCTACCTTCGCTATAGTAGTCTTGACTGTCGGCCTTTTTTGAGATAGCTCCTCCGTTCAGATGAATCTGGGAGGGCTTCTGTCAAATGTTTTGGCCAGCCTTCACCTAAAAATTCGTCGCTCTTACCATCGTAAAATAGCCTATGGATGATCCACCATCCACCATACTGACTTTACAGATGGTGCACAACAGCAGTGTCCTGCGATGACGTAGAAGAGATAATCTGCAAGCGATCTACAAATGATCCATGTGACGACGATGATGCACCCCCGGTATCTGTGCTTTCGGAAACAACGCTCTGCTCCTCGCAACAAACGAAAATAATGGAACAGGCTCAGAACGTTCTAGACGTTACCGACAGCGATGTGTTCATGCTCGGAGCGCACTTCCCTCAGAAGCTGGGGAGGGATCCCACTCACATGGTGGTCATCGGGAGGGCAAGGGTAAGCAGCACGCCTATCACTATATTAATACCACGTGTATATGAATCGGTTTTGTTTGTTGAGTCCGCACGGTTTGTTTGTGCGGAAATTACTACTGCTGGCTTCCAACAGGCTTGCCTGTGGCTGCTACGTTAAGATGAATGACTAAATGACGGGGGTACAAGAAAAAAAAATATCGTCGCGCGGACCCGTCAGTAGCTTCTACGCTGTTGCAACGTTGATCAAGCACCGGCCATAGCGGTGGGAAAAGAAAGAGAGTCAAAGCGGGAGTCAAAGCGGGAGTCAAAGCGGGAGTCAAAGCGGGGACGACGCTGGTCGAAAGGCGAGAACGTGGAACAGACTCGGCGCAGAAGTTGAACTGGATCTCGGGAGACTACACTTGATGCGAGGAAGCTGTCCGACACTCACCCGAAACCGAGGCCACAGACGCAGCGTGTGCACACATTAGCTAGCGCACGAACGCCCAGAGTAGGGCCGGTGTGAATGGTGGTACGTTTGTGGTTTTATCGCCAAGCCACGAGGTTGAGGTGTAGGACAGGGCGGTGGAATCGAGCGGATGATGTTGGTGCAGGGTGGGTGTTGATGTCGATGGCGATGGCCATGGAAACCTTATCCTTGCAGCTACTGGTACGGCTGTTGCTGTATACGGTATGACACAACTTGCACGGCAACCCAGTCGCGTTGCATGGAACATTAAAACCCGGAACATTCGAGTTCTACGACAAGCGTCACGAATTGGTCTGCACGCAATACTGCTGTACCACGATACAAATGGTTTAGTGTAAACCAACCACAGCACGGACTGGAAATCGATGAGTAAAGTAGTCATGTGGCGAGGTATGAGATCACGTCAGGGAGTTTGGGTTGGTCGGAACGCGTTTGGCTTGGGTCATGATTAGTTGCGCTTGCTGCTCGCACAGAGGCACATGTGCATGTGTATGGACTTCATCGCCGGGCACGAGATACTGGTACAAGATCGTTTTGATTAACCAAGCGGGCACAGCGAGTTTTTGCCGGCACCCCAACCTTCAAGCAAAACAGATTGGTTTCCCTGTTGTGAAGGCGAATTTTTTTTTTCTCTTTTTTGAGTTGATGTCATTAGCGCGTTTCGTTTATATTCTTTATTGAAAGTGTTTTTCCTCGTTGGATAGTCTCCTCCATATTCACATACTTGACCACGGCAACTATTATAGTAATTAGCTTAATCTTGCCTTTTCATGACCTTTGTTCTTGTTTTTGTCGTTTTCACGGATTCTCGCCTTGTTTGTTGGTCAGCCGCGAGTGAGCAAGGTGAACCTGGACGATCTCATGTCCAACTACGGGGGAGGGGGGCACCGCAAGGTCAGTCAGTCAGTCAGTCACTCACTCACTCACTCACTCACTCAGACAGTCGCAGTCTGCTTTACCGGTGCTAGTGATTTCTTCGAAGTACTGTTGTTACAATCACCGGTGATGTGAAAAGAGGGCCACAGCAGTGACACCGAGGTTGTCACACACACACGCGCAGTTTGTTTGCGGTTTTTATCCCGCTGTAAAAGATTGACGCATTTTCATTGGTCAACCGGTTAGCGCGGTCGGTGCTTACTCAAGAAACATACACACGTAACTTGGCCATTTCGACGACTCGAGGGTTTTCTAACGGAGGCTTTCAAAGGAGGGGGGGGATGGGAGTCAGACATCGCTCTCGGTTGCTTATGGAAGAACTTGCCAATTCGAATTCTTTTTCACTTCAAGTAGTATCTTGCATCGTCGTTGGGGGGGGTCGATTGCCATCTTCGAGAACTAATGTGTTAAGTAGCTCATTTGTTGATTTGTGTTACCGCATCGTTTTGCACATTTTTTCTGTCTGCTTGAAGAAATGAAAAAGAAAAATCCATGTCATTTGTATCCGTGGAAAAAGGTGGAAGAGTAGGGTCCATGAGGTGTTGCTTGTTCGACGGTTGGACGGACGATGCTGATGCTGCTGCTGGTGTTGACGACAGCTTTTTTGGTTTTGGTTTTCTTTGGTGCCATGTACTTCCTGGTGTGATTAACCTCGACGGGCATTTTTTGTGTGTCGAAACAGGCTGCCGCGGCGTCGCTACGGCTGAGTTCAGTGACGATGCGAGGGGGTGAACCGGCCACGGCTGCAGGCATCATGCAGGTGGGGCGTACATCGCTTTAGCCTTGAGAGAGTCTTGGAGCGGTAGTGGCGGTGGTTTGCCGATGGTACCGTCTCGACACCGCTACAGTAGCATGGCATAAGATGCCATGCAGTGCGTGCCGTGCGACCCATACACGAACGACGGCCGATAGATAGAACACACGCTGCACTTGTTGTTTAGGGCATTGGTCGATTGTGTTGGTTGTACTGGAATGCTAGTACAATACATATATACTTGGAAGGTATACTGCTGTTGATAAGCCTTGTTGTTGTTGATGATAAAACCCTTGTTGCTGTTATTGACGATCCTTGTTGCTGTTGTCTCGGCAATGCTGTTGTTGATTGTGTAGCCCTTGTTGCTTTTGCTTTTTTGTTACGCGTTCTTGCCTCTATCTCCCTAACATCATCAGCACCAGTCCAACGGGCTACACACCAACCTCCAACGTCACAGGCTGCCCCAATGATTAGGCTATTTGTTTCCTTCGTGAGTGACCCAATGATTTGGCTATTTGCTTCCTTCGTGAGTGACCCAATGATTTGGCTGTTTGCTCCCGTCGTTCTTGGGGGCATGACAGGATCTGGTGGACAGAATATTCGTGGAACAGATTTCCGAGCTAGAAGTGGCTGAGGACATCATGACTGCCCCGGTGCAGACATGCGGTGCCACAGAATCGATCGAGGAAGTCTCCAAGTGAGTACTCGAAGTTGTTTTTGTCGCTATTTGACCGTTTGATCTGTTGCTGCCGGTCTCTCGGGTTAACAGCAGTAGTCTTCCTTGCCCCTTCTGAAGGTACACGCTTTCGGATTGTGCCTGCTGCAGATTGTTTGCTTTGCTGATTGCTTCGTGGCGAAAAAATTCACCAGTCGAAAGTGGCGTCCGTCAAGAGCAGTACGACAGGTCTTCGAAAACGTCTTGTTTTCAAGATGACCCATGTCTCGAAGGCAAGGTGGTCTAGACATCAACGTGGCCTGACCAGTCAATGGGGATTCGTTAATAGCACTGTTACAATTCTTGTCAAAATGAACCATGTTCTGGAAGACATGGTTGGCCTTCTTGCTAAATGCTGTGGGATTCGTCCGTCGATCCCATCCGTTGTCAAGAATGAAGGGTGTGATAATGACGATGGGAAAGCATGGTGCGTTGCGTCTAAGGAGGCACAAGTGTGCACTGCTGTGTCCATTTCTAGTTCGACTGCCCCGCCCCCGCATAAACTGCTGTATCGACGAGATTATCACCCCCCCCCCCCCCCCCCCATCATGTTGTGCGGGATCGAGAAACCTCACTCCGCGCAACGGGGGATGATCGCACCACGTTGTGTTAAAATGGTCAAGCTTCCTCGAGGCAGTTACACAGTGCTTACAACTGTCTCTGGAAGTGAAAGCACCAGAAAATAAATTAAGTCATACGCAGCTGTCATCCGTACGCAAGGAAGTAAGCACAAGATGCCGAACACCCTTAGCAGGATGCAGCTCACCCTTCATGCGACTCGCCAAATACCTCACGGCGCTTCGCGCTGGGTGATGTGAGAGCCTGGTCCGGTGAGAACCCGGCGTGCTCCGTCCCGGCTTTGTAGGGATGCGAGGTCAATGGTCAAACGACTACGGCATGCACGACTATGAGTACAACCCCCCCCCCCCCACTATTACGTTGGTGTGGTGATCTCGAGACTAGCCGGCTAAATAACAAGTTGCTGGTACTTTCTAGCAGCGCTACTACCGTACCGACGCCAACTACCATCTTTCAGTCATGCAAGAATGCCGTCTTTCAGTCACACAGAATGTCGCGACGTTCACGTTCTGAGAATTTTCCGTTATCCCTGCGAGGGAAGCACTCATGATAAAACACCACGTGGTCGTGCTCAACCACCGTACCAAAATGTCTTCTTGTTGGTGTCTTGGCAGGGTGTTGTCCAGGCACGATATCCGAGGGATGCCTGTCGTTGACGAGGAGGGGAAGGTGCTGGGCCTGATCTCTTGCAAGGAGGTGAGAGACCACTTTTGGTGAACACCAACGCCAAAATATGAAGACATTTTTATTCACTGCAGTACCCTCTGCAAGCCGGTACATGCTCGTGCGTGAAACATCTTAGCTAGTAGAAGTACACAGTAAAAGAGCAACCCACATTTGCGATCGGTAAAGCTTGAGCATGCCATTTCATTTCAACAAGTTTTTCGAGCATTTCGGTGTGATGACCGCGCCACCCCCCAGCCCCCCATACTTACTATTTTTTTCTAAATAGTTTCCACGCACACGCCCTATAGGCTACTTCCGTCAATAGTTGTGCCGTGCGTGTTGTTTTTCTGCTCAACAGCACCACGAGAGTCCGGCACTTTTTTCGTATCGCCCCTTCTCGCTGTCTCCGTGTGTCTGTCTCTGCGTTCCTCTTGCTGTGTCTCTGTCTCTGTCTGCTTGTCTCTGTCTATCCGCCTGTCTCTCTCCCACACGCAAAACTTTTCATTGGTCAGCCGCCTAGCGCGGTCGATGCTATTTCGAAACCGCACACAAAACACATGCCCGATGGATAGATTGGTGAATGTACCACACGCGTGTTGACTGAACTTAACCCACTGCAGGTGGAGAAAACGGTGAAATTGGGGCGACAACACGAGCTCGTCAAGGGTTGGATGAAGGAGCAGGTACTTGTATGTATGCAAACACATCACAATCGATGAAAAGCAGATAGACTCTGCGTGTATCGTGGCACCGGCAAGGGTAGACCTCCGGCACCATGTGGAATCGATTGATCGATTGACCGCCCTTCTCTGTGGTGTATTGCGCATTCCACACAAGATAACACACCCAGAAGTGATACCCCTCCCCCCCCCCGCCCCGCCCCGCCCTGGTGTTTGCCATCGGGGGTGGGTTTTAGTTGCTTGGCAACGACGTTGTAAAACAAGCCGATCACTTTGTGAGCTCGGCAACCAGGCTACTGCTTTTTGTTTTTTCCCTCTGTTTTTTTTTTGCGGTTACCATAATGAATGGTGGTCGAGTAGATTTTGTTGTGCAGGGTCGAAAACTCGCACTCCGCGCATAGGAGATGATCGCACCACGTCGTGCTATGTTGGTCAAGCACCCTCGAGGCAGTTTCACAGTGCTTATAACTGTCTCTGGAAGTGAAAGCACCAGAAAATATGTTAAGTCATACTCAGCTGTCATCCGTACGCAAGGAAGTAAGCACAAGATGCCGAACACCCTTAGCAGGATGCAGCGCACCCTTAATGCGACTCGCCGAATACCTTACAGGGCTTCGCGCTTGGTGATGTGAGAGCCTGGTCCGGTGAGAACCCGGCGTGCTCCGTCCCGGCTTTGTAGGGATGCGAGGTCAATGGCCTAACGACTACGGCATGCACGACTATGAGTACACCCCCCCCCCTTCACAAACTTTCCACACTCAGTAATACTCTTTGTAAAGGCCAAAATGCCATCAGCGGGTGTGCTGTCTTGTGTGGTATGGTATGCGGTAGATTAAAGAGAAAACACTGGTTTTGGTAGGACTCGCAAAGCGTCCTGTCCAGGCGGGTCACCTCCCACTCCTCTAGCTGCTCTTCTCATCGCTCTCTGTTTCCATGCCACAAACAACCCGCGTGCGTTTCGTGGTCGCTCTAGTAGCTGCGATACGATTTCTGACGAGTTAGCTGCCAACCGTCTTGTCGTCCCCTCGGTGTTTACGGTGTTGATCCAAAAACCATGGGAAATCCCATGGGAAACACCATGGGGAACAAACACCGTGGGCGTCGTGTCGGCGTTGGTCTCGCTCGGTTGGCAGTTCCCTGTGGCGGATGCCCAGGACCCATTGCACGAAGTGGAAGAAAAGTTCATCAAGGTGTGTATGTGGTCTTCATGTGTGCTTGTCTTTCATGATTGGCATCGACCAGTCTTCTAACCGGCTGCACTACTGCTGTCATGTGTGTGTGTTTTCCCGTCTTTTTATCAACAGCAGTCGCACGCTTGCCCGGTGCTTTCAACCTGTGTTTCGCGTGCCCAGTACGCTGTTTCTCGCAAGTTTTGTCGTTTTGAACCAAATCTGCATACCGTGGTTGTCGTTTTTTGCGTTCGGTGTGTTTGTTTTCTTAATTGAATGTTTCTACATGATGTTGAATATGACCTATTTAGTGTAGACTACTGGTACAGCGCAACAAAACATAAAAGGCAGTTTTTTATTTTTTTCTTGAACAACGTATATTCTTCATGATTTCAGCAAGGCAGATAGACAGAGTTGAACATTTTTTGTGTCAGTAACAGCAACGCGTAACAACACAAAATAGACATTTATTTTTTATTTTTTTGTCTTCAATGGCGTACTGCAGTCAGCACCCGCACATGAGAACTTGGCAGTCAATAAGTTGATTGGTATCGCCCCGACAAACTCAGCGTCTAAGAAAGTGAGCACCATTTGTGAGCTATGTTAAGAACCCCTATAATAAAACCTATATAACGACCATTCCTAGCATTACCCTAGGAACGAGGCACCCAAGCCTCCGCCGAAGCTATCTATTATAGAGATTCTTGAGTGCGGGCAGTAACTGTAAATCATCAAGGCAAATAGATAGATAGAGGTGAAACCATGTTGTGTTCACGGAAGAACGGAGGAGTATTATAACTCGTGAAAGATCGCCCGCCCATCCTCTCGCGTTTCCTCTCTTGCGTTGGTGCTGATTTAGGGGGATCTCGGCAGGCTTCCGGTGGTGCGAGAAGGAAAACTGGTGGGGCTCATCACGCGGGCGGACATGCTGAGACAACACCGCTTCTACGAAGGCCTGCACTACGAAAATAGAGCCTTCGCCACCCCGGTCGACTCTCCCGTCAGGAAAATGCTGGCGAATCTACGGAAAACGCTGAAGAAGTACGACGAGGAGTAACTAGCCTTTGGATTAAAACACTTCCAATTAGCGGCAGCGTGATTTGGGTGCAAGCGGGGTTGCTGTCCTCCTGTGGTCGTTGCTTGTTTGAGCTTACGTGCACGCGAGGGGCCGGTTGTGCTTGCCGCTAGTCGTGGGTGTACCGGAGACACAGCAGCGCGTTGGTGAGTGTGTGCTATCACAGGGCCGCCGGTTGGTGTTTTTGGCGTCTAACACAAAAGGCTAGTGGCGCCTTCGTGCCTTCCACAGATAGATGCCTCAGATTGGTTTTGGCTTGGTCGAAGTCCGAGTCATCGAAGCTGCACGCTCTGCTGGGTGAGCTGCACATGATACATGATAGAGGGACGGCGGTGCTTTCTTGTCGTGCATTAGTTTTAGGCAGGACGTGAAACTCTCGGCGTTGACAGAAAGCTCAAGGTTTAGTGTGCAGGGAAACGCCATGATCGATCAATAGGTTTGCAAGATGCAGTACGTGATTTGTGGGCAGCCGTGTGGCGAGTGCGGTACTTTTGAGTTGCTGGGAGTTGTGTAGACGAGACTGGACTGCTGTGCCAGCTGTGTGTGTTTACAGGGTGTACTTGAGGCGCTGGCGGAGTGTGGGGACTTGACCTTTTCGTGCTTTCCTTGCCAGAGGAAGAGAGGGTATGGGCGTTGTTCGAACGCGTCAAGTCAAGACGAAAACAGGCGTGAGCGGGTCGTTCGGGTCGTTCGGTCCGTTATGATGTGGATCGTCAGGCTTGGGCAATCGTCTTGATGGCGGTCGACGAAGCGAGATAGAAATGGCGAAATAGAGGTTTCACACATGTAAAGAGGGACAAAAAGAGAGGGGGAGAGAGCTTGGCGATTGTGTTTTCGTGTGGGTGGGTGGGTGCTAATAACGCGGTTGCTGAAAAAAGTTTAAATTCATGGCATATGCATACAACATTGACAGCCCGGCAGCTACACCACCTGCAGTTCTCCACTGCGTCAACGACAACAACATCGGGGAGAAGTCCCGTTCCCCGTCGTTAGAGGGAGAGAGAGAGAGAGAGAGAGAAGAGAGAGAGAGAGACGGGACAGCCGGCATCGTTTTTTTCGCAACAGAGAACCTGCCAGCCGTTGTTGCATGGAGCTTCCTTCGAACTATGACGAGGGCAAGATGGTTGACGAACCGTACCGCATGACGTACATTTCGAATGATGCGTCTTTCGCAGTCGATTGTGGTGAGCAAAAAGGCATGCTCACTTCACCGTCCATGTCGTCAGGTTTGAGACCTGTCAGACAAGACAAGACACCCCCTGAGTTTCCAATATGCGTGCACACAGATAGAAAGATAGACCGATGGTAGTCCCTGAAGCCGCCATAAAGAGGGTTTCAGTTTCTGCTACGGCTTCGGCAATGAGGACGGGCTAAACGAGTTATTCGCGTTTTTTTCACGTGTTCGTTAGGTTTTTAGGTGGCCCATTTTTTCTCCCCTCCGCTAATCCCAAGTGATATTTTCTGCTGCCGAAGCGTTCTCAAGACTCTGACCATCGCAGGATATCTAGAAGCGATTTTCGAACCTTGTGTTTTTTCTTCGGTTCAAATTCTCAAGCCTTATCTTAGGTCTTATCTCGTGGGTTACACGGCGGTAAAAACAAACCACCTCTATACTAGATTACAACACAGACTGAATCACACAGCAAAACAACACAGAAAAGCACCACACCGGTAGGGTCGACTATATACTACGCCAGTGGACAAGAAGGGTTGCCCTTGCCGCTTGCTCGATGCCGGGTGTTGGGACCGCAGCAGCAGCAGCACAGCAGCAGCAGCAGTGGGCTGGATCAACGTTGGTACGACTTGCCAAGGGAAAAAAAGCTTCCGCCTGAACAGAAGCATTGTCAATTGTCAAAACACCTGGCCTAGACTATGTTGTAGCCCCTTCAGCCTCAAGGATACACCGAAGTACTTTTGGCGGCGGAAGGGCCCGCCAAAGTTAACTGTACGGGTGTTGTCCTACCATCTAAAACAACTTTGCCGGTAAATCCTGTATATATACCCCGGTATATGGGACGGTGTGGTGCTGAATTATACTGGTATACCAAGTGTCCGGGCAACGGGCGGACAACCAACTGGTTCCTAGGGAAATGATCCAACGGCAACCCCGTTTCAGTAGTGAAGTATTGACACTCAACTTGTTTTCGGTATTGACATCTCCACCTTTGCGCGTACAAAAGAGGCTACGAGGTGCTATTCACCTGACAAAATCACGTTGAGCAGCGCAATACCGCACTCCCCAACATACATCACTCCACTCTCTTCCTGTAAATCCAGCTGTACTCTCATACCATACGGACACAGCAACGCTTGTATGGGTGTTCGCCCTGTCGGCGTGCCACCTTCCCCAATAAAGAAAAAACACTAGGAAAAACTGGCTGATAACCCCTCTCTCTCACACACATACACTACACTACAACGCCCCCACATACACCGTCTAGATCGGAACCACCTCCCACCCCCTCAAAGTGAGCACATGCTTCCCGGCAAAACCACCTACTTCAAGCATATCATAGTATAGATGTACCCGGGATACCCCTACCGGTAGGCGGCCAACAGAAAACATGCACTCAATAGGAGCAAGACAAGATGACAACCCGTTACCGCTCAACCAGCGTGTCAACACCTACGTCTACATTGTGTACCTCTGAAGGATGCTTCGCCTCCCTGCAACCACTCCAAAGGCCGTTTGGCTGGTTTACCGTTGATGCATTCAAACGGCCACCCCAGCTACGCCCTGGCTTGCAGCAGTGCCACTTTGGGCCGCCGCCGCCGCTGCTGTCTCTTCTTGCGCCGCTGCCGCCGCCGCCGCCGCCGCCGCTTCCACCTCTGTTGCCGCCGCTGCCGCTCCTTTACTCCGCTTTGGCTTGGGCTTGCTTTTGCCCCCCCCTCTGCTGCTGCTTGTGTCCGGTAATCTGTTCTGTAGCTCGATGACATTCACGTCGTGCCCCCAGTCCTCGTCCAGGCCTCCCTCCAAGTCCTCATCGTCGACAGATAGCCTACCCCGACCACCCTTGGCGGGGTGGCTGCCGCCACCGGCTGCGGGGTTATCGCTCTCGTCGGTCGACTGCGGTGCGAGGTGGCAAGCGGCCAAATGTCCAGCGGTAGGTTGGACAACGCACGGGTGGTACATGCTGAAGCACACACAAGCAACAACGCTGATAATCTTTTAGCCAGAGAAGGGCAACCCTGGAAATTTTTTGCTAGGGGTGGGGGCACCCCACTGCCGCTTTGACATTCTACAACAACGCGTGACAGCAGCACCAACCCATGAACTATTTGTGTCTGAACTCGTGCGCTCGACCATATAGCAGTGGTAGCCATAGGGAGAGCACCGACCTTTCTCGAATACGGATGGCAGCCGTGCCGTGTTTGCCGGACACTACACAACCACGCCCGTCCACAGCAACAAACAAAACAAGACCGACCACCGCACCACCACCAACAAATAACCACGAACTGTCATCATCAACCACCTAGTACCACCACCACCACCAACAACAACAACAATCACCAATCATCGTCATCTACCACCACCACCAGCGCCGACAGCAACACAAAATACCTGAGTTCCGTCAGTCGACAGGGTCGGCTTGCTCATGTTCCCCCTGTCCAGGTTGCCGATAAGAAACGTCCGAGTGCGAACCACCCTCGACTCCTTCTTCCCGCCGCTACCCCCCGCAGGGCGTGCGACCCCTCCCCCCCCGCCTGCGACGGGCGTGTTGGGGTCGAGGTCGTCCCTGGCCACGACGTAGTCTTGGTAGGACGGCATGAAGCTGTGGTACGCGTCTTGGAAGACGTCCCTGGGTTCGGAACACGGGGGGTACAGGAGAGGGAAAAGCAGACGTTTACTGGGGGTGTTGGCTGGCATGGCTGCTTGTGGCGACGACGGCACAAGCGCCAGTCCTGCTATTGCTGCTGCCGCTGCTGCAAAATGTACGGCACAAGCGCTAGTCCTGCTATTGCTGCTGCCGCTGCTGCAAAATGTACGACACAAGCGCTAGTCCTGCTATTGCTGCTGCTGCTGCTGCTGCTGCTGCTGTTGCTGCTGCTGGTGCAAAAGGTACGACTGCTGTAGCGTAGAAAAACACGAATAAGGGAGTAGCATGCCGCTTGAAACGCGACTCTAGGTGACTTTCCCGGCCGTGGAACGACATCCCTAAACCTACAGCACCAAGAGCGGTCCACAAGGCGTCCAAGCGAGGAAGGCCCCAAGGGGTTAATGCTGCGAAGCTGAGGGGGTTGTCGGCACAAACCTCAAGATAGTTCTCTAGTACCAGCTCGTACTTGGTTGTTTGCTCTGTTTCGCTGGAATAATACTTTCGTGTTAGAGTTGGTCTAGCCCATGACCCACAGTGTACGTACAGTACCGTTTTGTACCTCCTTTCCCGATAGACTGCAGCGGCACAGGGAAACACCGGGTCGCATACCCCAAATCGTTGTTTCATCGCCCACATAATTATTTGTCGTACCTGACGTTGATCATCTCCCGGACGTTTTCAAGCACCGGCTTGTCGTGGTGCTCCATGATGAAATCGTGCCACGGGAACGCTGAGTTCAGCAGCAGGGCAAACGCCACCTGCGATACGAACAACATGTTTGCATTGCGTTGTTGTTCATTTCAGACGTATGCTAGCCTCGTCAACATCGAAAAATTCAAGAGGTAATGTAACTACTAGACAACCAAAGCATGAGCACGACGGGTAGTCAGGGTTCGAGCTTGGAACCGCATCCACAGCAGTGTTTTTGAGTCTGTGGATGGACGCAGCCTTGTGGATGGACACAAGGTTCCAGCCGTAAAGTCAATTCCTGACGAAATGCACCAACACCAGCATAGGAGAAGAGGCTCACCAGCTCCATGCAGATTAGCCAGTCGTTCCACAGGAGGATTTGCTCCGAGGATAGCTGTCCTCGACCGTACCAAGGTCGTCATTGACACCGTTCGTTCGGTTTCGAGGTGGCGGGGGGAGCAGGAAGACGGCAGAGGGCAGCAAAGCAGAGGCGGACGTCATTGATTGAATTTTTCCCCAAGGCAGGAACACAAGAGCGTGACGGTTTGGAGCCTGTGGTGGCTAGCAACTGCAGCCCGCTTGACTAGACCGGACTGTTTGGCTGAAGAGAACCGATGCGACTCATCGATACACAAAATTGTTTTCCACGCTAGGAACACAAAAAGCGCGAAGCTTGGGGGCCTATGATGGTCAGCTATTCTAGACCGTTTGGCTAGACTGGACCGTTCGGCTGAAGAGATTCCAACCGAATCGATTCTCCAATTTTGGTTCTTGTATTACCACACCAGGATCACAAGATAGCTAAGCTTGGGGGGGCCGTAGTGGCTAGCAACGTGTTGTAGACCGTTTGAATAGACTGGACTGTTACGGCTGAATGGCCCCAACCGAACCGACAAATCGACTTTGTTTTCCACACAAGAGCGCGAAGCTAGGGGACCTATCGTGGCTAGTCTGTTTGACTAGACCGGACTGTTCGGCTGATTAGACCCCAACAGAAGCGACACACTTACCCCGGGAATGAAGTGCACGACGACGTTCTGCCAGTAGGTGGCGAAGATGATGCTTTTCACGGCAAAGAACTTCTGAACAGGCCTGAACGGCGCCAGCAGGGGGCCGCACGCCCTGTAGAACATAAGCAAACCGTAGAGCGCCACGCTGTAGCTGGAGTTGTACACCACCAGAAGGGTTACCTTGGGGGGGGGGGGCAGCGCATGTGGAGGTAACAGGGGAGGGCGGGAGAGAGAGGGGTTGAGAAGTGGTGCGGAGAGGGAGCAGCGCATGCGGAGGTAACAGGGGAGGCGGGAGAGAAAGGGGTTGAGAAGTGGTGCAGACGCAAAGCGAAGCAGATACCTACGGATAGTTTCATCTCTTCGCCGATGCCAATGCGAAAAGACAGAGGAGTCCTCGACAAATACTGGGGAGTTGGAACCCGCTGTAAATTACACCTCCACATACACAGGTGTGAACGTAAACGTGGACTCACTACGAGCACGCGCCACAGCGTGAGAGGGATGCCATTCTTCTCTTAGGACAGAGGCAAGGAAGGACAGAGGGATGTGCCAGCTGAGAACTCAACCCCTCGTAGACCCATCAAGGGGAGCGCAGACACAGATATGGTAACGAAGAGCAATACCGAAACAGAAAGAGAAGACAAGACAAAACAAAAAATCACTATGAAAACATTGCTACAAATATAGATCCTGGACTCGAGATGATTTTTGGGGAGGGGTTGCAAGAAAAGCAAAAACGAAAATCAACCTCGTAGGCCACGGGGAGAGAGAGAGAGAGAGAGAGAGAGAGAGAGAGTATAGTACACGCCCCCAATCACACAAAACACGCCAGGGAACGCAGCAGCAGCAGCAGGAGAAACGACGAACACACCCTAACCCTCGTCGGAGGGACGAAATTCATTGTACATGGTATGTTATGGTATGGTAAAGTGCACACACCTGGAACGAGTCGGAGTAGTACTGCCCAAGCGCGAGGGCGAGAAGACTAAGGATGGCCATGGTCGGCTTCACGACCACGAACTGCAGGGTCGATTGCTTCGACAGGCGGAGGAGGGTGCCGTCCCGACGCACACGAGCCAAGCAGCACAGTGGGAAAGGGTGCGGCACCTTCAAAACCAAAACGACAAAAATCACAATCAAGACACAGGCGGAAACGGAGACGGGAGCATGGTTTTGTACGTTAAACAAGAACGAGAGGGGTGCACGAGGTTGGTTGATGGCACAGTGCTGACGAAGCCGTCAAGCGACGTGCGGGGCAGGGTGGGGGGCTGGTCTTTTCGACGTCGGCATTCGGTATAGCAACGGGCGTGGGAGCAAAGCTTTGTTCCCTGAAAGCTTGAGAGTGCGCTTGCGCGTCGCAAATGTATCGGCATTCTCGAAAGGTCCTCAGAAACGCAGGCAGCAGCTGTTTCTACGCGCAGATCGAATAACCGAGTGCTCGTGAGCGTGGACCCATGCGGCGAGGGTGAGCATCACGGGCCACACGAAAATAAATGTCCCGTGAGGGACAAGAGTGTCAACGGAGACCTCGCGCTCACCGGTGGCAGGTGCTTGATCTGCTCGATGCAGTTGTAGTCGCCCCCCGCGTGCTCGAGGATAAGGGTAAGAAAAGAGTACACAACGAAGGCCTCGTAGCAGTCGCGAACGATCAAGGCCACCACAACCACGTCGCCTCTGAAAGCAAAGCAAAGCAACAAGGGAGGGGAAGGAGCGCATGCAAGGGCGATTGTTGAGACACGGACTCGGTCGCATTTGGGAAGCTTCTACAGCCGACTCGAAATTGTACATGCCTGAAGCATCTGGGTGTTAAGCCTGTTCAGTTGGAGTGGTACGTCTTCTATTCGTTATCATCGTCTACAGCGGTAGGTATGTTTTGGGAACCGTTGAAAGACAGCAGTATCGCATCCTAAAAAAATTACCTGTTGAATGCTGAAGCAACATGAAACGCTCGACTCTCTTGCTACAACATTGAATACAGAAAATACGTAAAAAGAATAAACTTCGCGCCTGTGTGTGTGCGGTACTCGCAAACGCCCAGAACACGTGCTCTGCACTTGAGTAGCACTTGTACAACAGCAAGAGTCAACGGATAGAAACAACCGTCACAACACAGCAGAAAAACTCACGTGGAGCCGATGATGGCGATGCACGAACAGATGGCGTAGACCGGAACCACGATGAGAATGCGGAATATGTACTTCTGCGTCCGAGGGAAGTTGTAGTTGCGCGCGTGCAGCAGCATGTTTCGGCTGCCGAGCGCCAACGCCAGCACCTGCGTCCGCGGAAAGCACGTGTGTCGGTGCAATCACCGTCCGTGCAATCAGCGCAACGAATGAAATAATCCAAGTTGCGTGACAACCTCCAATGTTTTTTTCCAACCAGGAACCCAACCATAACACCTTACAAGCGTAGAAATCTGGACCTAATGCTGTATGCATGCAACAAAGTCACACCACCAGGTATGGCCCGGTCTTGTCCGCAGCAGGTGCTAATCGCAACACAGAAGTTGGGTGTCCGGGAGTTGAGGATTTCGGCTCGGCAGCGACACCTGCGATCGCAGCCATGCATATTTAGCTTGTACGTATCCTCGTCTGTCATTTTAACTCTACAACATCGGTTGCCCTTGTGGGAAATCTAAAAGCGCAACTCAAAGCAGTCGACTGCTGGAGTTAAAGGTGCTTCGAAGGAACACTGTTGAGGGCGTATATTAACGAAGAGCCGAAAACCAAAATCCAAATGGGCACAAAATCAAAATCAAAATGCGTTATCGTGGAAAACTGAAAAAAGAGGGTCGTGTATGTTAACGAGGATAGGAGACAGATGAGGCATAAAATCAAAAAGACCTGGCGCCAGGGGAAGAGCCAGCAGCGCAGCGGTGATTTTTCTAGTGTGCGTTTTACGCTCTTCTGTTCACGTGTTGGCCGGTATCTCGCCAAATACTGAACGAGTTGCCTCAAGAAGGGTATCCGGAAGGAGCTGGAAACATGGGCTGTTGGGCAATGCCAAGGTTTGGGGCCGTGAGGTGCCGAATGCGCCGGAAAAAAAAGGTTGTGTTGAAGCAAAAATGCCAACGGTTGCGAGCGGTCACTTCAAGTTCGGTGTTTTGGGCCACCACGGGTTGTGATATCCACCAATAACTTCCCGAAGAAGGAAGCAACAGCAACAGCAACGCCACGCGGCAGGAGGTACGTCTCTGCTCCATCTTTCAAGCCCAAGGTCTGCTACCGTGGGGTATCGTGCGTGTAGGGAAAAACGTTTTGGTTGACCCTAAAAAATCCACGTCAGAGAGCGGCTAGTTCAAGTTCGCGCCGCATGTCTGCTCACAGTACAGTTTTTCTGCGATAACTCTTCGAAGGAGGAAGCAACAGCATTAGCAATGCTACGCGACGGGAGGTAGCTTTACCCATCATCTGCCTCGTACAAGGTTACATGCCTTGGGGTATCGTGAGTGTGGAGAAAAAAGGTTGCAACTACCCCCTCCCACACGGAACAGCCCGAAAAAGCCGCGCAGCCCTGTTCTGATAGTCAGTCCGTTCACCGCTTGTCACGATCGGCATTTTCTCCTCGAGCACCCAACGAGCCGGCCCGTTTTATGGCTTGCCGGCGAGCAGAGTCTTCTGGCTACAAATAATGGCCTTGGTCTCGGTGGTAGGGTGCCGATAGCCCCTCTATGAGCAGTGTGCAGCAGGTCGTGTCGTACACTTGCTTTGCAGCGTCCTCGCGGCAGGTGCTCCAAGCCTTCGAAGTCTTGAACTCCTTGCCTCTTTGATTTTGATTTTGATAAAAAAGTCCCCCGGGGACTTCTTCCCAGACAGAGGAACTTCTATAAAATCAAAGGGCGTCGTCAGGAGGTAGCAGATATTCGACCAATCAGATCTAGATTTTGATTTTGATTTTTTCGATTTTGATTTTCGGCACTTCGTTAACATACGCCCTGAGGCCAATCTCAGAGCACTTACGGTTGGAGAACGGGATCTTCTGCAACAATTTACTGACGCAAGCAAGGTTGAGAAGCGAGGTCTGGTGCTGAAACAAAGAAGACATCCGTCACTTGGAACTAGCCGAGGCCTTCGGTAACCTACGCTATAAGGGCTGATTGTGAACCGGAGGTATGCATATGAATCGATTTGTACGTGTTTAGTGGACTCAGCGGGGACCGAGCGGTGGAAAAGGCCGATAAAATCGACTATTAATACATGGTGTCCCTGTTCCGTATTTCACGTAAGGCAACTACATAGCTGTGTGAGAGTGGAATCTCATCGTCCGAAAACACAACAGACAGCCGAGGTACTAAGCTATAGCTCTGCTGTGTCTTTCATTGGTATCGTGCTGGTCTAAGATACGTCCAGTAGGGGAGGGAGGCAGCAGTTGCACACGCATTTTCTCATGTTGTCTGAGAGTGGGCCAAAGGGGGGTCAGCAAACGAAGTCGCCTTGTTGTATACGCTTCGTAGCGAACGTTCGAGAGAAATATCATATTTCCGTTCGACTAGCCAGCGCATCGCTCAGAGCACCCTCAAGCGACTGGTTGAAGTTATTCATCTACGTCAGGATAACGTAGGCAGTTTGTCCGCGCGGGCACGGGCTTGGTGGGGCACGTGGCTTTCGTGCTTCATCCCTTTGGGGCGACCCACAAATCAAGCTTACGCGAAACGTTGCAGATAGGGGCAAAAAATGTTGGTGGGATTAATACAGCAGGGGGTGCAGGGTGATAAACTACCACGTGCCCGCCTCTGCCGGTTGGTTGGTTAATGTGTGCGTGTTAGGCGATCCTTCGCTCAACGGCATGGAGAGGAAGCGAAGCTAGGAGAGGGAGAGAGCGGGATTTCACCGGCGGAAAGAGGTCTCAAAACATTGATTCCGCCGCCGCCGGGTGTCGAGATAACGCACTGCTTATTACTACTGCTGTCTCATCGCTAAACCGTCCCACGTGGTCACTCACAGATGCACACACGGCTAACACGAGTGCCAGCGGACTTTCCACCCAAGCTGCGGCTCCGCCCGAACCCATCGCGCGTGCCCTCGGTTGAAAAGACTTCAAATCAACCACCACCGGCGCGCACTCTTCTAGCTTCGGGGTCGCTGAATCCTGATGCGATGTAGCCCTTCTTGCTGTCCGTCGTGATACCACACTCTACCGATAGTGCCCAGATTATGCTAGGGTTCCTGTCCTTGCTTCGTTGCGCGGAGATGAACGTGTGACAGGTGATGTGCGAGATGAGAAACACCGAGGGAGCTGAACACCCAAAGGACACCCAACACGACCCGCGCAGTTTTGGGAGGCCCGTATCTGCGCCGTAGGGTACCCTCCCCTTGCTCCACTCTCGTCCGATTCACCCGCAACAGGCAAGCCAAGTCATTCATTCCCTCCGTGTTCAGGGAGCTACCAGTGAGGAGAAGGAGAGGGCTACAGAAGGTACTTCCCGAAGCAGGGATACCCACAAGTCTGTCCCGGAGGAAACCGCAGCATAGAAGGGGAGAAACGGAGACAGAGAGACAGAGACAAAGAGTACAAATTGGAAATCTTCCGATCGCACATCCCCGCCGCTCCTGGGTCCGCCGCACGGACGCCTAGTGGGTGCGTTGGAGAGACAGCAGTAGTGAGCAAGAAGGGGCGATCGAGTGCGAGGGACATGCTGAGTTGATTCGAGGATCAGATGCCTGCAGCAGCGTTCGCTGCTCCCCCGTGCGAGGCAGCCGGGAGCCTACGCAGCAGCAACGGGATACACCAGCAGCACCTGGTTGTACCAAAGCAGCAGCGGTTTTCTGGATGGGTCGCGACGTCTCGGCGAAGAAGACGGCGCAGCCGCAGCCGTAGCCGCGACTCACCGACAACGGAACGGCAGCAGCGGCGGCTAAGTCGCCGCGAAAGGGTTCTGGCGGGACTCCTGCTGGCCACAGCTCTATCCGTCGCTGTTTTGAACTCGTTTCGGTATCGACAGCGGAGGGATGTGCAAGGCCCGACCACATCATCATCCGTGATCGTCCGTAACGGCGAAGAAGACGAAGAGGCTCGGTTGCGGAGAGAAGTTCTGGGCTTGGAGACAACCCTCTTGAGTAGGAAGGTCTTGCTGGGCATCGCACCGGGCTTGCCGCTGGAGAGTCGACGCCCTGCTGATGGTGGCCGGAGCGGTGTCTTGCCCGGGAGTGGTGGCGACAGGCTTGCGGATAATTATGCGAAGCCGTTGGATCTAGGACACGAACAACAGGCGCAGCGCCCTGCTCCCTCACCAACAGATGGGCAGCAGCAGCAGCAGCAGCAGCAGCAGCAGCAGCAGCATCAGCGACACCAACACCAACAGGACCAACCACCTCCGATCTCGCAAGGCTCCCTCGCTGGAGAGGCCATGTTCGGTGGCTTAACACCCCCACTACGCCCGTCGTTGGGGTCGCAACCCGGCCTGATCCGAGAGCCCGTGCCGCTTATCGTCGGAGGCTCTGACGGCTCTGGCACGAGAGGGGTCGTGGCGTTGCTGCAGCGGCTCAAGGTCCCCATGGTGGTTGAGGACCGCGGCACGATGGACGTCCACGGGGCGCCGTACATGGTTAAGGGTGGCTGGCCGGCCGTGGTGCGCCCTGTGATCGGTTGGGCGAAAGGGGCGGGGTACGAGTCGCGAGGCGCGCCGGCCCAGCTGCGGAGAAAGACGTTCGACGCCCTGGGGGGTCTGAAGGTCCAGATGCAAAAGGTGAAGTGGCGTCGACGTGTCTTACGGGTTTTACCACATTGCTTTCTTGCGGTTAACGCGCATATTTTTCGGTTTTGCGTGAAGCGAGTTGCTGTGAGTGTGTGGCGTTGCTGAGTGTGGGCGTGAGTCAACAAAGGTCGGCTTCGACTCAAGTGCAACGGACATGAGGTTTTGGCGTGTTCGTGAGAGAAGAACCACAGCGTGGCATCTGCTTTGCTGCAACCCTTGTTAAGGCATCTGGCACAGAAACCGTAGGTGCTTATGTTCAAGATTTGCCGCGCGGCCTTCCTGCGTCTGCTGCATTTTTGTCAAACCTGTTTAAGGTTACCCTCTGAAGCAGTTGAACAGCCGAGCAGCATCGCATGACATGATAGTGGTAAAATTCTTGCCTTTTCTACATGGCTACCTTGGACGTGTTTCCCCCAAAAGCGTCCCACAGGATTTATCTTTGCACCACACGCGTATCTCGGCTCCACTTGAAGACCACATCGTCCCGGCCACGTCTAACTTCTACTTTTCGTCGTACCATTGGGTTGACTCTTGCGTCTAATGCCGCCTTGTAGTTCCGACGAAACATTCGGCGTATGCGAACCGGTTAGTTTCCTCCTCCGACATTAAACGAACTAAGTAAGGCTGCCTATGCGTGTCTTTGACGGCAGATGGCCGGGAAGTCGCGACCGACCGGCGGGGAAGCCGCCAAGCACGTCAGCTGGGGGTTCAAGGCCCCGGTGTCGATGGTCCTCGTGCCGTTCTTCGAGGAAGCGTGGGGGAAGGCCAAGTTCCTGCACGTCGTCCGCGACGGGAGGGACATCGCCTTCTCGGGCAACCAGACCCCCGTCGAGAAGTTCTACGCGGACATGTTCCCGGAGGGCACCAGGGAATCAGGGTTCAAGGAACCTTCCGTGAAGGCGATGGCCTTGTGGAATAGCTGGAACGTCGGCGTGCACCACTGGGCCGCGAGCCGGAAGGAGCGGGGGGCGACCGGGCTGGATTACCTCCTGCTGCATGCGGAAGACCTCATCGACCCTGAGGCGAAGGTGCTGACTTGGTCTGTTTTTCCTTGGAGTCACACGTGCTGTACTTTGTCGGGTCGTTGACCGTCCCTGGCTTTACGGAATTGAAATTCGGGGGGCATAGGGACAGAGGGCGGGGTTGTGTCTGGGCCTGCTGTCGGGTTGAAGTTTTTTTGTCTCCTTGACGACGGCCGTGTGCTGTTTGGTCGCCAACAACGAAGTCTCTCGTGAGATGATAACACGGTAAGCCGGTGCTCAGATGCATGCCGCAGAAATTTGCGACTACGCCCTCACTTCTATCTTTTTGTGACGAAATGCTTCGTGCGACGTGCGTTGTCGTCATGTTCGGGCTTTTTTAGTTTGCGGCGATCAAAGACGTGGCGGAATTTGTTGGTTCTCCGCTTTCGGACTTCGATCTGTGCTGCATCGCCACCGAGGGGTCCAAGGACATGGGCTCGCACACCAAGTCGCAGAAGGACAGGGGAAAAATCACCAGCCGCTTCGGCAAATGGAAGGCAAGAGCCGAGTGCTGTCACCGCGGTAGTTCATCAGCGCAGTGTCACGCAGGACGTTTTAGAGCGGCGGGGCCTTCGTTTCAGGAGTGGCGCGACAGCCCGAGCGTGTACTTCTATACATTTGTTCGACCTACGGTGTAGAGCCGTTGCCTGTGGTAGGCTGAAGATGGCCACATGTGACGTCGTACTGCTTTTTAAGAGGAGAGTATATCTATCTAGTCTTCCGGCGATTGTACGTTAGACGACCCAAGAAAGTTACCCGTGTCTCTACTGAGCGGACACTTGTTTCACCTAAAAGTAGCCTAAAAAATCGAACTTTGAGATATTTCTTCGAACCGTACTTGAGTATTTCGTCTCCTCGACTGGGAAGACGAACCCCTCTGTCCCGCATTTCTTACGACGTCGTCACCCATACCATGCACGCTGTTTTAACAGAACAAGGTGGAGGCAAAACCCGAGCTGTCCAAACAGCTGCACGACGAGGGAGAAAGAGGCCTCCGAACCTTTGGGTATGAGCCAGAGCGCTCCCTGCGTGCGTCGAGCGGCTTTCAGTGTGCGGCAGAGCGGGATCCGACATGCCCGAAACCCGCCTCCTCTCCCCAGCCTTCGCGCTCATCTCGCCCGAAGAACCTGAAAGCTCAAGCCCAGGTTGGTTCCTTGTGCTGCATTCAACGAGAAGTGGTTCGCAGATGTTGAAGGGGTCACGAGCTGAGAAGGGTGCATACTGCGGCTCAAGCCTCGACACGCACGGTTTGAAGGAAACATCTGTTCGCACGCTATTGGTTAAGAACCATTTTTCTCCCGCGTGACGCTGCGGCACTGATGTGTGGGGCTCCACAGAAGTGTATGTGATGGGATATTTGAATCGAGAAACTAGTTTAACGTTGCCTTTATGTGCTCATTGGTGAAAATTTTCTGAACATCGTTGGGAACCCCTCCCACCCTCAACACGGGCGACTTCGCTACTGCTATGTCCCACCATGTCTGGCGCCGTTTGCATCGGCACAGGTTCCAGCGCCCATTGCACCGGTTCCAGCAGCTGTGGAGGATACGGCCACCTGTGTGGGCCTGAAGTTGAACATGGACTTTAATGGCTTCGACTCGAAGGTATTGTCATGATCGTGTCTTTCATTGGTGTGCTTTACGGAGGTTTATAGCCTTGGGACACAAGCTGTCGTATGAGTCTTCGAAGTAATTTTTCAGTACGTTTTGTTGCGGTCACGACTCCAACACGCGTCGGGCAAGCCTGACTGGTGTTGTAGTCGACTCTACAGCAGGGTTTGGGGGGGGGTTGTTCTCTGAGCTTTTCTGCTTGTTGGCCATGTTGCACAATATTGGAGAGGGACGACCGTGTAAGGAAGAGCCACTGCTTTTTGGTGGGCAAACCGTTGCAACCGTTGCAGTGAGATGAAGGGTAACCTCATCACCATCAGTGATTACACATTTTCGACCCCAAAGTTTGGTCTTCCTTCTGTTCTCCCGTCCAGTACGGCGGTGCCGTGCACGCTTTGATTGAACCAGCAAACTCGATGGTTCGCTACCAACACCTGTTGATCAAAAACAGGCCGTACACGCCCAGGATCACCTGGGTTGCTGCCAGGAATGCCACCAAGCAGACGGCTGCTCGCACTTCACGTTCGACTACAGTTCGGGCGTCTGCTACCTTAAGGTCGGGCAAGGTGTACAAAATTTCAAGGTCGGGCTAGTGTCGGGCATGACACCGGTTCCATGAAGAGGGCCCCCGGCTGCCAAATGCCGTACGTGTTCCACGCACGGGTAGGTTTGAAATAAACCCCATTGTCGTTGTGTGCACAGCAGCGTACTTGCTGCTGGTTCTGTGTAGGCGTTTGAGCGCCACCTCTTCTTCTGCATGGGGTCGTTGTTGTGTAGTGGCGTGCGGCTTGAGACCGAGGTAAATGCCCCGAGGACCATGCTTCGTTGTGACGGTAATAGAGAAAAGTTTATGCGCTGTGGGGGTGGTGTTCTACCCTGTATTTCTTGCTGCAGGAGTATTCCTTGGACACAGTTTATGGAAGTAGACGCGGGCGGCCTTGAGTTGTCCGGAGCGAGTCCTTGTGCCACCCAGCGAGTGGCATTTCGTGGCATGCTTTTCTTTGATCGTAATATTGTCCGTGTCCATCGGTAGCCTTCTAGAAACTCTAGTTGCGGTTTGGCATCGCTGCATTTCCTCTGGAGTCGTAGACTTCTGACTCCCCACTTTTAGGATTATTGACGTACGAGTGGGTAAGAATTGGAACCGGTTGTTGGAGGTCAATCAATCCAACGGGGGATTGATCTCGTTTGTAGGTAAATGGTTGAACTTAACATTTTTGTTTTTTCTTTGTTCGATGTTCGATGGTTCGATTCACTCCTTTTGATTTCCCTGTTGGGTACTGTATTCCCACCCCCTCAACGCTGCACCATTGCACCAACCCCCCACTAGTGATGACGTACCATTACCATGTGTTGCTGGTTGGTGGCCATGTTTGCGCGTTGCTTGTTCGTTCGTTAGTGGTCTCTCCACCGTGTGCCTTATTCTGTCTCTTTTTTATCGTTTTTTTCGGCCTGGTCTCTTTTTGTCCTCGCTCTTTTTCGTTTTCGTTTTCTTTTTCCTTCCTGTTTCCTTCTATTTATTTATTTTTTCTCTTTGTCAGTCTTTTTTCTTTCTTTTCTGTGTCAGATGGCCTTGTCTCTGCTTGCGTGTGAAGCACCAAGATTGAACCAAGGGGGTGTACCTCTTTCTCTCTGGCCCGTGATGCTGACTCCTAGTCTCAGTTGTTACCTCGCATAACGCGCAGAGGGAGCGGAGGACTCCAGAATATCTGTCGTTGATTTCTATTGACTTGCAGACCCCTTGGGGGCAGTTTATTTGAGTGTACCTTTTTAGGGTAAGTTTGCCTGTGACCACAGGAATCGACCGCGTCGAGTGTTGGATCAGTACGGACATGTGAAGGTACTGGGTAGAGAGAGATCGGAACGTTTTTTAATGTGAAGACAACAACAACATCAACAACTGTATCGTGACAGCAAGTGCAGTTACATACAGTAGAGTAGAGTTGTGTGGGGCGTCAGCCGACCAGTCAGTGTGAAAGTCGAGGAATAGATTGCACGATTTCGACTTGTGTGTATGTGTCATGTCAATTATTGTTGCATGCTGAAGATGTCAGAACACGGTCGCTTTGGTGGCGCTAGCGCACATCGATGGACGGAGACCATGCGGTGCAATATTTGGTCATTAGTGTTGGTTCGTGCGGAACGCATGGAAGAGTTCCGCCGTTTTCTGTGGGGATGGTTAACACGCATAGGGAATATGAAGTAGAGGGTCTGATACTCTGTGAGCGGATTCATTTGCTAGGCAACGCATGCATATCCCTGGGTCGGTCCCCTTTGTGGGGTTGATCTTATTATGCAAGCGTTAACAAGTTCACGGCTTACGTCGTACTATATCGTTACCAGTCATCCGGGCAATAAGCACCCTGCTGATCGTTGTTTGCCTTGACTTCTTTCGACGACCAGGGTTGCATTGTATGTATTGATTTTGTCAGAGAGCGAAAAACGTGTTGGAACAGCTTGGACATTGTCTTGGGTACTTCTCTCCCTAAGAGAGAGAAGAGACCGCCCACTTTTCTGTAATGCTTTCAAGCTTCGTGATGACGCTGCCCACTTTTTCTTCCCTGCTCGGCACGAGGACTAACTTTCATCGGGAGAGGTGAAGTACTGTATACCTACGTACAGTCGGCGTACGCCAGCGTGTCTGATTCCAAGGCGAGAATCAAACACATGTCTTATTCTCTTTTCATTGTATGGCGGCGCATACGCGGTCGTTTCGTCGACCGCCTTGTCGTTGTACACGAAAAACTTTCTTCGTGTTTCGTGTTTCACCTCCGGTTTCATCTCGGATTGGTGCAGGTACCGTATGAAGTAGTTGATTGCGTTGTGAATTAACGAAACGAAACGTATTTGGTAGTCTCGTCTAGACATTAATTTTGTCGTGCGCGAAGATCTCGGCTGTATGCGGGAAAAAAAACCTCTGTGACAACACAGCATTAGTGACCAGTCACACCCTTCCTCGTCCTCCCGGCCGGCGATGTGTTCAACAAACTATTGTACAGCAGTGTGGTGACGCTAGCATGTAATCACACCGCGATCAACGCACGCGAAATTTGTAGGTGTGACTGATGGGTGAGTTCCAACGGGTGTTAGGCGGAAGCCTTACGCCCCCAGTGCATGTGGGCATACAAATCCCGAGCTACGAACGACGAGAGAGATCGAGAAAAAGAAGCAGCCTACAGCGGCACTATGTATCTATGTTAGGAAACATAAATACAAACACAGAAAGACTACCCATTCGAGATATGACCACAGAGTAGTCTATGTATGTGTTCGCAGCCTAAAGAAAGGTAGGCTAGGTGTTGCTCGTTGTGCGTGTTGTATGCATACGATACGATACGACAAGGCATGGGAAACGTAAGTAATGGAGTCATTGCTTTGTCCAAGAGACATAAACAGAAAAGAGGCTTTGAAGCAGGCACAGTCAAGGAAGCGGGGGTGATCCCATCACACGAACAGCAGATAGATGCATCTTGAAACTTGAAACGCCTGAGCAGGTCACGAACGGACACCTTGGTGTATACGCTACCCTCGTTTGGCACAAAATATAAAACAAGGGGGGGGGGGGGAAGTAGACATCCCCGATCCCCTCCCACAGCTGTGTCTTGAAGCTGATCCTCGTCCAGTCTCGTCCCAGCCCAATCTCACCCGAAGACTATCGTTTGAGTTAGCCAATACATCGGTCCTAGCCGCAAGCTCTCGTACCCATCACAACACACAGGATGAAGGTCTCCGGCGTTGTTTGCTTTATGGCCGCAGCTGGCGCGGCCAACGCTTTCGGTGAGGCCCACAAATATGAACCTTGACCTTTCCTTTTTTGTGACTCGGATCAGTCAAGAGGGCGGGCGGCAGCAGGGGTTGGAGGGCGCCTGTGGGTGGTGGCCTCGTTTGGGAGGGAGCAGTTCTGAGGTGGACGAACGAAACGGGAGCATAGAGGACACATCCATGTCGCTGCTGTGTCTCGTTGATCCCATGGAGTGGTAGTGCTGGTTGGATTACATGTTCGTCCCAGCACCCCGTGCGTCAGCTCGATGAGCGGGGTGCATGAGAGTTGCTCCCCCCCCCCCCTGTTTTTTTGCTTCGGCTCATGTGACACACACGGCCTGCCGCCCTTGCGTGTAGCTCTAGCGCTGGATTCGCCTCTTGGATTACGTTGAATCCTGTTGGCCACCGCACGGCTCGCCAGGCGCCCGCCCTTGATTCGTTTTGCCCCCTGAAGCACAGTTGTTTTGGCATGTTATTTTTCACCTCCCTTTAGTGTGGAATAGGTCGACATGACGGTCGACTTTTCCCACGGTTTGTCCTGCTTCAATTGAACGCGCGCGTACTCTTGCCTACCGTCTTGTTTCGTCATGGCCCCTTTGCGCTGCCTGTTTTTATGCCTGGCTTTCGGATGGCAGTTGCGCCCTCCGCAACTCGTCTCGGTGCCGTGACACGGGGGGAGTCGTCTTTGAACATGGCCGTAAAGAAGCCGGCGAAGAAGGTGAGAAGAACCGTCACAGCAGCGTTATGTACTGCTGTAGACATGATACGTTGACCGCACCACATGTGCCGCTGCTTGTAGCGTTGATGTCCAACCTTCGAACTGATGACGTCTTTGCCACCCACGTTATGGATGGTGCTGTCCTCTACCTTGCTGTGTACGGCGATCGACAGACGCGATTATCGATGGTCATTTGATCACCTGTATGACGAATGCGCCCAACGAGCGATTTGTTTGGGAAAGACGGAGGGTTCCGCCGAACCTCTTGATGCTGTCCACGTACAACACCTCAAGCCTGTAGTGACGGTCATAGCCTACAGCAGTAGCGGTATTGAGCATTGAACGATCACACTTTCGCAGCATTCACTACTCCTGCAACCCTGCCTTTTTATGTGAATTGGCAAGGACTTTAACCGTTCACCGTCCTAGAAAGTATTTAGAAAAATCAACAACAAAGCGTTTGGACGTGGGGCGTGTGGTTTGATTGCATGTGTGTGGGAAAGGTGCTGCGTTAGTGGATGCCAACGGCCGTGTGCGTTGTCACTGCACATGATAATGAGTCACATTGAGGCATCAGCAACAACACAGCCCGCTGTTTTTTTTTTTACCACAGCGTGTTCGCGACACAAATGGGTGGCCCATGCAGCTATCATTTTCAGTGAACTGTCTCCGTAGGGCCCTTCATGTCCCACTTGTGTTTCAGAATACCAGCATTATGCTTACAAGCTGTATGCATACAGCAGGTATGTCACCCAATGCTGTTGTTCACTCCGTCATTCAGCAAAATGCTACCTGCTGCGTTGACGTGGTACATTGCTTGCTTGTCAAGGGACATACTTTCGTGGTTGCGTGGAAGATGATTTAGTGTGTTGACAAGTGTAAAGGCACCATCACAGGATGTTGATGATCGACTTCGCTATAATAAGAACGGGTAGTCTCTTGTGTGTTCTTTTATTTTTCCTAATTGTAATGAAGAGGCGCGTGGCAACACTGTCGGCAAGTGTCCATTAGTAGCCCAATATGTACGTTCATCACCATATAGTTCATGACTCTGTTGGTAATTAGATGGCAAGAATCGGCCAAGAGCACGCAACATCAAGCTACAAGCACAATCTGGTTGGTATCTGGTTCAATCTCACTCCGAAACTATGCGTACAGCGGATTGACACCCGCAATGATGCGCATACCACTCTAGACGACGTCCACACGACCCACACTGTTGCCCTTTGGCGTTGTTTCTCACAACAGTTTTAGGGACAACCCACCGCATGTGAACATGCAACATGATGTGCTTCGTAACGACAATTCATGCCAGCTCAACAGGCTCTATGGGTATCCACCCCTTTTGTGGCGTACGGGAAAAATGCCGCGCTGTGTTGGAAGACACACACGCAGAGGGCAGACGAAGCTTGCTTGTATGCAGTTTCATGCTGAGCGGATTGAGACATTTGAGACTGACTCAGCAGTAGGCCTTCCGTTCTCCTTGCGGGTCGAGCACAGAAGCACAAAAATGTAACGAAAAATGGTTGGGAAACGATGCCATTTTGTCCATCGTTCGAGTTAGCGACAGGTTGCTTCGTGTGATGTTCCTGTTTACAACAGCCTTGACCGTTACACGATGATGAGCATTTGCACGACGCTGTCAATCAGACGATGTTTGTGGGTCGAGACCGCCTGTGTGACTGAATCATCCCAGCACGAGCAGGCGGTATGCCCTCCTGGGGCAGTTGCTGTACCTCCGACCGACCCTGCATGGTCTGAGCATCATGATTCGACCACGGTCTACCTACCAGAGATGACAAACACTGCTGCAAATCATGCTTCCGAATCCAACAACTGCCTTAGTTTCGATTGGACGCTTAGACGCCTCCGACTTGGATAGTTGTCCCTCATAGATCAGTGATTTTTGGACTTGGCCTGTCTCCTGCCTGCGTCATGCTTTCTGGCTGAGACCTCTTGGAACTTGTTGCGCAAATGAGGGAGCTATCGACCGACAGCAGGGACTAGCTCGACGCAACACAATCATCAACGAGTCTCACCCGCGACTTACGCGCGAGCAAACGTTTCTCCTAACCACCAACAAAACCACCTCAAACTTATCCCTTGCTCTCGCCCGCCCCCCGCACCCATGTCTCCCCCTCTCTCGTCTCTCCCACCAGGAGGAGTGGGTGCCGGTACTCAAGACGTCAGACATCGCACCGGGAGAGCTCGTGGGCGTCACCCAGGACGGGCAGGAACTGCTCATCGCCGCCGACCTCAAGGGCTCCATCTACGCCACCGCCAACATCTGCCCGCACTTGGGCACGCCGTTGGACCAGGGCAGCATCAACGCCGCGGGCGCGCTCGTGTGCCCGTTGCACAAGTCGGCGTTTTCCCTGGAGGACGGTAAGTTGGTCGGAGACTGGTGCCCATTCCCCCCCGTCCTCGGCCCCCTGGTGCTCGGCCGGCTGGAGCCCGCTAAGGACCTCGCCGTCTTCCCCGTGCGCGCCAGCGGCGGAAACATCCAGGTGCGTGTTTTCTCGAGTAGCATGGACTTGTGTGTGCGTGTTTTCTTAAAATCATGGACCGGCTCACCAATGAAAAGACGCCCGTCTTGCAACAAGTTGTGGGGATAGTTTGGGTCGGGCCCCATGTATGCCTTGTCTCGCGTTGTTGCTCGACCGCAATTTTCGTCTGTAGCGCGGTGCAACGGATGCCGAGATTACGTTAGGGCGTCATGCCCTCGGTTTAGTTGCGGCCCCTGGCGTTGCCCTGCTGCGCATGCGCGACAAATTTGTCGTCTTGTGTGGCGTTCATTTCTTGCTGCCGCACAACACGGAGAAGCCCAACGTACCTTCCGTGAGTTTTGTGTGGTATTGGTTGCTCCGCAATTCACTGCTATTCCTCTGCCAGTCGACCATTGGTGAAAAGTCTTGGGTCACGAACCCTTGACTTGAATAACGCCATACGGTGTGCAGTGATAATGGCTGCGGAACATGTTTCGCTGTTGTTGATGGGGCATGGTGTCTTGTCTTTCGCTGCCCAATTGCTCCACAGCAAGTAGTACGTGCGAATCAAGCCAGTGTAGAGTTCGCCTGTGTGTGTCATCGTGTTGAAGTAGCGATGGCTTTACCTCACGGTTTCGACTTTTTGTGGAGCGGGGAGATGATGTTTGCGTACCCCCCATCCCCTCTGACGCCTTTCCGTCCCGTCTGATCCCTTGACCCGCAGGTCCTCATCAACCGGAACCTTAAGCAAGAGTTCGAGTCCAAGTACTGGACGGGTCTCCTCGACGCGCAGGGCAAGGCCTCGGGCGACTACTACTGAACAGCGACAACTCGACGAATAGATGGGCAAGAGCGAGGGCAACGCGCGGCGTGCGAAAAAAGCACCGATCGCTGCGTGTTGATGGGCTAGCCATCTCACACGGGGGTAGAAGGGGCTACTTCATATGTTGTGTCCAGTTGTTTTGCTTTTTTTTTTCCAGTATGCAAAAATGTTATTTCGCGGCTCGGTTCCCTGTTGAACCCGACCGGCTTTAGACTGGGACTTCTCGAGCCTTGCAGGCAGTCGTGGATGTCGATTGAGCTATCCTGTTGCGAGCGTCGGATCTTTTGTTCTCTGTGCAGCGACTCAGTTGCTCGCCAACGTGGTTTCCACGTTCCCGCCGAGTGTTAACTGCGCAGTTAAACGTGGCCAGCACGGCTGTGTTTGCTAAGCTAAACGTGTGACATAGCGCGTTGCTTGAGTTGGAAGGTCACACCTGTCTTGCATTTATTCGCGGGAGTGGCCTTGAGGGATGTGCAAGAAAAATGGATTTCATCATGTACCCGAGTGTGTCTCTCGCGCGGGGTGTGTGTGGCGCGTTTATTGTGTGGGTTAGCCTTGACTTAGAAAATGACTCGGCGCGATTTTAGAGTTAGCCCGAATTCTTTGTTTTTTTCTGAGAGGATGATTTTCTTGCGTGAATAAGAAACGGAAGCAGCGAAGCTAACAGAAAAAACGCTGGCGGTCGGTCGGTCGATTGTGCTTACACATGCCATCCGTTTAAGCGGCTCTTTGATGCGCGCACCCACCTGTGTCGTCAGCGTGTATGTATGAACGATGCGCGAGCTCGTCTCGTGTTCTTATGCTGCCAGGGTGTGGCGTGCGTCGCCCCTCTTGAGCTTTTGGAACCAACGTCGGCGTATGTAGGGTCTTACTGTGGGTCTTGTTGGATTTTACGGCATCAAATCATCGCAATCACAAACCACAGCTGGGTCGAGCAGCGTCTGGACTTGTTGTCCCGCTCCTGGCGACACGGTGTTCCGTGTTCAGTTGCGACTTTCTCTGGTCATCCATCCGTAAACACACGACGTGGTAGCGCCGGAGCACCGGCAGGACTTCAAGGCTCTATTAAACTCCAGCGTGTTAGCTACTTTTATAAGTCGTTCGGGTCTCTGCTCAGTATTTCACGTACGAAATATCCGCACTAAACTGGTCCCAACTGACTGACTTGGGCGCCTTTCGCGGTGGTGTTAAGAGGCTAACCCTCCCCAGAATGCACCCTTTTCTTGACGTAAAATCAGATGGACTCAGAAAATCTTCAAACAAAATCGGTGAGGATAGCACGCAGCTCACCCCTGGAAAAGACACGCCGGGAAGCGATCGAACGCAGAAGAGTCAAACCGAGGAAAACCAAGAACGGGGGATCCTCCATCCAGACAGGATCGATCATGATGAAAAATAGCAAAAAAAAATCATCGCCGCTCTTGTCTCCCCGCGCAATACAAGAAACAAATACAATAAATGTGAGAATAAAATATCACCAGCCAGGCCAACCCCAAGAGTCGCCCGAATCCCTACTACATGTACGTACAAAAGGCCGGGGAATATTCACCACTCACCGGGGTTGCACCCACCTCACTTATTACATGCGTGCGTGTGGATTCTCATCATTTTCCTCCACTGGAAAAACAAAAAACAAAAAACAATCTGTCTCGGACTCTTTTCTATGATAGAGATGGATTCGTTGTGTCATGTTAAGAAAAAAAAAAAGACAGAGGACAAAAAAACAGATTATTGTATTTTTTATATCATTTTACTGATGACGCAGGCCGAAAAGAAAAATGCTTGACGACACCATTTAAATTGTCTGTTGTCTCCTCATCTTCTGGGGCAACGAGACAATCAGCGGGAGGGGGTTGTTAGCGATGATATCAAGTACTTACTGTAAGAAATGACACAAACACATATATATATATATATATAACTTGCGCGCATACAGACATACATACATACATCGCGCCGGAGAGAAAAAGGCCATCCCCAACCCCATGGATGGGCGAGTCACTCTCCCCCACTCATTGACCCCACTCGCCCCGCCCTTCCTTGCGATCGCTGCGCTTTCCGCCGCCGGGCTCACAATAATCGCCAGTCGAAAACAAATCGCCCGTCGAAAATACAACTATAAATAGGCTACGAACCGTTTCTGATCCACGCAAACACACACACCGATCACTCTCCACACCACCATCACTAATCATCATCACACACATGCATACAGCGATCAAAATATCTCAGGCAGGAACCGCAGGAGGGGGTCCAACTCCCCCCTCCTATGTGACCCTGGTTGGGTGTCTAGGTAGTAGAAGTGGAGGATGGGCGCCAGAGGGGCAGACGACAAAGAAAGTTCAATGATGAGAAGAAAAAAAAAAAAACATGCTGCTTGTATCCGAAGGATCTGCCGCTCCACAAACTCTTAATAAACCAACACAAACAAACAAAAAGCACGCTAGACCTACTATACTACTACTGAGAAAAAACGCCAGGTGGGCGACCAAATAAAAAACTTATGCTTGTGCGTACGTATCGTATGTACGTCCCAGGAGAGCCAGGAGTAGAAAAATTGATGGCATTTTCCCGTAATGACTGCAACAACTTTGATTGGTACTGTCTATCTGTACTATCTAGACGATCTCTCTAGACTGCAGTACTACCACCACGATTCAAAAGGTATCGTAGTGCATACTCCATAGTGAACACGTTATACGCCCGCCCCTGAAGGGGGATGTCTGGATGTCATGCATGCATGCATCTGTCTATGCACACTAAGAACAAACAGTCAGTCAAGGACATACATACATACATACATACATACTATACATACATACAGACAGATGGATGTATGCTACGGGTTGCCAAGAATAAAAAAATTAGGGGGAGAGAGAGTTGGTTTCAATTTCCGCCAGGTTCAGGAGAGAGAGGAGTTGGTCTTGACGCTGCAAAAAAAAACAACTCCCTCAGTTTTCACCAAAAGGCAGGATATCCCCGTCTGGGCGAGATGTTGTTGATGCAGATCCCGACCAGCAGGTGCATCCCTAGTCCCATGGCCACCGACACCACCAGCAGCAGCATCTAGCGCAGGCATCGCCACAGACAGGGTGGCGGTCAAGGTCAAAAAGGGTGGTGGAGGGGTGTATAGGTCGTGCAGACCGCGGGAACATGATTCAACGTGCTTATCTATCCTCTGTTTGTATGTCTACAGGCATCAGCACGATTGATTAAAGACACTTCGTAGAATTCCACAACGAACGGTCGGTCAGTAAAACCTCCACTATTATCACATGACTTCCTCATACCCCGCTAATAAGGACAACGAATAATAAATAATATCGAATAACCAAATGTGAACCCTAGAAAGAAGAACCAGATGATGAGCAAGTCGGCTGCCATCATGGATGGATACTCAGTTCTCATCTTGCCTACCCTACCTACATGTCGTTTGAGACAAGAACCACCCACCAGCGCTTGGTGCACTTGGGGGGTCCACCTTGCATGTATCCGTGGTGCATCACACTACTGCTTGCTGTCGGAGAGAATGCGGTCAAGCTCACCCTCTCCCACGTGGCTCCATCGTTGTACGCGCTCAAGAGAACCAGGCAAAGCGCGCCCGCAGGAGGATGCACGCTCCCGGTGAGGGACATGCCGAGGATCACCGAGGCTACAGAAACGGATTTTTGCAGCCACACCGCCTGTCCCTCTTCGAATATGCTCACCACCACCATCTGGTGGTACACGGGGGCATATGGTTCGATCGAGCAGGCATAATAAGTCTTCTGCCATGAGAGTACACGCACAACACGCTCACTCGAGTACCACCAAAAAACAAGAAGGACTGGTACCAATCAACGGAACGGGGTTTTTAGGGGAGGAGGAGGAAATTACCACCACTGGACCACGCATGGCGGGGTGAAAGCAGCCAACTGCCTGGGCAAGCAGTTGGCCGGTCATATTCTCGTCGTTCTACTGTACACACCATCCCATCCACCGAGAAGTACCCCCCCCCCCCCCCCCCTCTCTTGGAGGCGTGAATAGCCAGGAGGCGACGGTACCTATACTGGGGCATAGGAAATGGACTGAAAAGGCGGGCAGTGATACCGATAGGATAGGGAAGACATTTAATTATGAGCCACCGTTGGTGATCTAGGAGCGATCGGCCATCTGTGATCGGTCCTTCCTGTCGGAACATTGCTCCGTCCTCTCGAGGACGCGTGGTCAACGATCTAACATCTAAAGCATGCAGCACGTGAGCACGCCCCCCCCCCCCCCCCCAGCAAAAAGGAAGGGAGAGGAACCAACTCCACCCACGCCGTGACGGGCCAAGGGGTGCGCGATGATCACGATCCGGGGCTGCGACAGCGGCGCCCCCGGCATGGCGAAAACCAGCGGTGGCCAAGGCCCCGAACGAGCCAGACAAGAAAAACATGTCGTTCTGTGCCGGTAGGACAGGATGAAATTGATTGTTACTGATGGTTAGTAGTTGTAACAGCGCTTTCAACAGCGTGTTTATATGAATGCTGGCTACGAAACGAGGGCGAACGCATCAAACACCATGCATCATGTCCGTCATAAAACATGAGCGATATGAATTCCAAGGATGACGCCACATCATGACGGGAGGCTAGCAATCACACATGTTTCCTACATACATACTTCTACATGAAAAAAGAGAGCACTCGATAGGTGGGGGCGGCGTGCGAACAGCAGAGTTAAATACGTATCATGTGGGCATCTATACCTGCGTTTCCCAGAGTGATGACTGGTTGATACGGTCGTAGATGAGCTGGAGGGACCCAATTGCCGCGAAGGTGCCGAACCACGTGAAGAACCCGTCACGAGGGCTAGCTCGCGCGGGCAGGTTGACCGGTCCTCCTTTCGCCTTGGCCAGGTACTGATGAACCCACGCCTTCGTCAGCTCCTCCTTGGACTGAACAATCCACATCATCATCATCATCATCATCATCATCATCATACACATCATATTACATAGTATACCGTCAGATGAAAAGATGCGTCGGACAGGGGAAGACGTAGATGTCAGCGGGAGGGATCAATATGATTTGGAGGTGCATCCAAGGCAGCAAGTCTTCTGCATCTAGGTTGGAGAAGCAAGGCGGGAAGGTACTTGCTATTCGTGATACCCTTCATGGGCTACCCGCGGGTGATTGCGGGCTTGATATTTAGATCTGCTCCCCCCATTTCTGCTTGTTGTCGCACGAATAGTATGCACAGCAGCAGCAACAGGGCCTGTAAGTCCTGCATTGGACACGGGGGGGGGGCTGAAGATGCTTACCCCTCTTGTTCTTCCGTCATCATCGAATACCTCCAGAAATATCTAAACATTGAGATGACACGCTATAAGATCCGTGAAGTAAACGGTGAGTGAACGGAACGGTACCACTGAACGCAGTGTTAACCCATATCCACCTTTCCTTTTCACTTCCAGTCTCAGGGAGGCAGATATTCCATCAAACATGCGTGCACACACAGGAAGTATCGTCTGCTTGGTACGGTCCTGCACCTGGCCCACGACCATCACAGCGCGCTCAGACGTTTCGACTCGATGGGTGCGTCGGGATGCTGACATTTCCCCCGCCGATGGCCTTGTTGTGCCCCTCGTGAAGCTGAACCTCGGTGTTGATGTTGTCGCTGTTCCATCGTAGCCTCCCCCCAGGCTCTGGCTCGCCGCGTCGTCGACGCTCTTTGTCAATGGCGTGGCCGCTTTACCCGTGCGCTGGCGGTATCTGGGAGAAGGAGAGAAATCAAGGCTTAGGCGTGCCGAAAAGGGCAGGGTGCGTGGTAAGGCGAATGATGGGAGTCAAAGTTCTTTTTTTGGGGGGGGAGGGGACAGGGAAAACAGGACTCTGATGAGGACAGTTGATTGACACCCCAATCTGACCCACAACGAGCAGGTCGATACCTCCGTCCATCTCCTCCTGCATGTAAAGTTAAAGTGACAAGAGGAGTCACCATCGTCAAGACACTTCTCCTTTAAACGACACCGCTTCAGCTTACCCTCCAGGGCTTCCTGAGCGCTGACGGTTTCCCCGAGAGCGTTCGACTGCTGTGCCGCGGCAACGATAACAATGTTCTCGACCAATCACAGAGATAGCCACCGCCCGCCGGGATACGGTCGGCAACGAGTGTCCTCAAGTTTTCCCTCGGGGACAATTCGTTTCTGTCCCCGGTGTGCCACCTCTTTCGTCAACGTTGCACGTTCCAACGAGAAACACGAGATAGATCGAGAGAGAGCAAAAATACAGGCAGAGCAAATGGGTACTAGACAGACAGAGAAAAGATGTGGTACAAGACAGACTTAGGTGATGCGTGCGATGACCGTGGCGTTGCAAACCACGCCGGCCACCATATATACCTGACGAGCATGAGCATGGCGAACCGAAGCCCAATAATCAAGACCCTCCAGTTCCTCTTGATCCTGTGGCTGCGGCCGACGACAAACCGCGCTCGGTGGACCATCAGCTCCGATATCGGCCCGGCCGACTTGGCGACGGCAGAGGCGTAGCGTACCAGAGCGGACGCCGAGGAGGCATTTTTCGGGCCGCGGAAGTAGATGACCACGACCCCCATTAGCTGCTGCTGCTGCCCCCAAAGGGTGCTGCCGGTGTTGGTGGGGTTAGTCGCGAAGTAGATCGGGATCGCCAGGGCGGTTTGGAAGATCTTGCCGGCTTGAGCGAGCCTGCAGGCAGACCAAGGTGCGTTTGAGGCAAGACAGAGCGGTTTCGGTTCCGAGGCAAGATGTGGGGAAGTGCGCCAGCAATGACTCACCAATATTCATGTTCTCCCTCTGGCATAGGTAGATGCTGGTTAAATGATGTTTTAATCCCGGGACACGGGATTCGTGAGAAAAATTCGGTCAAGCAAGCTTGCATTGCAACACTCTCCTTACGAACGCAGTGAAAAACTCGCAATTCTCTGCTCACGCACTGTAGGCGCGCACCTGACCCCACCGCAGTCGAACGAAGCATCGGACGTAAGCGTCGACAGCTCCACCAAGGTTGCCCTCGCCGTCGCCCAAGCGATGCCCGGGAGGCCGATGCCCCTGCCGTACGCCTCGCCGCCGGTCACGTTGCCGTCAACAGCGTCACACACGTCCTCGCCTCCCATAAACCGCCTCGTCTGCTTGTCGAGACCCTCCCGCACTTCGGGAGGGATGAAACCGCAGAAGCGAACCAGGGTGTGTCTTGCCCGAAAGTGAGGCACGAAGCACTCCCCGCAGGCGACCAGGTCGACGCACATCGCCTCCATCAGGTATCGAACCGCCGGCGTAATCGGGGCCTTTCTGCGCGGCAGCAGCCCCGCGCTCGAAGGGGCAAGAGTCGTGCTGTCGGCGGCGGTGGCGGCTACCGCAGCGGAGAAACGTTTGATGTCTTCCTGCCCTCTCACGCTCATGTCCATGATGTTGTCGCGCGTGGTCGGCACCGCTCCGACGTCGTTGTTGTTGCTGCTGGTGTCCATGCGGGTGCCTCCTGCTTGGGTCACCGTTTCCCGCACTGTTTCGTTTCTCCAATCGCTACTGCTGGCCGTGGGCGTGCCCGCTCCGCGTAGCGGCACCGCCGCCACTCCCGCAGCCCGCGACAGATCCAAACATATGGCCTCCTTGTGGTCGTAGGCGACGTCGCCTGCCTCCTGGCTGTCAGGATCCTCTCGCTCGGTACCGAGAGCAGCGACGATGCCGGCGTGGCAGTTCTCCATGCCGTCAGGAAGACCTACCAGACCGAGTTCTACACGGCTTACGGCTGTTGATTCCTCCGGGAATGACGAGGCCCCAGCATCACCCGGAACACGCTCTTCTTCATCGCTCGGCGGCAAGTTCCTCGCAACACCTTCCCCGCATAGCTGTAGGCTTGGATTTGCGGTTCTGTCTTGCTTTCGTCCTTGAAGCAGATCTTGGGCGGAACCGTCCCTATGGCGAGGTGTCTGCCGCTGCTGTTGCTGCTGTTGCTGCTGCTGCTGCCTTTGACCGTCCTCGCCGCTTGTCCAGGACCCCGGGGATTCGGTGACCCCCGTCGGTACCTTAAGCATTTCCGCAGTTGAGCTGTTGAGCGGCAACATCACGCGACGAAGTCCTGGCTGATGAACGGAGTTAGCACACACGCATGCACGTGGATCAGAGGGAGGGAGGGGGAGAGTAGACAAAAGGTGCATACACTGTTGTTGTACGTGAACGTCGCTATCCACGATTCTTGCAAGGCCGACGCGTAGTTGCGATTGGATATTTTCAATATTCAGTACGAGCGATCGACCATGGTATGGTGTTGGCACTTCATCCTCAAATAGTACAAAAGCTGGGGGGTGTTGTTCGGCAGCTTCAGTTTGGCCGACTAGGTTGGCCAGCCCCACTCCGCGTCCTTCGGAGTCTGTGCAAAGAAAAGAGGAACGCGCTCATTCTCAAGACAGACGCGCTCATTCTCAAGGCCATGTTTGTTTCCCACCAACGTTTTGAACACAACAACTGCTGTTGTTCCCCACAACTTGGGAGGAGATTCATGCTGAGTAATATCGGTGTAGCTGTGTCTAGAGTAGACTAGAAGTCGCTGTGTCGTCAATATGGCGTGTGGCCTTCTACCGTGCGGCTAATTCTTAATTAAATCTACTGTAATATGTAGTGCTACAATACCAACAACAATGCCGACAACAGAAATGCTCTTCTCCTTGCCCTGACCCCTTCTCCACAGGCTATACGTTTGTACCTGACCCCTTCTCCACAGGCTATACGCTTGTACCTCTTAGTGGTTCGGGATGCGGCCACTATCTCCAACTCCGCCTCTGCTCTCTATTTTGGGCCTGAGGTGATGAGCTCCTTGAGTATCTGATGAAATTGCAACCCGTAGGAAGGTCATTTTTTTTTAATTTGTTTCCACGAAGTCTGGAAGGTGGGCTCACTACAGCAGTAGCAAGGGGGGGCGACACCGGTCGCTTCCTCCCTCTTTCATCCAGAATCCAAGTTCCCCTCCTATGTCAACTGGCCGGATCTTACAAAATGCCGTCTCAGTATACCGAGACCCCCGATGAATGGTACTGCATTGACCTCCAACCAGGCCCACGTACACCAATTCCCCGTAGAAAAGAAGTAATAAGGAAGTGTTTTCCTAAGTTGATGCGCTTGCCTCTCTACTACCTCCTGGTATGCATCGTGATCGCAATTACTGGTGTCACTAACCTAAACCATACCTATACGTACGGTTAGATAGCGCGATATTGTTAGATGTTAGGTAGGGGAGAGGGTTCGGAGCACATACACCCATCCCCGCCAAAATAACTCTAGATTCTAGATACAACATAGACAGCTGCCCACCCGAGATACCTATGCATACAAAGTGGCGACCGACAGCAGCAGCAGTAATGGGACTACGAGGCGGCAAGCACGGGGAACGCTCAAGTGGAGTTCTTTCAAGCGATATGCTACGGCTCTCTTGCGTTCCAGCTTACCTATCCAAGGGACCCAAGGGGAGAACGGAACAGCGTGACAGCAGTGCTGCTCGCTGCTCGCTGCTCGGGAAGTGATCTATCCGAATCCTAAGTACGGACTTGGTACAATATTTGGGCTCTTCTTGCATTTGGCATTTTTGTCCCGCCGCCTTTGACAGTCTCGCGTCTAGATATCTAGCTTGCCCAGCTCCCGAGGGGCCGAGGTAGGAGCAAGGAGTAGACCGTACAAAGACTTAGTTGAATGAAGAAAAGGTTGACACTGCAAGACACGTCGTCTGTACTTATACGGATCAGTGCACCCTCAATAATAGGTGCTAGGGTTAAGGGTTCAATTGTGTGCGGTGTCTGTCTGCTGTTAGTCATATTCCGACATGGAGACCACCAATATTCCCACCAATTGCGCGAAGGGTATCGCGTGACTAGAAGACTAGAACACCTAGTGGCGTGGCACGTACCACTCACTACCAAAGTACTACACATGCAGTTAGCACCCGCGATTAAGAAACAAAGGCTCAAGTTCCCACGAAGAATATGGAAATACCGCTACATAGATAGCTCAATCTGGGCCACAAAACGTCTCAGTAAACAAAGAAATAGGAGAGACCGCTTACTTATCTATCTTATGCATGCATATGTATGTACAGCAGTCTAGGCTATATAAAAAACAGGTTTGCAGGGAAGTGTGTCGAATAAGAAACAACTCACACAGCAGTTGTCAGGTAGCTCCTAGCTCTCTCTCTTTCCCCCTCTCCCATGTGCTACCCACCCCCTCGCAGCAGTGCATTATTATTATTGCAGTAATAATAATGTTGTACGGCGAGCGGGGTGTTTTTATGCGGCGCCCCCTGCTCCACCCTGCTGGCTCTGGCGCTGCCTGGCACATGTCGCGAACCACGATATGATGTCTGCTGGATGGGTTTGATGGCGTTCTCCGCCGCCTCTCGTGAGGGATTCTAAAGTTTGAGAAACAAATTCGATTTAGTCAGCAGGATTCTGCAGCACGAACAAATAAGAAACTTGACATACAGAGGACGTTGTACGTACCCTGACGTTTCAGCCCAGAACAAGAATTTGAGGAGGGACCGGAAAGTGGCGCGGGCGCTAACTGCACAGCACAACCCAGAAAACGTGCTCGCCGCGTGCTTTGAGCGGATAGAATTGACAGTTCGAACCAAACGTGCCCAATAATCGCGTACAAGTGCGAGTGAGTGTGTGTGGATAGTATTCTCTAGCGGGTACTCCTCCTGCACATGCTACACGTATTGGACAGGCTGTGTGCGTGTTGTTTTACATGGCGCCATGCCGCGATTTTCATCTGTGCAAAAGGCGTTGACAAGGCATACACTGATTCTGGTGAGGGCCTCTAGGCAATGGGTGGGGCGGTGGTAGTCGAGGTTTTGGGAGCACAGCTCCTACCCCCTCCATTGTTATTTCGTGCAACATGTATGTGTAATATTTTCCATCCGGCAACATAGTCTCCTTCCGTCTACCGCTTTCGCTTGATCGGATGTAGGTGGTTCTATAATCCACCACCTCATCACACTTGTAAGAGACTTACTTCAAAAACAACCTCAACGAATGACTTGAGTTACACGCATAGGTCGCGCGGTGCAGCCAAAAAAAGAAAAAAGGGAAAAAAAAAACTTCTAAGCCATCACATGGAGTTTCAACCAACGAATTGGAGGCGCGCGTGTCTGCACTACACAGTGAATGCGACGACCCCCACCACACTCGATCACCAAGCACATCTAACTGCTACGTTTCCCTAGATGTAGCCAACCAAAGCAGGGACAGCGTCAGCTGTGAAGCATCGGGAGAAATCCGAACCCCCTGTGTTCACGCCACGACGAAAAATGTTATACCACAACTCATCATACTGCACCTCACCTCCACACGTTTGTCACTCGTTGCACTATACTTGATTGGTGGAGTCATCGCGACGACAATACTGGGAGGCACGGGCTACTGCTGCCGCGCATTGTAACTAAACTGCTGATTTTTACGCCTCAACATACAAACACCGTTCGCTCCGGTATCCGCCTAGTACCTTCTCATGTCCGTACCGGTCCAACTGATCCCGTGTGTCTTTAACAGCCTAGGAGAAGCCTGCATCGCACAGCTACGGCCATCGTTAACAATCAAGCCCAGCTGAAACCACCAAAAACGTGCGAGAACGGAATCGAACCCTCCACAACGAACTGGCACCCTGATCGAATTCTATGGCCCTCTTAGGTCAAAAGGGGCGGTAGGGCAGGCCTTAAGCCACCCGAAGCAAAGTCTATTATTTGGAAAAAACTGTGTATGCATACTAACACGCAAGGTTCCCACTTAGAACCAGTACCCCCACCTCACACTAGCACCAACAACCTTCACTAGCCTTGGAGTCCAGGCCACTTGTGGGTGTTCGATTCTACTCCCAAAGAGCACGCATACACAACACGAGAGAGCAGCGGGTGGGTGCCCTATCGTTTACTCCCCGAATTTGGATACACGTTCATGCGGACACACTTCGTGCGGACAAAAACATGCAGCTGCTGCACACACACACGAGGACATGCATGCATCACCCTTCGGTCCAACATATCGAAAAAAGACATAAATACCCATGTTATGTACAGCACAGAACGCGCTTGCGTATCCCTTCCAATGACAAATTTGAAATTTCAAGCGAAAAACTCTGCCGGTTTAGCCTTCCTCGTGTCCCTGCAACAGATGCCATCCGAATTTGGCCTTCAGAGGGGAAAAGAGAGAGGGATTTGATTAGCTCTTGTACACCGCTTTTGTTAGTGCTGAGCTGCTGTGTTTGCGCTGCTGTGTTGTATACTGGCTGCCTCCACTGGCGAAAGAGTGACATCGCTGCCATTTGTACACTGCACCTTGACCGTACTCAGCCTGATCGACCAATTCATACTACGGCCCTGCCGCCTGCACCCGTCCCGCTCCCTCGCCTTACCAAAAACAACAACAACAACAACAACAACAATCTCCGCACAAATCGCGCAAGGTGGGTAACTTACTATTGCCCCTTCGATAATACCCGCCACGTGCCCGGCCTCCTGAAACACAAGACTAAGACCGAAAGCAACCAGAGGGAACCCTTAACCTCTTTACCAAGCGGTGCGGTGGCGACTCCGATGGCCAAAGTCAAGGCGCAAAATAGCGCGCGAGCGTCGTGAGCACGCCAACACCACAGCCAAACAGGCGTTACGTCACGCAGGCCCGTCGAAGTGGGAAAGCACAAGCCGATAACGTGGTGGGAGAAAAGACAATATTGGGCGACGACTTGTCAACATGGCTCGGCTACACGCAACAAAGCGCCACTCACAAGGACAATATTGGGCGACGACTTGTCAACTTGGCCGTCGCCTACACACAACAAAGTCACTGACGTGGGCCGACTAGGACAAGCAGCCGAAAATTTCCAGCCAACAAGACACCCAACAACAGCGGGAGGCACGGCAGAGGTGTGCGAGTGGCTAAAGCTAAAAAAAACTATGCATACACAGCCCAACAATTCTACAACGGCAAGATACCCCTCCTGCAGCACACCCTCTGATTCATCCGTAAACTCCAATATCGACACTACTATTAGCAAGACAAACGTTACGAAGAGGACGCTTTCTTGTCCCCGTCCCCTTGTTGAACTCCCAGGTGGCATTCCCCCCGCTCAAGGCGGCAGGTGAAGGTGATGTTGTCGTCCCACATGTCGGTGCTCGACAGGTGGTGTGGCCTCATGTACGGCACTCGGCAATGCTGTCGCTCCCACAGTCGGATCTGCAGGTCGTCACCGAGACAAAGATCGTGAGAGATCGTTTACAAAGGTTTCGGATAAGCGGCGTGGATAGAGGAGAGGGTGAGCGGGGGGAGGGGGTACTCATAGTCGTGCATGCCGTAGTCGTTAGACCATTGACCTCGCATCCCTACAAAGCCGGGACGGAGCACGCCGGGTTCTCACCGGACCAGGCTCTCACATCACCAAGCGCGAAGCGCCGTGAGGTATTCGGCGGGTCGCATGAAGGGTGTGCTGCATCCTGCTAACGGTGTTCGGCATCTTGTGCTTACTTCCTTGCGTACGGGGGGGGAAACTATGAAATTATAGCCCTCCTCTCCCACACACTATTCAATAGCGAAATACGGGTATCTCTCGACGAAAAGCCCTGGCACGGACGTACGTACGTGCCGCACGACAAAATAAATTTTACCATGGGTACCAACCCTCCTTCCGTGTGCAGTCCTTCTGATACACACATGGCACAAGATGTCGTGCTTTTCGTTCGACTGGTCGACATCGAAAGAGTCGACGAAACCACTCGTACTGGGCCGCAGCAGCGGGACACCAAAGGCTTGGTGCCCCACCGATGACCTGACTCGTAGCAGTCGAACAGTCGTACCTCGCGGTCTACCTTAAAACGTGAGCCTCACACGCAGCATACACACCTTGCTGGGGGCCAGGGACGGCCACAGCGGCTCCGGGGTTTCCCTGTAGTTGGCGTTCACGAAGGCTTCCCTGTTGTTGAGCACAGTTGTCCAAACGCTGATGGATCTCTGCTTGACCTTGAGGCGGGATCGGTGCTGCTCCGTGTCGCACAAGAACGTGCCGTACAGCCCACTGTAGAAGCAGGCATTCGGACAGCGCCCGCACGGGAAATAACGTCACGTTCCGCGACAAAGGGCAAAAACTACTTCGTGATACCAATATGGTTTTGTATCCTGCATGCCTGACCGAAAACCACACACCAGGTATATTCCCATTCATTGCACGCTCAGCACCATGGTCCATACACAACAAATTCGTGTATTCACTCTTTGAGCGATAACTTGTACCGGTAGGCAAAAGAAGGATACTTGCAACGTGAAACCGTATTCATTCGTGATTGCTTCTCCTGCATGAACACCACCATCCGTCGAACGAGCAACGACCGTCTTTCAACTTCGCCAGAGGTGAGGAAACAGACAAGAATGTCTGTCTTCCGCCACGTCACGGAGGTGGACAACGAAAACCCCCAACAGGGACAACGCTCTGGTTAGCGTGGAAGAAGAGAGGGCTTCAGTGTGCCACCGTCATCGGAACCTGATCTACCGGCAGTGTCCTAGAACAGCACCCCAGCACACCCTACCTCACACTATCGAACTCGCCACCTCCGTACGTGTGACCGGTCTCACCCACACACCAAAATCAACCATACCTGAGGGCATGCTCCGCCACAGCAGTACGTGTGAAAGCTCTCATCGAACAAGAATGAAAAAACACTCGGGCAAACAAACAAAAACGAAAAAACACTAGGGGCAAACAAACAAATACGGTAAAAGCCACCACCCACACCTGAAGGCGTGCTCCGCAACGAAGGTCAGCAACCCCTCCGATATCTCGAACGCCGTGGGAAACTGCGCCAGGAGGTTGTGCACCAGGTCCAGAAACTGTAGGAACACGGGGCTCAGCTCGGCATACTCCCTCACTTGCCCCCCCACGAAGTCCTTCATGGAGCGCATGGCGGAACGATCATCGCCGAGTTCCGCGGCATCCGCCGCTGCGGCAGCAGCCGCAGCTGCTCCCTCTGCTATCTCTTGCTCGTTGTTGCCGCCCATGCACCGGGCCCAGAACTATGGACACGGCGATCATCGCCGGAGGCAGGGAAGGGAGGAAGTTAGGGCACCGGCCAACTTGTCTTGTCTTGTCTTGTGTGTGTGTGTGTGTGTGTATTCGTGCCCTCTATTCTGGCGCCAGTCTACACAGGAGCTTTGGTGCTAAAACACGGCAGCCGGTCTGAGGGGAGGTTTGTAATTTTTTGCTCGTGTTTTAAGTTCTCGAGAGCCATGGCGGTGGCCAGGGTTGTTGGTTGGTTGGGAGCAGCGATGATACCCCAGGGCGATACCAGCTGTACAGCAAGCAATCACAGCACCGCCAACCAACACACAATAAATCACACCTCTTCGAACGACAATGACGATGGCGATGACGACAACAACAATAACAGCAGTAGGAGCGGCAACATCACACCCCGGGATCAATTGGTGCCTTTGTAGGCAGGTACCGTACTCCATGGATGATTGCATACGTACTGGTATGCAAAAGAACCCCCCCCCCCCAAAGACAAAAGCCGTTGGATCGGACTATTCAAAACAAACGGCGGCCGCCGCCGAAGGAACAAACATGCATTCCCTTCCACGAAAACGAGGGCGTGAACTCTCGTGACAAGGGACAAACAAGGACGAGTTTTCCTGCCCAAAGCCACGGCGATCTCGTTCTCTCACGCCCACCTTGTGGCCATAGCTGAGCCACTCCTTTTCGATGAGGCTGCAAAAACCCTCCAGAGTGCGGTAGTGCGGGTCCAGCAGGAGCTCCACGGTGGAACAAATCTGCGGGGTTCGGTCCCAGCCGTCGCTGCAGTGCACCAGCACGGAGCACCCGTCGAGGCGCAAGAGCCGAGCCGCCTGCAATGGACAAGACGGCAATTGGGCGGACACACACACGCGGGGGCAGCATTGCTTAGTACATGACACGGAAACGCGCGTCTCACCGACTTTACTTTACAGGAGATGAAGGAAATATGGATTGCGGAGCAGCATGGCACTTTGATTCCGACTGGTGTACGCTCGACTCCCCTAGTCGTCCTTCTTTACACGCACGACACAAGATGGGAGATACACGCAGGGCGGGCGGAGAACAACTAGTCATCCAAAAACATATGTTGGCCATAGCCAAAGTAGAATTTACCGCAGGCCGAATACATAACTCTTTAAGGGGATAGCCGCACGTCAAATTTGACACCGCAACTGGGTGTGTACGTGAATTTCTCGGATAGGCTGCGGGGGATGAATGGACGAAAATATAACGTCTAAGACAAACAGAGGCAACACTGGCAAGCGCCGATGCAACAACGTTCTCGCAGTCATGTTTTACACTAAAAAAAACAACAACGCAGATGAAAAACACGTCAGCCACAATAGTTGCGTTCCATTTCACGCAAAAAGATTGTAGCAAGCACCCAGCCTGCTCACCAACAAGCTCGCGCCCAAGATCTGTCTCAGCAGCCGGGGCCACAGCGTGTACGGAGGTGTTTCCTCGAGCTCATCTCCTCCGAGCTGGTCTCCCAAGGCGTACTTCAAGTCCATCATCCTCGCGAACCCCAGGCTTCGAGACTGCATGCAACGCAAGTACGACGAACCAACAAGGCCGGATGAAGGAGAAAGAAACAAGGGCGAGATTGATACGTTCGATGCTCGCTGGGGTACGGCGGTCAGGATTGGATTGGAAATGGTACGGTGTCGTTTTCGAGCCAAGACTAGGCAGCCTCCACATCACGAGAATGTAGGCTGGAAAGGCAATCATGAGAACAAACCTCAACACGTCTGCGAAAGGCAAGCATTCAAAACCTTGTAATACGGGCATAGTATTCGCTGCAGAGTACGTAACAGCAGCTCGTTGCATCCGCATCTACAAAAACGGTAACACAAGCGGAGGGATAACGAGGACCACGCCAACGTGCCCACAGAGCGGTAACGCGATGTTCCACGATTCGGGGTCAAGCCAACCATACTCATCCGGCCATCAATCCCAACTCATCCTGGCAAACTGTTCCGCCATTCGCGGTCAAGCCAACCACTCTCTACTACGTATCAATCCCCAACTCATCACGGCGGCAAACTGACCATCTTCTTGGCGACCATCTTGGCGGAGTCCTCCTTCCACCGGTCCATCTTCGACTCCACCTTGACGGGGTCGAGGGAGTCTCTGAGTTCTTCGAAGGCGTCTTTCACCGCGTGCACGTTTCCGATGCCCGAGAACACCAGTTGTGTAGAATTCCCGTACCTCCACGTCGGTGACATTCATTGGAAGGGACCGACCGCGGCCGTAGCAGCGACGTCAGCAGCAGGGAGGCAACAAAGGTGAAGGGATTCGGTATCGGAGCAAGCGTCTAGCTATCAGCACGAGATTCTTTTGTTCCGAAGCCCATGTCCTCGTCACAACGGACGTGTTCTGCTGCCTTGAGTCAACCCTGAGTACAACACTACAGTGTAGTCGTGGTCCCGGTTTAGCCCCTGGTTAGCGGGATGCCCTGAATAGCGGTTCCAAAATCTCGTGGCACAACGGCACCTCGGTAGTCAAACTACTATATAACAGCCAAACCGGTTTAGCGGCGATGCCCTCAACAGCGGTTATAACATTTTGTGACACTATGGACCGCTAACCCGGGACCTCTACTGAACCGCGAACACACAGCACAAAAGAAAAAACACGGATGTTTGCAGAGGTACCTGGTGTGTGTCGCATATTCTCCCATCCTCCCAGAAAAGCTGAAATATTTCCAACCAGGTATCCATTCTGTCTGTCTGTGCCTTTCTCGTCTCTCCCCCTCTCCTGCACAGCAATCCGAACTACTGTATAAGCGACGCCGATGGAGGCAGGCACCGTTTCTACTCCCCAACCAACAACTTGCCATGCTGCAACCCCCCGAAATCCAAAAACACTCACACCACCTGAAGCCGCACCCAAGAGCCCCAACTCCCCACCTCCAATCCTTCCTCCATCGCCCCCGAAAAAAAACACTCACCCCGCGCCCGTTTCGATTCCTTTGCCGACCAGCTTGTTTCCTAAGGCCGCCACAGCTGTTCTGGCGTCCAGCAGGCACAGCCGCGGCGCCTTCCCCGAACCCGGCGTCTCACTCCCCTTGCCCCCGGCCGCCGTCCCGGCCGGCGAAGCGCACGATCCGTGGAATGCTGACTCCTCCGGCCCTACTCGTTCCGAGCTGCGGGCCTCCGCTCTCCGCCGCTCCTCGTTTTCCCCCCTCGGCTGCTTCGTTTCGACCTGCCGTTGGCCGCCACCGCCGCCGCCGCCGCGGTCAAGAGACGGCAAGTCGGGCGGAGCCCCCGGCTCCTTCTTCGGCGGCGTTAGGCCCTCGTGATGGCGGCTCGCATGGCTCTGGTGGCCCGGCTGGGTGTGCTGCACGGCGACCTTCGTGGTAGACCACGGAGGCGTCCAGGAAGACAAGGCATCCAGAAACGATTCCCCGCTTTCTGCTCTTGGCTCTTCCGTCTTTCCCGCGGCGGCGTTGGCGGCGTTGGCGGCGGGTTCGGTTCCTCGCTCGCCCCCTTGCTTCCCGGCGCCTTTGCTGCTGCTACCGTTGCCCCCGTCGGCTGCTTTGAGGCGTGGAGTCGCTTCGCCGGCGCGCGCCCCCCCCCCCCCACCGATGGTGCTCCTGCGATTGCCCCGCAACCCCGGTGGCAGCGATGTCGAGGCTCTCGCGCGACGACGGCTGGTGCTGCTGGTGTTGCTGCTGCGGATGGGCGCGGTGGGCGTGCTTGGGGTGTCTGTTGTTGCTGGTGCTGTTGCTGTTGCTGGTGCTGGTGCTGGTGCTGGTGCTGCCCGCAGCGTCGTCTCTTCCGGCTTGCCCTTGTTGCCGAACAAGCTCAGCAGACGAGCGTCCTCGGCACATCTGCAAGCAGCAGCAGCATCGGCGGCAGGCGTTGTGTCAAAAAGAGCAAGATCCGTTCAACAAAGAGGCCTATCGCTACGCCATCCGCACGGCTTGGGTAGCAAAAAGCCACGCAACATAGGCTCGACCTTGACGTAATCTAGGGCAGCGACGCTGAGGGGAGGGTTGCACGACCGGCCGACCATCGAGAGGGCAATTCAGCTCGTGAAAAAAAAACCCAACTCAATACAGCCCGCACGGTCGTGGTGCAATAAGAAGGGGGGATGTTTACACAATTTGCTGCTGTGTGCTATTATATTGAGTACTGCGGTGAAATATCTACATCTTCCTGGTAGCCCATTCCTTCAGGCAGACGTGTGATCCAGTACACCACTCACGGGCAAATCCGTGCGTGGAGAAAAAAAAACAAAGTCATGCTGTAGCTATAGCCAAAAACGATTAATGAGAGCACTTCGGTTCTCTCACGTTTTCCCTCCCAATCCGGCCAGCGGCTGCGCGGAACGAGAAAGCACCGCCCTTGTCTTGGGGTCCATCCAAGTCACCACCGGAAGACGGCCTTTGCTGCGGTACGCCGCCGCCGCCCTGAGACGTCAAACGTGTCCCAACGTCGCCAACACCATCGACAGCGGCGTAGCACGTTAGATTGGACATTCGACGAAAAGTGGCTCCGAGCCTCGGTGGCTGGCGGAAACGAGCGGCCTACAGCAGCAGTAGCGTTTGCACAATGCTCGCTCCCATCACATGCTTCCACAACGGTGTTCCATCACATTATTCCATCACGGCAAATCCACCACGGTATCTACTGACGGTCTTCCGTCTCCACAGTGTTCGGTACAGGATTCCTCTTACAGTATTCCGCCACAGCGTTCCACCAAGGTGTTCCACCATGAGCAAAACGCAAGTGCCGCACCTGACGTTTGCGTCACTCATGACCGCGGGCACCACGAAGTGCAGGGGGTACGAGGGCACCAGCGTGTAGGACCGGTTGTAAAAAAGCCTCCAACGGGGTGGTTCATCCGGCGTCCCCGCCAGCGACCCTTCCGTATGCATAGCGCCAGAGGCCGCATTTACCGGTCCTGTTCGCGCAGGCCTGAAGCAAAAACAAAAAGATGGATAACGTAAGGAAAAAACAAGAATGGTGCGTTGAGAAACGAGAAATACAGGAGACAGAGAGAACGAGGCTTGTATGTTCCCAGCCGGAGAACACACACACAGAAAAATCACACCAGGAAACACATGGGGGGATTATGCGGTCGCCAGGCATGCCTGTCAGCTTTAATGAGTAGAAGACCCGCGTGATATGCCACGTGAGAATGGGTCGGTCCTTCAATACATGTACACAACACCCGGTTCCAACTCAGACAAGAGACAGACTAACACTGCTTTGGTTGCTGCTGAGCGGGCGTACTATATATCGCGCGGAGCGAAGGTCTGCCAACCACACGACCACACCCACAAGAAGAAGGCAGAGTATATACGGTAACATACTAAAAAACCTGTGGTACAAGAGAAAAACGTTGCATGTGAACGCGTACGGAAAACCGGTACGGCGCACCCACTGCTGCACTGTACCCAAAATACTGTAAATCATTCGCTGACCGGATTTAGATACTTACGGCAGACTTTGCTTTCGCGGGATGCGAGGTGTCGTCTGGGTGTCGTGTGTCGATTCGACTGTACACAACATGCCGTAAATCAGTCGCCGACCGGACTTAGATACTTGGTGCAGGGTTTTTCTTTCGCGGGATGCGAGGTGTCGTCTGGGTGTCGTGTCGATTCGACTGCCCCTTACTTTGGGGTCAGCAGCCAGAGAGAACACGGAAACTTGTTTGTGAATCTAAAAGATCAGCAGGCCAGGGTGTACTGGGTAGAGGTCGGAGCGGAATGTCAAACAAATAATGCAACAGCAGCAGCAGCAGCAGCAGCAGCAGCAGCAGCAGCAGCTGCAGCAACAACGACAACAACAAGAGCGACTCACGAGTCGAGAGACTTGGGTTTGATGACCCCCTGCCGAACAAAGTCAGATTCCTCATCGTAGACATGCCATCCGTCCAGACTGTCGTCGGCACGGGCAGCAGCAGCAGCAGCAGCAGCCGCAGCAGCAGCCGCATCCCCAACACGCCCGTTGCCACCAATTGCACGGCTCTGAGGGACAAAAAAAGAGGGGACAGGGGCCGCCAAACGGAACCCTAACGTTTCACATGCGGGGATGTAATTGGATGTCATCCTGAATGCTGATCGATCATGCAGATGTGTCGCTGAATTTCTGGCGAAGTTAAAAGCTTTCATCTTTCACTGTGCCAACAACATTCAGTTTTCCATCCCTAAGCAACAGACCATGGCCGCAGAAAGTCAGCTTGTCTTGTCTGGATGAGAACCACAAATACACAAATACTCTTCCGATACTCGAAAAATTGTCGTACTATTCCATGCTGTATTTGTGCACCGTACGTATGGGCCCCAGTAATTCCTCAAAAGGTACATAGACGTGGGTTAGTCTTCCATGCTAATATGATACGGTCGTCCAAGGTATGCCACGTGAATAGCTAGCCCACCGCCTACTTCCTATGACTCCCCCGGGACATCGACATCCCACCGTCTACTTCCGCACTCCTCAACATCGAGAGCAGCATTGGTGTACGATACCAAGCTCAACCAAGGACAACCAAGGCAGGAATGTACGTGTTAACACCGCAGCAGATGCGGCCTGAACAGCAGCAATACACACGACACGGTATCCCCTCAGCAAGCGCTCCTCGACGCTTACCACACATCTCTTGCCATACATACATACCTCGCGCAATTTTGCGGCGTCATCTGCACAGCGTCTCCTGTCAACTGCAGCGGCGTGACTAATCGCGAACGACCTCTCCGGAGAGCCTTGCGTGAAGGCAGCCATGGACCCAATGATCTGAACCGCATCACGAGACACAACACAGGCGTCGACCAGTTGTCACGATGTGCACAGCACGTGCCAGTTTGCAGAGAGATGAACAGGCGAGTGACTTACTCCATGATAGACCAGCCGACGAAATTACGTTCATGGCAAGTGTTTCGATTGGACCTACATGGTCTATTGTGATGCATAGTATGGGCGAACACGTACACGCATCTGTGCGGAGGGTACATACGGCCAGTTCGGGCAAGCAGATGAGGGACACAAAATAAGTCCACAGCAGTGTGCTGGCAAACACACTCAATAAGTCGGTCCTCGAGAATGATGAGATTCTGCACCACATCTACTTGTACCGACTTTGTTGTTCTGTTTCTGTCACCGGGGGCAACGCAGATATGGAGAACCGCCTCAGGTGGTTGAGACAGCTCTACATGGAGCACACACGCCAGCGAAAAATAGCGCATGATGCGACCAATGCCCCCCGCCCCCCCCTGCAGCAGCAAGGCTAGGCGTACACAAACTTGATCCATGCGAGCGACAGTGCACCGCTAGTGCTAGCCAAAAACATGTCATGAAATACCACCACAACAGCAGCAGCAGCGCCATCACCGTAACAAGAACGACGACACAAAAAAAATCTCAAAAGCGAAAGGGGTGCACATCCAAGGAAAAACACCGACAACTACGGCGACGCCAAGACGAATGCATCCCACGCACCCCTCTCTCCTGGTAACTGTTAATAATGGTCCGTAGCACGCCATCGCTTTGCTACAGAGCTGCGGTCGTCATTGCTGTACAACAACAACAACAACAACAACAACAACAACACCAACACCAACACCAACACCAACACCAACACCAACAACAACAATAACAACCACCACAACAACAACAATAACAACCACCACAACAACAACACGCTGTCACTTGCTACACGTTGCCCGTCGAGAAACACAGCAGTCGATGGTACGCAGCAGCACAAACCTGTGTGAGAGTTGAGACGAAGAGAGCGTTGTTGGAGAGGAACCGCATGCGGCAGCTCCGAAGGTCCTGCTCGAGTGGACGCAACAGACACCGTTACAGGCACACACACACAAACAGCCAGCGTTCCGTTTCGGCGCAGGTGGTTCGTCGATTGACGGGCGTTCGGGCGTGTGGTGACATCAAGCGGCGAAGAACACAGCAGTATCTACGAAGTGCCTCAAGACCGTAGCGACGAGAGGGGGTCCACTTAGAATAGAACCCATCACCGAATCCAATACCCGCGCCTGATCCCACACGCCACGAGCACTTCTGCTTGAACCTAAAATGCGGCATTAGCACCGCCAAAGAAGGTATCGTACAGGCAGACAACCATGTTCACCGTATAAAACGAAGTGTGTCAATCGACGTCGTCTACAGTAGTACACTGACTTGCACGTCTTTAGCACGAAGCCGAACCCAGTCACAAGGCACACGGTCAGCCAACCAAACGCCCGCGCACACCACACCACAACGCACACACAAAACAGAAAATACCTATCTCAGCCATGAGTGTGTTGGTCAGGCTCTCGTCGTCAACATCTGACAAAAAAATAAACACCCACCTTTGCCGTAATCGTGATGGCGAGACGATCATCGTCGGCCTGTGTGACATCCTTGATGCAGCCCATCGGAAACGAAACCCACTGGAGCGAGGGGTCATCCCGCCCGAAGGCGTCCTGGCAAAAAAAAGAGGACGAAGGCTGTTCATGACCGGAGGAGAAAAAGCCGTCTTGGAAACCCTTCGTGAAACTGAGCAGCACATACGAGGTGGGCTGGAGGTTTCGAGGTTTCGTTATTCGCGCTTCGGTTCTTCGTGGCGACCGGACGGCACACCTGTACATACTGCACCCAAGCTGTCCAGGGGGTGAAAATAAGTGAGCTCAGAAAAATGACAACGAGACAGGAAAGGACGGTACACGCCCGTGTGTGCGGTCTGCGGTACAATGGACGTAAAACCTCAGCAAAATGACAAGGAAAAAAAAGCATGATACATGCCTGTGCGTGCGGTGTGCGGCGCAATGCCATTACAGCAGAGGTGTGTGATTGTCGGAATCTCGCTGAAACAGGTGAATCACTTTCGAAAACGCCGCAAGGCCGTCAAAGCAACACACGACGGGGCACATGACGTCACAGCGGTATTCCATCCCACCGCACCGCACCTTGCCGGCCCCTGTGCGCTGCAGGATCAACCTGAAGTTGGTGATGTGTAACGCTCCGTGGAACTCGCCCCCGCCGCTACGCTTCCTTGCCAGCACGTAACCGATCGGTTTCACCACGTTGGTGACGGTTTCGCCATCTAACAACGACGGTTTCGGCCTCGTGGAGACAGGAGGAGTTTCCGCGTTGTGCTGCTGGCGCGCGGGAAACAAAAAAAAAAGCGGAGAGGTTGAAAGCAAGCATGATGGTATGGGTATGGACGGTATGGCGGCATGTGGTAGAGAGACAGATGGCCACAAGAAGGTGATATCATATCAATTCACCCCATCCTCTCGCCACTCGAAGCAGATACGCAGAGCAGCGAAGTACGTCATGGGGTGCTCATCGTGCAGGAACGATGGCCATAACTGGCTAACATCTTGAAGAAGAGAAGGCAAGCAAGGAGTACAATTGAATGCAGCAGTAGTAGCAGAGAGGAAGAAAGAGAGAGAGAGAGAGAGAGAAGATGAAGAAGAGAAGATGAAGAACATACAGAGAGAATATGGAAATGGGCGAGAGTCCGAGGAAAGTGGATAATCCTGCTATTATGCTTTCAAGAGAGAACATGGACAGTGAATAACTCTGAGAGAGGACACTTTTGAATATTGAAGTATGTATAAATACACAATGAAAAACCCTATCCACGCGGCGAGATGGACTGCGAGGCAAAAAAATATGTACCTTTTACGAGGGACGAAGTACGAAGCTGGGATATGACTCTTGGAGGAAGAGCATGCACAGATTTACTAGGCGGAGAACAGCACTCGTACTGACGGTGCGGCGCAATGTAAAGCGCATGCTACATACAGCAGTAGGCAAGAGTAGTGGGAGGAAAGCGGGGTACTCTCGAGGAGGAGGGAGGAGCTGACGTGACCTATGACATGTAGGGAATTGATCGAGTATTGAGCAGGAGTACCGCCCCTTTCGAAAAACACCGACATGAGGTTCAGCCTCGTTACGTCGACTTAACTCAACGGGGACATGCGTTTGAGTCTTAATTAGCAGCGAGGAGTGACACCTGCTGGATACTGGACTTTCACTGAGTCGGTGAAGGCCACTACACTGAGCACCCACAAATACCAGCCTGCCTTGCGCATATGCGTATGTCTATGCATACGCATCGCAATATCGCAATCAAGAGTGACATGCCTCTCAAAAGCTCGAGGGTCCCAAGGGAAGAGGCAAAGAGGGCCGAAAATGTTGGACGAGTCTCTTTGCGATATAGGACAGATGACCCTTCTCCAAAGCGTTACGGGGCGAAAAGTCTTATGACGTAGGCAAGCGATACATGACGAAAAACCGCCACACAGATGCTTCAACCTCCCCCCGTCGCGAGGCGCCGAAGGTCAAGGTTCAAGGTGGCCAGAAACATCCATATCTCGAATGGGTAGTCTTTCTGTGTGTGTTTATATTATTCCTTAATCCACATGTGCCTCAGCCAGTGACAACATAGAGGACACTTTTCAACGTATATATTCAAGGGAGGGCAAAAGCGGTTGTTGACATGCCCGGCTAGACAAAAGCAAGGAAAACTTTCAGAGGGGTCGAGGTGGATGTTTAGCGACAGCAGTGTTGGCGACTGCTGTTACAATGGACAACGCTCAATAGATCTACACGGATGTCTATAAAGGGGTGCCAGCAAACTTTCGCCGCACCGCCTTTCCACGGGAGACAAGATGAGACAGCCTAGCAATCAATTCCCCATTGCTTTTTCCGTTGCACCCGCATCATACACGTTCGTTCCGGGATCGATTCAAATCAAGCTCTCACATTCACTGACTTGCAGAAGCACGCCTGCCATGCCAAGGGCTGGTACGGACCGCGGCGCGTCGGCAACATATCATTGTTCACCACGGATTTAGTGTCGTTGCGTATCTCCCTGCCCACACTGCCAGGGAAGCGCATCAATTTTCAAAACGGGCGCGCGGCCCCGAGCCAAATATTTACTACAGCAGCTCCTTTCGTCTGATGGATGCCTTCGCACACTTGCTCTCTCACCTCTTCATCGCCCACAGCACCCCCTCCTGCCGTCATCCTATAGAGCGCACGATGCACACCGATTTGGGGGGTTGCAGGTGGTTTAGTCGTTTGGTCGAGGTGTTCGTGTTGGACATCACACCAAACAAAATGCAGCAGAGCAAGCAGCAGCGACAGAATTGGGAGCATGAGCAGCGGCAAGAAATCAGGTCGTCGAACAAGAAAAACACGAGGTTCGGAAGCTTGCGGCGACTTACAGGAGCTCGAGTTGTGGAAGCTGAAGTGAGAACTGCTGCAGTAGCATTCCCGCTTGTCCGCCTCAGGTCTATGCCGTTGACACGCGTGACGAGACCGCGGCTGCAGGAGGGGAGCACGCGAAGTGGGAGAATGAGAACACGGGGTAACCCTTGGGAGTTCCACGCTTGGCGAAAGGCGAAATGCGTTTTTTTCTCCCCTCCCTCCCCCCCGCCTCCCGTCGTTCTCGCCCAGGTTCTCGGCCGCCAGGCCGTGCGTTGGCCGTGGGTGACGGTTAGGGTTGGGTTGAGTTGGGTCGGCCACGGTGTGAGACACATCTCTTGGGCGGAGAAAGGATCAACATCCTTTCTTTGTGTTGTCTCGCTTTTTCCTCTTTCGGCTGGCATGTCCGCTATCACTACGTAATAACAAGTTGTGTCTTGCTGGGCACCCGAACACACGCATACTGCAGCAACGCAGTAAAGCAAAACGACGTCCTCGCCAAATGGTCAGCAAACATTCGTTGAGACTCTATGGACGAAGTTGAGATTGTCACCATCATCATCCCGGATGAAGCAGTCTTGTACTAAATACAGTAAATAACCGATGAAACTCACGATGTCCTCCCCTCGATCTGCTCTCACGCCCTTTGACCCAAGTTGGTCAAGCATCGCTTAAATCCACTCGGCAGTTTCCCGGCAATATCGCAAGCAGTACACAGCACCACCACTGGATGGGCCTTCGACTCATCAGCATATTCGAAAAATGCCCTCGGACCTGCCGGGGGTGAGGTCGCCGAAATGAGCGTTGACAGCTCATCAGCAACGAGGCTACATTGATCGCCATCTCGTGAGTTGTTGCCAAGTAAGGAAATAAGACAGTACGAATGCTCATCCTGCGGTGTCGGCGCAGTTCGCTTGGTTTGTGAATTGTAGCACGGAAATAAGGTAAGCGTTACAATACCGTTATCACTCTATTGGTTGAGCGCCCTGCGTCCCATATGGGTTTGTGCCTTCGTACTCTAGGCGGAAGTGTGGGAGTCATCAAGACGTGACGGGAAACGCACATTTGGGCGTGTTGAGACCTCGTCGCTACATACATGACGGGTGACGCACGCTTTCGTTTGGGAGTGATGTTGAATTCGATAGCAGCATGGTCTTGACCACACACCCGATGCTTCCGTCCCTATGTTGTCACTGAAATGGATTCGCTGCTGCGTCGAGAAAATCTGTCGAACGCCAGCGCCGTCATCAGTGGTAGCTCCTAGAAACCGAATCCTAGCACCCCTCGGCAATAAACACATGCAGCGACATCACAACGCGCACGTCTCGTTTGTTGTCATGTAGAACACACCATGCGCGCTCGACTCCATACTCGAATGTTCCGAACTTCACACGCAGCGAATAAGTCCTCAAGGACCCTCGTCAAGGGAAGGAACATGAAGAAGGCGCGTGTCTGCTTCCTCAACACTACATAAACGATTCCGGGGTGCGTATTAATCGGTTCAACTCGATAGAGACGACAAAAGGGCAGCCGAACACAAAATAGGTATCAACGTAGTAACGCCTTCGAATGTGTGCTATGTACAAATCACGGACAAACATATAGGGTGTCACTCGTTGCCAAAAGTCAACTTCGCTTGGCCAACATTGCTCTCGCTACCCTGGACTGGGGCGGCCTACCCAGCTTATCTGAAATGTACAGAGAAGTGTCTAACAACAAATCTAGGTCAACGCCCGTGTTGATTCCCATCCCATCCAACATGTACACCACGTCTTCTGTTGCGACGTTGCCGCTTGCCCCGGGAGCGTATGGGCAACCCCCTAGGCCAGAAACCGACGTGTCCAACACGGTAATACCCTGGAGCAAAACAAAGCATGAATAGCAGCGGGGGATTTGGGGCTTGCAGTCGGCGAGTGTTGGCGGGACATCGGGGGTTCAAAGCAGCACTATCCTTGGCAGACGTCGATAAGGACCCTGCCAGGTAATAAATACAGCTTGATTTCGTCTATTCTTCTGAAACATGTTTCAAAAGGGGATCTCAGAATCTTGCTCCGAAATAGCGCACACGACACATCCGTACCCCGTTGATCACATTCTGGCGCCTGGAAATATCATAACCGGGTGTGCTAGTATGTTGTGTTCGGGGTACTTACTTGATCTGAGAGTGGTTTGAGGTTTTGGTCTTAGGTTGCATCGCAAACATACTACCACGCCGGGTGTGGTATTGTGTAGGGTGTGTGTTTTCAAGATACTGAACTTGCTAGATCGTCAGCATGGCAACACCACCGATCCCTCACAAAAACACGATATGAATTTCCGAACACCGTTTTAGACCCACTGTGCGGCAGTCACATGCGCGGCGACCGGCGTCAAGAGCAGCGTTACGGACATGGATTAAGGACCCCTCACCTCCTCCAGCGCAACGAGGATGTTAGCCAAGGCCTGCCCGTATGTGTCATGGAAGTGCACGGCCACTTTCTCCAGCGGCACTCCCGCTTCTCTCAAGGTTTCCAGGAGGACAAGGGTACTGCCAGCTGTGCCCGCGCCGATGGTGTCTCCCAGTGACACCGAGTAGCATCCCATGTCCAACAGGGAAGTCGCCACCTATTCCGCGGAAGCGTGAGACCGCCAGATCAGCGGCCGCTGCGACGGGTAACCACTTGCACATGATTCGATCGTGCTGCCACTATAATAAATATTTCGCTCCAGTACACGGCAGCTTTGGTGAACAAACCTACCCCGTACAATCAACGATTGCTTTGCCCTTCAACTCTCGTGTATCAGGGACTCGGCACAGCAGGTAAGCCCATCCTCTGACCTCCGCAACGGCTCCTGGAGCCACGCGCCCCTCGTACGGGCACCCGAGTACGCACGACACGTAGCCCCGTACTGGCAACCCCGCTACCTTGGCCTTTTCCATGACTGGCTTGAAGCGTTCCAAGCTCTCAACAATTGAGCAGTTGATGTTGGCAGAACTGAATGCCTCTGACGCCGCAGCAAAAACCGCAACCTGTCGCAGGACCAGCAATGACAGGTGCCGTAAGTATCCATGTACAGAACGTTTTCGAATACAGAGGGCAGCCGCGAGTCAAGGTAGGACTATCGAGAGAGAGGGCGACCGGAAGTTTTGCCTGTTTGTCGAAATCTTCGATTGCGCCTGATTGAATGCTGGTTGAGTCATGCTCTGTCTAGAGGTGGTGCTGGAAGTGCTGGGTGCTTGATTTGGGAGGCGCGTCAACGCGAGAAACGACTGCTGTAGACTTGCCTTGGAGGGTCCACCATGTGCACTGGGCTATATCAGCGTTACCGTCACCGTCTGTCAGTTTATCTCCCTTTCAGCCCCTCCGCCTTGTGGTGCACGTCATCTAGACATCGTACCGATCTTGGATGCTCCATGTGTGTCTTATAACTTGTGATCGGAAGACTGCATTGTTCCGCGAAGAAGCACTTCTACCAAGTTGCCGTTACTGACAAGGAGGCCAGCGCAAGCAGCCGCACAACCATGGCTTATGCCGGCAGGTTGAACCAACGGCACGAAAGAGAGGCCGCGGACCCCGATCAACTGCACCTCATCAGCACCAGCCTCGAGCGCTGCCTCAAGCCCCCGTAGGTTGGGCGTCAGGGCCGCATACTTGACGCCCGGCGCTCTTCCAAGATTGGCCAGGACTTGGTCGCCGTCAGCCATCTGCGGAACCCACTTGGGGCTGACGAAAGATGCAGCTTCGATAGCTTTACACCCGGCGGCTGCCAAACGATCAATCAATTCCACCTACGTTGAGGGTGCATGCAACAGCCAAGAGGGACAGCAGGCGTGTTGCCGACAGAATCACGGAGCATGCTTGCTGCTTCACTTCAACTTGCGGGGAGACTGCTGTAGACAAAATATTAGGCTTTTCCCCCGTAGGCGATGTTTTTTTTTTTTTTGCGGCGTTTCACGGAATTTTTCGGCTATTTTTTTTCAGTGCAAAATACGCCTTTTTCGGCGACTTTCGGCGCCTTCCACATGTTTTTCGGCGAGTCTTAGTTCAGTTTCGGTGATTGTTGGCGATTTTCGGCGACGTACATAGCATGTACTTCCAGTAACAAAAACGAGCGGGTCGCGACGCGGTTGAACTGCTGCGGAGGTCACTTATCACCTGTCCGCGAAAACCGAAATGATGTATGTGTCCTTCGTCCTTCTCTTATTTTTCTACGAACTACATCTATCTTGCATGTTACGCTGGTTGGTGCGTACATGCAATATTCCGAGCCCCCAGTTATCAAACAAATCAACAACGAAATGGAATACTATGAGATGCTTCGATACTTCGACGTTACGCATGGCATGCACGCCTACGTCCGGGCAAAAACATGCAAATCATGACAGGTACTGACCCACCAACTACGAAGAAGTAAGACATCTACACGAAACTAACTGAAACACAGGTCATCAGTCGCTTTCTTCATCGCTGCCATCACTCTGGTCGCTACCGCCGCCACCGCTGTTGGCATCTTCGAAATTAATCGGCACCGTGAAATTAATCGGCGAGAATCGGCGACCTCAACCCATGATTCGGCGGAGCCCCCTCCAAAAACGGCGCTACTTTTTGGTTTTCGGCGACAGTTTTTTTTTACGGCGACATATTTCGGAATTCGGTGTTTTCGGCGGTCGCCGACGGGGGAAAAGCCTACAAAATATACTCCTAAGAAAAAATAGACGAGAGATGTTCCCATGTACCTATACATATTGTGGCATGAGCAATGAAAAACAAGGCGTCGGGGCTACACCGTGCCGTTGTCGTCACTACTGTCTCACCTTAACCTCAGTTGGCACAGTGGAGAGCTCATTCTGCAGTCCGTCTCTGGGGCCCACTTCCACGAGGGAAACGGACTTGGGCCACCTAATTGCGCCGCATTTTAGGCCTCGATGTGTCGGTGACGCTATGCTTGCGCGCGTTGCACTGAGGGACGCAAAGGCTCGCCGACAGCGGTGAGAACCGATCATCCTACGGCACCATGCACTCGATCGACAGGGAGCTTTTGGACAGGATGTGGTTTGTGCTCGTGAAGGTCAGACGTGAAAGCACGCACACACACGAAGGCCAGGCGCGTACATACAGCAGTACAGCAGTCACGTCGCCCCTCGCTGAAAAACGGGATCTGGCTTTCGCCCCAAGGAGAGCAAAATCACCACAGTGAACGGTGCACTCTGCCGTTCTGCGGCTGCTCTAGCCTGTTCTGCCTGGAACTGCTGTGTGGATGAACAGGCAATCAACTTAGATCGAAAAGTCGGTTTGCCGAACAGACAAGGATCTTGCGGCACATCTGCTGGAAGGGAGGGATCATGAGCTGCAGTCGCCAGCAGGAAGACGCGCACGATTCGACCAAAGGCATGCCTACGACTCTGCCAAAGGATTGTTGTGCGGCTCTTCCATCATGCTTATCGACATCTGTTCCGTCGAATACCAACGCCCCGCATCGACGGGTAAGGTCCATGGCGGAGACGCTCGAAGATCGTAACTTCCCGCCCGGCCAACCAACGTTGACGTTCCGCGTAACGGGGGCCTCGTCAGTGGCCCGCTTGGAGCCGCTTCTCCTCGGCCCAGGCGGTAGGAACCAACGGCCAACGATTTGGTCGCGATCTCTCGATAGTGGCGATGATGGTGTCCGCGTTGATTTTGTGTGGGAAACAACCGTGACGAAGCAACAGCAACGACGGCATCGGGATGCGAGAGTGCTGAACCGCCTCAGCGGCGCGCAGGTGTGTACTGCTGTACCACCCAGTACCATGATGTACAAGTACAGCAGTAGCATCCTGACTTGATTCCTACGTGCCGCAAACTGCAACCTGGACATGATTTTATGTCTGCGAAAACTTTTTTATCTTGCTTTCCTTGCTGCACATGATGAGTCGATACCAATACCCTGAGATGTTGGATTGAGCTTTCAGGTAGCCAATTCCAGACTTTGAGCAGAATACTGAAGCGTCCAACAGCAGAGCGCGGTTGAAGTACATGTATGTACATAGTCTAGCTATGCAAGTTCCGGCATATGTTGGAGGTTGAAATTCGCTTGAGCGCAAATCACCGTGTTACGTCTTACTTCTGTCTCATGTGATTTCACCCCTCCTCTCCTCTTCTCGACAGGTCTTGGAAGATAAGGCCAATCTAGTGCTACTCCAGCGGCTCATGACAGCGCCAACCCTGGAGTCGTACGCCGTCAACGGCCGAAACGCGGTCGCTCGCTGGGCACAACAACGTTTCAAGGAGCAAAATCTTCCACGAGACCGTCCTCCGCCCCCCCCCTCTACTCGTGAGGCCGGGTATCCACACGACGATCAATTTCTTGCTCGTAAACGTGCTCTAGTCCAAGGGACATCAGCAGCAACGGAAACAACACAAGAATCGGAAGCAGTCGGGAATGGACATGCAGGCGAGGAGGACTGGTGGTGCGTGAAAGCGGCAGGGGGGAACGGTGGGCTTGACATCTGGGTGCTGCATAAGGGGAACTGGAAGATGGTGACGGAAGCGCTTAGCGAACATGAGAGCTATGTTATTCAGGTAGGGACAACGGAGGGGGGTCGAACGCGGAGAGCTTGTGCTTCGAAGCCAGCACTGAACCACCTGGAGACGTTCCTAAGGATGGAAGTTTTGGGGGAGAGAGTGTGTCTCGGCAAGTTACAATCGTTGTTAAGCGACAGTGTTGGTTCATAGACATGCTATCTAGGATTCAATTGCCGTAGAATTTATGTAGCGACACTGCTTCCGCACGCTTCTTGGTACGTTTAGTCTCCTTGACGGGGTAGCTCCGATGAGCAGAATGGGATACCATGACAGATGCCGATCTTCCCAAGCCTCTTCGCTACGACGCGCTCTTCTCATCAGCGGTACGTCGCAAGACCGATGCTTTGGCAAGGGAGAAAATTTCACTTCCGCGCATACGCCCTCCTGCGAGCTGATATGTCGGCGTGGCTGTACCGCACCGCGTACATCCTGTCCGCCAGCCGGCCGTACTCCCTCGGAGGGAACGACAGCCGTGACGACGGCGTGCGAGTGGGGGCCGGTGTTGCGGACATGCACAGAGCGGCTTTTGCCGACGAGTTTGTGCACATCAGCAATTTGGCTGTCAACAAGCACACCGAGGGTCACCCTGGGCAGGTCAGTCTGCAGAGAAGTAGTGCCCCTCAGTAGATTATTCCATTTGCAGAGCTGCAGCACGAACCATTTTCTGCGACGAGCAAATTAGGCCGTCTCCAGCTTTCCCTTTGTTGTCTTTTTTAGTGGCAGTGTTGTAATCTTTTGTGAAGCATTTGATCGCCACGAAACCTCCGTTGTCCGTCTTTTGTAGATATTGCAGCACGAAGGGCTTCAGGGCCGGCCATACCAAAGACGCCATTTCCCCCCCCCTTGTTCAAACTCCAGCGCCGACGGTGGAAACTGGGTCCCGGGGAGGTTCAGGATATTGGTATCACCCCGAAGCTCATTTGCCCTCGTATTGCTTGGCCCTCTCATTGCTCGGATTTCATTATATGTCTGGGAAGCTTGTTCGATTGAGTCTTATTCCAGTACCTCGATCATCATGACATATTTCGTCTTCCCCCGTCCTTGACCTCGTGACATATACCCGCACACACCGGTGTAGGTCCCGTGCGACCTCCCTAGCGAGTATGGTGCTTTGTGGCCGAAAATGCTGGAGCTTCTAGGATCTCTCGTTGACGCAGCGACGCCGTTCATGCAGCACCAGGCCAACCCCAACCATTTCGAGTTTTTGGGGTTGGATATCATCGCGGACAGCGCCGGAGGAGTCTGGCTAATGGAGGGTGAGAGCCTTGGTGTTGCTGTTTGATGTTTGTGGATGTATTTACAGTATTGGCAACGAGTTTCTAGGTTGGGGATGAACGGATAGGAGAGCTCACTGGTGGGCGTACACGTTTTTTTATGTTTATACTCATGCAACGGTAGGGGCGCACGAGTCCCTTCTGTCTCCAACGTGAGAAGCTCGATATCTCAGCCTGGAATGACACAATATGAACATACATACGACGCGATATCCGTAGGTGTACGTATTCCGATGGGCTAGATGAAACACAATTGAAATTCAAAGTCGGAATAGGTGTTCGAAAATTATGGTTGGTTATTCATCTGAGTAAGGTTGTGGGCTATCATATGCTAGGTACGTCCCGCCGCTCGTCAAAAGCCCTCCGTCATACACCAAGGCCTGTCCAAGGACGTGATGTTCGCATTGAACGACGCATGGTCAAGTAGTTGTCTAACGTATCGATGGGTGCGTAGAAACGGTGTTGTTGGGCTCATTGTTTACTGCGTGCGACGTTCATGACAGCCTCGAACCTGCCGCTGTTGCACAAACGCCTTGTGTGTCTGTTACTCGTGCTTGTGTTGCAGCGAATCGGTTACCTGGACTGCAGAGCTCTAAGCAGAACCTCGAGAAGGAGAACGAAGTCTACGACGGGATGATGCTGGATCTCATCAGGCTTTTGGTGCTGCCTCCGCTCACTGGCTGTTCGCCCGAACAGGGCCTGTTCGAGGTCAGCGGCACCCTACACATCGAAGCACCACACTCTTGTCACACTGATATATCACATTGGCGCTAGCTATACCCCGCATACAGTAATCATCTTCGCGATCGACACAATCACAATTAGTGTTGTCAACTCTACCTAGTGTCCTCAGCCGGTTCTAGACTGCTGCTGAATACCATGGTATTTGATACAATGGAACCGGTGCAAATCCCGCTTATCAGTGCTTCGGTGTTCATCCCCACAGCCGATGTAGCGATTCAACTTCCCTGGTAACTATGTTTGGGAGTGCTGACAAGGTACAATGCACTTTAAGAATGAACAAATGTTGGAAACGACACCAACAACACGAGCACATCAAGGGTATATGAGTTCAGTTCTTCCGTTGATAGATGCCCGCGTGCTATGTTTTGGCTCAGATCCTACCAAGCAGGCCCTTTCCCAGTTTCCCCTCCGAGGGTAACATGCCGTGTTCGTCAACACTTTGATGCTGGAGGACACCCCTCAGACTACACCACCAAAGATACCTCTCCTTGAGACACACACACGCACATCCCGCGTCGCACCCCAGACTTTGCTGAGCTCGTGTGTCTGTCGGTGTTTCCTTATTTTTTGCCAGGTGGCCGCCACACCAGCTTCAGGTGCAAGAGCGCCATCCACGGAAACGTGGAGGAACGTCATGCGATTTGCGGCGTTCAAGCGATCTTGCAGAACGAAAACACATCCTTCGTGATTTTGATCATTCGCTCTCCGTGTACGTTTTCTGCGTGTGTGAGCGTGTACGGAAAGAATCCAGAGAGAGGAGGGGGGGAATGTGGTTTGTAGAACGAAGGTGGAGAAACAGTGCTTGTTGGCTTCCTCCTGTGTGACCCCGGCCTGTGCCTCTAGACAGACACATTGAAAGCTGTAAAACGTTAGCATCCAGTCTGTGGTAGGACGGATCGGAACTCTTCAGTCAAAAACCTTAAAGACATCATCATGCGGCAGGGAATCCCGAACTTCGGGTCATTCGGTCGTGGCGATCATGAATCTGGGCCACGGATATTAATGTAAATGTGTCATATGCCGTAGCCATGCATATCCCTTAATCCAGTAACAGAAATGTTGATCCTTGTTCCGCAGGCAGGCATGTGCCGAAGATTAACTTTGCCGGGGCCTTTCACTGCTGCGTAGTCCAGGTGCAAACCTAGCCTTCTTGACGATGGGCAATTTGCGGGAGGTGGTGTTTAATGGTGCACCGTAGAATTTGAACAGTTCATTGTTCGAAAACAAGAGGGGAGAACCACTAATCATTTAAGCAAGGAATATAGCTGAAAAGTTGCCTGTTTCAGTTTCTTTTACGGGATTGAACATGTTCTGTAGGTGCGACGTTCTGCAGCGACACTCCAAAATGTCGGTGGTTTGGGGGAACCCTCGGACGACGATTACATTATTCTAGAGAGTGACCCCCGACACGAACTTTGCGGTTCATCACAATGAATCGGCTATGATGGAAGAGGAACCTCTTTTTACTTCGTCCTTGATACATTTACATCCGCGCGCGAGTATGTAGGGTGAACAAGCATCACCACCGTTCATTACGATATGTTAGAAGTACACATATGTAGGGAGTATGAAGTAAAATATTGTAGCCTCCATCATCATCTGGGCTCTGGCTTGTATGCCTAAGTAAGATACAGAAGTACCTGTTTAGCTGCAGATTTTTTTTCACGTTGAATTCTTGCTAACAAGTAGCAGACTAAAAAATAGTTTCGCCCAGGAATCAACCTACGACTGCTTGCTGCTACAGTAGTAGAGAAGAAGTACGATATTTTCTCACCGCACAACAATCGTCTCGCCTTCCCTTCAAGGAGACGTTAGACTATGTAATCTCCTACCATAGATCCTTCACCCTCTCATCATTCCATCAACAGACGCCGCCGACTGGCCGATCGGATCCACATGATCCATGGATCATCAAGATCATGTAGCGCGGGGGGGTCGCGACTGGTGTAGTATATACCAGGTACCCATCGACAGATACATACACGGAATCCCCCCGCATTTGAACAGCAGCACGGCAGCACGGTACACAACAACACCTCACCAGTCTGGACGCACAAAGTGCAATATGTGGTGTGGCGGGTTGGTAGGGGTGCTGGTGGTGTTACTACATGTGTCAAACGTCTCGGATGGATTCATCACCTACACTGTGGTGCGTACGTGGTTCGTTTGCAACAGTCAGAAAAACATACCATCGGCTCGATTCATCATGTGTCACGATGTCACGATACAGCTGTAGCACATCAACAGAGGGGCCGAGGATGCACCACCAAGCAAGGACAAGCCGTCGCGTTGCCCCGCATGCTACATTGTATTCTCGTCGGCAATCGCCGAAGCAATGGTCGTGAGCCTAGACGCTTGTTACAAACATCCCGACCACTCCTCCTCCTCGATTACGTCGTGTTCATGATGCCACTGATGATGCAGCAGCTTCGGAGTCGCAAGCACCAACGGGCAGATCCCGATCGTATCACGACCAGGATGCTAGCACAGCGAGACTCCTCTGTGGCTGCGGCAGTAACAAGGTCAACCGCAATAAAACGTGAGTCATAAATTTATTGCAATCAGTGTTGGTCGCACGCTGTGGCGGTGTCGATGCACCTTGTTCGTAACACAGACATGACAGCCTGCGCCCCCCGGCACATTATTTACCTTCATGCCTGAACAAGGCATGCTATGTAGCTAAAACTCGGGTGCTGTGTTGCAACGCATGCGCGTGTTTCTTTCGAGGTCAGAATGTACACGTGTTCTCGTTTTCGATGGGTCTTCGTGAATGCATTCGACGAGCAGAAGTCTTGGGTGGGCTTGGCATCGGGATTGTGTCAACCTTGCTGGAGCCTGACGCGTCCCGAGCACTGGAAAGCGACGAGTTCGAAGAGGTTTTCGACGACGATGCGATTGGCATCGAGCTGGAAGATGTGAGTGACACGGACCAACTGACACCAGTAACCGGCAAGTTGTTCTGTAGGATTGCCAAGGCAAAACGCAGAAAGGCCCGCATAAACCCACAACATGGACGATACTGAGATTAGGCGGACAAGAGTATACCTAGGTTTGCATGCGGATTGCCTACACATACCGGTACACCAAGTCACTGACCCCTGTCGAAACTGAACGCGTTCCTCCCGCTTTTTCTAGGGTGTGTCGCGTCATGCCTTGGTGCGTGACTCTGCCGATCGTTCTCTCTATCGTTAGGATGAATGCCGAATATGGTAAGGTACTAATTAGAGGCCAGAACACGCGCAAGCTCAACGTTGACAGTATCGACGGTGGTAACAGTGACAGCAACAAGAGCAACAACACATCAAATACACCAAAACACCAAACAACGGGTACTAAACCGACTGCGATGCCGGTAGCAGGTAAGATGACAGCTGTAGCAGCAGTGATAACCACCACGAACGACAACCCGTTCCAAGCTCCACGACTTGCTTGGCATGTCAACATCATTCTGCGTCGGTTTGGCGGCGTTCTTGTGCACACAACATAGGTAAAGTACAAGGGGTCCTCGCGGGTGCTAGTGAAGAGGGTAGTGCCCGGAAGCGCCGCTGCGAGACATCCCAGGTGGGACTACACAAAGACTAAGATAGATCAAGCATCTCCACATAGTAGCAGAGATGCAATAGGACAGGAAAACGCCGAGCATCCGCACTGGCTCTTGGATACGAACACGGATTCGTATCAAATGCCAAGACAGACACGCATCGACTTCTTCGTTGGGTCGAAATCTCTTACTGTCGGCTTGTATGCATGGCATCGTGAGACACGTGGTAGATTTGTGAGAAACGTGGTAGCGCTTCCCCGTGAGCTTCGGGGTCTTGTATTGAGGGGTAGTTTGCTCGGGAAACTGGAAGAGGCACACGGCTCTAGCGATCGGATGGGTTGCATCCCTTCTTCAGGCTTTGAAGTTGAGAGTAGCGTCTACAAACAGAACAATACGTAGAGGGGTGTCAAGGGGAAGAAGAGCGGCTAAGGGTCGGCAGTCACGTCTTTGCTGTTATAGTATGGACGTGCTGTAGCGGTTTAAGAAGCACGCCCTGCCCCATTGTAATCTACTATGGTACGTTTGAACGGTATCTGGTCGCCAAGCCAATAGTGATGGCATTGGTTGCCATATCAAGCTTATCAACTGACCGTGGTAGCATGCCCTTGATGCAGGATCAAGGCCGATCTCGTGTTGGTCTCCGCGAATGGGGTCGACCTGGAACGGCAAAGCGCCACCGCCGCTAAGAAGATCATAAAGACCAGCTCGCGGCCGCTCACCTTGGTGTTGAGAGATAACAGTCTTGTAAGTAACAGTTTGCTGCCTACGTGTACCGCCCATTTTTGTTGGCAGATAGAACTAACATACCCGCGGCACGCAGCGGCAATACACGCTATACTAGGTGCGCCGAAGATGTGCATGCGGCCTAGAGAACTGCCTGGGCTATCATCCACAGCCAATAAACCTTTTTCTGTGGATAGCACTGCTTGCATCTTTTGGGTGTATTTGGGATGGCTTGTGTTGAAGGGTATTTATTGCTTGTTTGTAAACAAGTTTCCTATCGGCTGTTCTGTTATAATGTGTTGTTGAAGCACGCACGCGTTGCAAATGGTGTCCCCTTCCGCAGTTCCAACAGCTGCTCAAACCTGCACCACCAACATCCCCCGACAACGAGGCGACTGGCGTTGCTGTGACGAACGGGGGCTTTGAGCCTATCAGCACCAAGGTTTCACCTGAAGGGAATGGGGTGAGAAGCAACGACGAGAGAATGAATAGGGGTGTCCCTTCGTGGTGCAAGTATGCGCATGGTGCTGGAACCCGTGCACACCCTTTGGCGCCGGATATTGTATAGTCTCCGATCGTGTAGTTTTCCGAAGATGCAATATCTCTCTCCTTGGCCAGCCTCAATTGCTCTCTCTCTCCGACACGCTTAGATAGCGGGGGCCGGGCGTCGAAGCCTCGACGGTGGTTTGTGTCTTCTTTTGTCCCCCTTTTTTTGCCGTCCAGCGTGAAGAGCAGGTCGTGAAGTTGCTCAACAGTGACAAGAGCGCGGAGTGCAACTCCTGTGGGCAAGGAGCAAGAAGAGGGGATCTGCTTGAGATTGAGTACACTGCTAAGCTTGAGGATGGCAAGGTTTTCGATGGGTCGAGCATCAAGGTGAGCGCCAATTCATCCAGAATACGTTCGCCATAAGCTGCAAGGCCATATGGTCGTCGGTCGCATTGCTTCGCGCCTGCATCGACATTCTGCAGTCCCCGCCTTTAAAGATTTCAGACCAATACAAGAATGAGCGAAACGGTTTGTATTCACTTTTTTGTATGTAGTATTTGTCTCCCGTCACGGTTGGTTTTAGAGTGGGCCGTTCTTTCTACGCCTTCTTTCAAACCGAATGGCTTCTTCACCAAGCGATACATTCTCGAGGGTCATCTATTGGACTTTAAGCGGGTGGGTAGAAGCGTAGCTCCCGCGAGCGTGGAACCGTTGATGCACGTTGGTGCCCCAAGTCTTCGTGTTTGGGGAGAAGCGTGTTTCTCTTGGCCTGCGCGGTGCCTTTGGCGGGGGGGGCACCAGCGCGCGGCATTGTTCTGCAGCCCTCCCTGTCTGCGGCGATGATGCAGTGCTTAGCGCTCCAAAAACAGTACTGCTGTCCCGGGCTTTTGGAACCCAATGCGTGGAGGAGGGGCAACACGAGATAGAACTTACGAGGACGAGTTAACAAGAGGAGGGAATGCGAACTTCAGAACTTAGGACCAGGTGTTCAGTTAAGAATCCGATGCCAAAACGCATGCATGTAGTCGCTGTTGGGTCACCCCAAATGAGGAAAAAGGAAACGAGGCTCGGGGGAATATATGTTTCTTACTGTGGAAACCGGGGACTTCTCGAAGGCGAGTCGATTTTTCGTACTCACTCGTCATTTTCATCGTCATCGGTGTGCTTTTCCGTTCTCTCCCTGTCGCTCTCTGTCTCTAGCGGCGGGGGGGTGGTGAACGAAGGAAGCAAGCTTTCGACGAGGCCGGGGCACCCTCAGGGGTATTGTTTGATGGCGTGGTTATCACGTACTGTCAAGTCTGTTTGAATCAATCCTTCGGGCACCCCTCGCAGTCGCTCTCGCTGACTCTGCTTTCTCTACTTCCTCTTCAATTTTGTGTTCGCTCGACACAACGCCACCGTTACACAGGTGAATGGGCGAGAGGTCGTTGGGAGAGCGGGGGATACGACCCTGTTCTTCGTGCTCGGGAAGCAGCCCAAGGGGCAATTCCCCCCAGGTTGGGATCTTCTGCTCATCGGCATGTGTGTAGGAGAGACAAGACTTATCAGCGTACCCCCCCTGCTCGGCTACGGCGCGCAAGGCATGCCCAAAAGGGGGGTTCCGGCGAATGCGACTTTGTTGTACGACGTAAAGCTCATCGGGGTAAATGGCGTCAACATGTGCGTGGCATGAACGGAGGTGACGACGTTCAGCATAAGATGTAGAGGAAACGAGCAAACTCAAGCGCGCTTTTTTCGCCAAGAAGGTTGTGACGTTTTTTTTACGTCTTTTTATAGATTTTGATGGGGTTAATGACTCTTGATTGTTTATGTATTACTCGAAGAGGCGCCCACCAGGCGAATGTTCAGTGGCCAGGTTCGCGATATTGTGTTGTGGTGCTTGGGGATTGTATGGTGGGGAGAAATAAGGTTGTAATGCGGCTATCTTGGTTCATTTTGTGTGCACACTGTTGCGTTACCTACACCGCCTGCTCCTGGCCCCCCGTACTTGCGTTCCTTCTTACAAGCCGCATTAGGCAACTCCACCTTGTTGTGAGAAAAAGAACGACATACATACCTGCATCAATGAGATTATTTTCGCCTGCTATTCAGACAGACGGTGTGCTACGCTTGAGCTGAAAATACGTAAAAAATGGCGCTATCATCTGCCGTGATGCAAATGTACTTGTGAATGGCCGGCATACGGTGGGCCTACCGTACAAGCGAATCAGACGATACCAAAGACGTGAATGAATTTGTTTGTCATCGCATTTATTCTGGACGTCGATTTTTGCACCTTTTCGATGTTTGATTGAGCGCACCAACCGGGATGACATAGGAAGAAGGCCACACTGGAGTTTGACTCGATCTTCGGTGCTTATCTCAGTTTTTATCGCCTGCAGGATTCGGCCGTTACTTTCCCTCGCCGACCTAGAAGTGGATGGTTTGTACTCACGTTTTTGTCGCTTTTCGCACTTGTGTAGACAGACACACTTTTGAGAACCCAGTTCGCGTGACTGCGCCCAGATTCAAACTCACGTCCCAAATGCCAGATGGCTGCGGCATCACCGACTTATTCACAAGGAAGGATGACCAGCTCTGCATGCGCATATAACTAAACGGCACGCGTGGCGCATTACTCGAGGAGTTGATGGTCTAGCAAGTTCATTGTTTCAGAAGGACCAGATTTGGGATACAGTTAAAAATACAATACGTCTTCTGGTCGTACACGGCCGCAACATGTTTTACCATCACCAAGGTTTCAACAAACATACTCAGGAAACCAAGCGTTCCCATTGAGAACATACGCTACCCTTCATCACCAGCAGCGGCGCCCCAATGGCCAGGGTAAAGCTGTCTGGTCGGACGTTGCGTTGGGCGCCGCTCCTACGTCCCTGTTGGGGGATATCATCGAGTGACTACTCGTCGAGCCGAGCAAGGCCGCCCCACCTGTCCCCTGTAACGGTCTACTCGCTCGTGCTTCTCTCGTCACGGTAGGGACGCTGGCAAGGACCACCACTGTTTTACCCGTATCATTCGCGCGCAAGCGTCGGCTAGTTTGTTCACGAAGGGGTGGGCGGGTTGTCTCAGGCTTGGAGGGATAGGGGCCTCCGCGTGTAGCCATAGAGCTGCTGATCGTGACGTTGTTGTCCGGTCTTCGTTCCCTCAAGCTTCCGACTCTGCGAGGGTCTTTGCCGCCATCCCCTGTACCAAAAGATCCCAACCTGCTCTCGTCGTCTTCGTGCATTGCGACGTCCACCTGTTCGCCCTTGGGCCCCTGTGCCCCGCCACTGGGCCGTAATACGTGCATGACAGTCTCCGCCAGAACACCGTCCCCCATGGAAACGGTCTGCCCGACGCGGTGGCGCACCACGGCTTCGTCCATGGCAACTCTTGCCCTGCTGCGAGCAGCAAGGACTCGTCGCAGCTTTGTTCCTTCTTTCCTGATGTTGCCGGAAAAAGGGGGGTGGGCGTTGTTGTTAGACGTACCGCAAGTGCTTGATCGCATCCGGGTCGATGCCTATTTTTATTACATCTGAAGGGCTCCCTGCACTCATCAGGGTGCGGTGGCTGCGGGTTGCTCGGGATTCTCTTTCTTGGTGGTATTCTCGATCGAAGTACGCTCTTCTCCCGTGTGGGGGAGTCTTTCCCTAATGAACGCTTCGTGAAACGACCCCTCAAAGTTTGTACGCCTTCAGCGCACCAAAACTTTACGCGTTCCATCCACGGAAACCCCAACCAGTAGAATGGTTGCCAAAGACGGCCTCAAGTTTCTATGCCTATCGTACCTTTTCTGTTCCTGAAGCTCTTGAACACGCCTCAACATCCTCCGCCGCCCATCTTCCTCGTCATTTTTGTTGCCCTTGGCCCACCGCCGCATCCCCCTCGTGTTCTGCGCTCTGTATGATACTGCCGCGTGCTTGCGTACGTGCCTTGCAAGCTGAGAGGCGTTGGCCGTGAACGCGTTGCTTTCCGCACGGCGTAACTCCTGCTTTGCATGATCCTTCCGCCGCTGTGCCACTCGCGCCTTCGCAGAATCGACGTCGGCGTTCCGTTTATCGAGATTTCGTTGGCGTTCTTCCTCCACGTCGCTCTCTCGCTTCTTAATGATACACTTTTGGTTTTCGAGATCAGCTTTCACAGACTCAGCTGTGAGCCTTTTACCGTCCCGCATGTACTCCCTTGCCTCCGCAGCGTTGACCTTCAACTCGTGGTCATGAATCGCTCTTTCCAAGGCAGCTCTTCGATTAATTTCATCGGCTTCACGACGAAATATCGCAACCTCGGCCGCCTTCAACTTCTCCACCCGGTCTCGCGGCGAAGGTTCAATGCGCTCTGTCTGTCTCGCCCTCGAGACTGTATCTCGTCTGGCGCTGAGCTCCACCTCCTTCGCTGCATCCTGGGCCTCGTGCGCAGCCATCTGTACCAGTTTCTCAAGACCTACCCTGAATCGGTTCCCGGGCACCCAGGTGCTGGTGGCGGCCGCTGCATCGGCGGCCACGGCCGCTCTGGCTACTTTCTCTAGAGCTCGTGCCGCCAAACCACCCGCCGTTCTTGCTGCCGCCATGGTCTGAGAGCCCGCCCACCGTGGAGGAGAAGGACCCATGGCTCGGGGGTCAGCACGCCCGACAGGGCTACCCGGTGAAATCGGTCGAGGATCACCTAGGACGAGCCCCCTACCGCCCAACCCGTTGAACCGCCGCAGCTCCTCGGCGGCCACGCACGCGTCCGCTTCTCTCCGAGGGTTGGCGCTCAGGAGCTCTAATGGTCGTTCTCCCACCGAGGGCGTGGTCATTGTTGTGGTAGGTAGCGACCGGCGCAGGAGCTCCAACTCTAGACGGTCAGCAGGCGTGAGGAGGGACCGCGCGTTCCATTGCCATCGAGAGGGGATGTGGCTCATTTCCACGAGCGCAGGTTCCACTCCCGTGCAGTCACGCGGGCGCATGCTTCCCTCTGGGACGTGGTGCTCCACATAACCGGTCTCCAGGGTGACCTTCCAAGAGAATCGTAGAAAGCCGGGTTGATCGACTATTGTACTACGTGGGAGAGCGTAGATGCAAAAACAGGAAATCAAACGTTCTCATCGAAATGAAACTACCAAACGTGTTTTTGCTGTATCTGGTGTTACTACGAGTGCATCCCGGACTCCCAGCAAAGTAAAAACGAGCATAAACACGTAGAAGCGCTAAATAAACGGCCCAACACACAGGACAATCCTGTTGTCCCGGCACATCTCCCGCAGCACACCTCACCTTATATGTGGTACTATAGCCGTTTCTTCGATCAACGACCGCAGGGAACCAGGCACCGCCTCGCCCCTCGGACAGTCTAAATAGCGACACTTCCACAGCATCCCCTCGTCGAAAACCTTGCGCGGGTGTTTTCAGGATAGGTAGAGCCTGGCCTTGCTCGCCAGCAGCTGCCCGGCGCAGCATGCCCAATGTCATCAGTTGCGCAACGGCTCGATTCGGTACTACGCCGGGTTCCTCAGTCGCGAGGGCGAGCAACACAGCTCGTGCCCTTGCTTCTTGTATGCTCGAAAACGTCAATTCTAAGAGCTCCACGTCGTCTCCTTTTTTCGTTCGCAAGCTGATTGGAGGGCCGGCTTCCGCGGAGTCTTCACGCTGTGGCACCGCCCTAGTAGGATGCGTTTGGCTGCCGACCTCCCCACTTCGTGCGCTCGTCAGACAAATCGCCGTGCTGGAAGATTCCGACGAGGTTTCACGAGTTCCGTTGGACTGGCCAAGGGCAGAAGAAGTTGTGATATCTCCGACATCGCCGCCCTCGGCTGGTTCTGACGTGTCCGTGGTTGCGGGCGCTAAGGGCCAAATCACCTTCTTTGCCTTGACATCGACAGTGATTAATGCTCCCACCTGGGTCAATACTGCACCTTGACGGATCTTGGATGGTAAAACCTGTCGAACGATGCTTTTCAGTGTCCACAAAGGCAGTTCTCGCGTATGTCTGTCAGTATCCCTTGCAGCACTATGGCTTACCACTAACCCTCTTCTTTTCTCGTGCCCAGCAAGATCGTTCGCCCCCTTCGAGCCGAGAGCACCAGATGGCGGATCGCTAAAGCTTGACATGACAGCCACCCTGTTCCCGCTCTGAAACGAAAACGCAACGCCATCTTCATCACCGTCCCACTTCCAACCACGAATCAAGGTGTAGAACACATCAAGTTCGACATACAAGGTAGGGCTCGACACGGCCGATGCGAGAGCCCAAAGACGCCGGCATAGCCGCAGGCGAAGGGCGAGCCCTGTCTGGTACCGCCACCAGCGCTGGATGCAGACTCCTGCTCGAGAAACGATTACGCACGAGGCCAGCGTATCTGACAGAGTCCATCGCAGAACATGGCCCCGCCACGCCGCCTGGATTCGCGTAGCCGACGCACACCTCAATAGCTGCCGCTCCAGGATGAACGGTACTGGCGGCTTGCCCATGGATTCGTTGCGCAGGGTACGCAGCACGCGGGCCAGCAAGCGAACCGCGAGTGGTCGGAAAGCCCAAAGCTGCTTGTTCACGTCACGCCTGGCGTTCATTGTGGCGCGTCGCTTCGCTGCTGCGGACCCTTGGCAGAATTTCCGGACAGCGCAATTTCTTCGTGACACCTTGCACTCCTGGATTCTCGGGCTCCCAAATACTCCCAACCTAGTTGGCACGCGTGAGTCGGGCCGCGTCTCTCGAAGCCCCTGGGTCCGGGGGGGAGTATTGCTCGCCTCGAGCATATAAGGACCAACCCCGGGAAGCTTGGCGCGGGTACCGGAGCAAGCTGCCGATCGAGAAACAAACAAGCCGTCCGTGTCCACGTCTTTCTCCAAGACGGGCCAGTCCGGCATTTCAACGAAAGAAAACGGCCGAAGAAGCCTGCAGTCAGATACTGTGGTGACCATCGTTGCCGTGCGTTCGCTGGCTTCTATCCAGGACAACCCGGGGGTAGTAACCATCAAGGCTTTGGCAACAGCTGCCGCGAGCTCCCCAGATTGGTCGTGCGACACGACGACTCCTCCAACTTGGGCATGCTCCAGGCTGTCAACGAAGGTGGAAAACTTTGTCGACACTTTTCCCACGAAACGCTCGAGTGTCCTGACGCATGTGACAAGAGCCTTGAAGCGAAAGTGACCCGCGATCCGTCGCTGGAACCACGCGAGACTGCGCAGCTGTGTTGGTGTCATCATTTCCTGCCAAACGAGCGGCAGCGAGTGTTGTCGGCAAAGGTTCGCTGTGATAAGTCCATGCGCTCCGTTTTGATCTTCATCTGCATTACCTGCTGGTTGGGAATACCACCCGCGGAACGGTGAAGAAGACAGGCCTTCCGGCGTTTTCTAGGTACGAGGGCAGGCCCACTGAGGGAAAGCCAGTGCCCGAGCGATGGACTTTCATTTACATCAAACCTGGTGAAGCTCAGCTACATAGCTCAGTAGTTCGGGTTATATCGCATGGCACAACAAGTATGTGCCAGTGCCACGAAAAAGATTCTAAGCTAAGCTGCATGGTCGTGCCGTGCGCACCTGCACAAGGTACAGTTCGCCGGTCTCCCTCAATATGTTCTTCAGCGCAGCGACCGCTCTCCTCTCCACCATCCATCTACGAATGCGCGCTTGAATCTTTACGGCAGCCGCAACGCCAAACCTTTCTCCAAGGAAGCGTCGAGCCTGACGCTGGCCTATGATGACGGGGCTGTTCCGAGCGTGAAACCTACGCAATAGCTGGACGCGACGCATTACACTCGCCAAGATCGAATCATCGCGATTTGGAGCACCTCGTAGGGGCATATGACCATCCCCCTCAGCGAGAACCTCGGTGGTTGGCTGCGGTGATGGGAGGTAAGGCCTGCTGCTTTGTTCCTCCTGCTGGGTTGGCGCGGAGGCCGTTTCCGTGAGCCCCTTGAACAGAGGTTGCGGGAGGGCAAGCGCACTTGAGCATGTGCTATAACGACCCGCTCTGAAAAATTCAGACTCCTCGATGACCTCTTCGTCTGAAACGGCGTGAAGATCCAGGCCGCGCAGGGATTCGCAGCAATTCGTGGTGAACGGGCGGTACATCCTTCTCTTGCAGACGGGATTGAAGAACAGCGTCAAGTATGTGAGCTTTGGTGCCTTTCCTAGCCCACCAACAGCTCGCCACTCCGCCACCTGAGCGCAGAAAAGGCGGAGGGCGGACTTCAGAATGGGAAATCATCACGATAGAGTGCACTGAAGATCCAACAAGGTGTGGACTGGGCAATCCTGGGGTAAAAGATCGCTTCAAAGTTTCGATGGTTGTGAGAGTTCTTTCGAAACAGGAAAACAGAACGCGCAGTTGCAACTCTGCTGGGACCCACACCCACTTGCTGGGACCCACACCCACTCCTTCACAGAAGTTAACCTTCCCGTGTCGGAAAAGTACCATGCACTACGGTTTTTCCGCTGATGATCGACTTGTTGAAATAAGACATAAGCGGTGTACATCCACGTAAACCAGGAGGCGCCGGCCTTGAGCTGACACGCTCAAGCCACCCCGCTACGACAATGTGATGCTCCTTGCAGAGCAGAGCAAGAAGGGAGGCAAGTTAATATCCTGACGAACAAATTGATACAACGGCAGTCCTGCCTGGTTGGTGAAGTTCGTGGAGACTACTGTAGACAGTATTTGGACTATACTGTCGCCACATCGTCGCTCGCAATTGTCTACCTAACCCACAACCTTGCGTTCCGCACTGGGGATTGCACTCACTCGTGAAAACATTAAACCAGAGAGACGATCACCTTGTTTCCATGTAGCAATAAAACCAACAGGTCCGGAAAAGAAGCCCAGAACTCTCCACCAACCAGATGGACGACCTCGTTTGAAGATAAATCCAGGTGAACAAGGCGGTTGCACAACTCTAAGAGCTCAATGTCAATCACACCGCTCTCTCGAAGGCAGAGGACAGTCAGGTGTGTGAATGTTGGCATCGCCGTAAGCGGGGCAATTGTGGGAAGCGTCTTGTACGAAGCATCCAGGACGGTTCCTCGACTCTTGCCCCAATCCACTTCTTCCTCCTTCTCCAGCAGCCACTCTGGGTGCTGCAGCATGTATTCTCGTGAGAAGGCCGTTTTTTTCCCACCACCGCCATGGTGCACCGTCCGAAGGGCAGCATGTGCTGAAGGCACCACCACTGCTACCGCCGGTTTGGCTGGATTGCTCATCCCCCGTCTCGTTGTTCCGTAAAATAATTCGCACGAAGGCGTAGACTCTATTGTGGACTACACTGCTGTGGGCGTTTGTACAGCCTCAAGAAACTCCTGGACGTCGGCGTCGGTCTTCGAAGCACGCACAGCACACGCCATACCCTGTCCAACAAGGCAACAAGACATTTTCTCCCGCGAGTCACGCGGAACGCGGCGGGACGAATGCGCCGCAATCACGAATCACATAGATAGTTCCACCGCTTTTTCAACCGTTTTTGTTTTTTCAAAGGTATCACATGATCATATGATCATGATAGCGACAGCGCGCGTAATCATGAAAGACAAGGGCGACAAGGCTGATTAGCGCTTTTGTGGGGGGAAACAGCCGCCCATTTGCGGGGGCCGGATGCGGCCTCGCTCGCTTTCTATGTGTATCTTGTATCTTTGGAGCAACGAGACGACCAAACTTGCAACCAACTATCTGGGGGACACGCGGTTCGCCATGCCGAGGTACCCCGCTTCACAAGCCAACTGCGTGTGCGACGAGCAACAGGCAGGGCAGAGGGGCAGCAGCAGAGGCATCCACGATTCCTTCTCCACCCACCAAGCAAGGTAGCAGTAAGCAACAAAGCTCGACAGGCTGATCCATCAGAATTTGGTGTGTTTATCCAAGTAATCGCGCTGTTCTGCACGGAAAAGTGAGAGGTCTCTGAAGAAGAAAGTCACCAACCAGAGTGCCTCGCCACAACTCATTCGCGGCTGGCTGTCTGTGCTGTGTGCTCTTGTGAAGAACACACCCGGCTGCCACCATGGCGCGTAACGAGGAGAAAGCGCAGATGATGATGAACAAGTGGACCACCATGAAGGAGCAGATGGCAAAACCGGAGCGTGGCAGACGGCCGTTCCTCTCGTCCGAGTGCGACAACCTCCAGGATGCCGAGCTCTGGCGAAGAGACATCATCCGCGAGACCTCCAAGAGCGTCCACCTGATCCAAAACGCCGGGGCCGGCGAGCACAAGATCCGCGACCTCAACGACCAGATCAACAAGCTCTTGCGAGAGCGAACGCACTGGGACAAGAGAATACTGGAGCTTGGCGGCCCTGACTACGCCGCCAACGCCCCCAAGTCGTACGACGCGGACGGGCGGGAGCTGCCGGGAGGGGGGGGTTACATGTACTTTGGCGCGGCGAAGGGGCTGCCCGGAGTCCGCGAGCTGTTCCACAAGTCGGATGTGGAGAACCCCAGGAGGACACGGAAAGATATGTACCAGTTCATTACTCCAGACTACTACGGCTACAGGTGAGCAAGCCAGCGACGCGGGTCTGCATTCCCTAGTCAACATGCCAAATGGCAGTCCCGTCTTGCTGATAACATATGCAGTGTTGCTGTGGTGCATCGATCGCTTTCGTGAACCTTGTCCCTGGCGGGGGGCTTGCGTTGATGCCATGCGGTTCGTCTCTAACCTCCGAGCGTGCCTTCGGCTATGGCAACTTCGTACAGAAGAATATTACTTCGCAGTTGATCGAAGATTCCCAGTATCATAAGATCATGTGCTAAGTGCTAATGTAGAGTCTACATCCGCTGAAGCGCTGCGCGGTAGTTGTGAGTTCAAGACAGCAGTAGGTAAGAGCAAGCTGGCTAACCCTTACAGAGTAGCACGGTCATGAATGCTCTCACGTCCACCATCTGTCACATTAGTATCTACCAGCACTCCATCTCGTGTCTTTAATCACTAATCACAGCTATGCGCCGGTCCTCCACCTCGCACCTACTACAACTACAACAGTGATCCGCACAAGTCCAAAGGCGATTCTCGTCAATTGGGGGCGATTGCGCTGTGTGACGGACTGGCTCGCGCCTCATGTGTCCATAGGTAGACAACACTCGGGAGGAGGAAATCGAACTTCACAAGTGGAGGTCGTTGGTGGTTTCTGCCCAATGTATCATGAACGTGATTGAACCAATATCTCGTCTCGTCTGCCATATGTACAAGTATATCCCAACAATTCGCGTGCAATTTGTGGGATTGATTCATTCAGGGACGAGGAGGACGGTGTTCTCGTGGCGAAGGAGGCGGTGATGGAAAAGAGGAAGGTGCAGTCAGCGGTGTCGGAGTGGCAGGCGGAGAAGCGACGCCGCTTGGAGGACGGGGAGGAGGAGGCGGGGGGAGACGCTGACGACGAGGACGTACAAGACGTCCAGGTGCTTGTTGAACATCCGCCATTGCGTCTGGTTGTGAGACAGCAAGGATCCTCTTTCCCTAAGCAGCTTCTTTCCCTAAGCAGCTTGAGGATCAAACGCCCAAGAATCGCACATGCTTGCATCGTGATTCTTGCGTGTCGAGAGAAGAAGAGCTTTAGCCGTGGTTGGCTGAATACCAAACTGCTAGAGCGCAGTCGCCGTGCGTTCGCCATGCGTGTTCCTAGTTGCTCTCCCGTGCCACAGTCCAGCTTCGTTGCGTAGGCTTCTGCAATTGGGCCGTTTTTCCCCGACATGGCTGTGGGGGGGGGGACTAGCTTACTTCCAGTCTATTTTCAAGATGTACGCGCCGATAGGTTTTCTTGGCTGTGTTCGGCACACCCTCCCAGCACCGCTGGCGGCCGCGCAGACTTCCATGACGTAGATATGGACAGCGACAGAGCCGTTATACCCTCACAGGCACCGCAGTCCATTTTCGGCGCCATTAGTGTATCCACAACCGCGGGCGTGGGACGATTGTACATATCATTGAGTTGAAGAACACTCAGACGACCAGATGAGACAAAAATCGCCGCTTCTTTTTCGAAAAGGAAACTAAACGAAGCAAGACACCAAGCGCAGCCACACAGAGACTCCCACCATTAATCGATTTCACACAGGCGCCCCACCACCCAAGACCGATCTTCGGTACGGCAATTCGCATTTGAACGACGGTCGTTCTTTCTCATGTCCGAGAGCGCGTCTGGTGGATCAGCGACGCCTGCATTGTGGTGCCACATTCTAGGCCGCTATACATCCACCCGAGGTCATTATCGTTGTCCTGATTCCCAGGAACCCCGATGCACAACACGACACCCCCGAGGTGTAGGACGGGGTTGTGTGGAGGAACAAATGCCGATTGAGAATGAGTGACACGGGGCAACACGCCAACGCACAGGCAGTGTGGTCCGAAGGAGACAAGAGTCCCCGCTGATGTTATGTGCGAGGCCGGCGAGAACTGTGTGCCCAAGCCCGGCGGTGACGTTGCCGGTGTCACGGCACTGCCACTGCCGGGCTGGGGAGCGCATCTCTGGGCGGCGCCGCGGGTAACATCAGCTTTGGCTCTGTCTACTTCCACCACACCCCCTGCGCGTTGGAGCACTGCGCGTTGCTCCGTGACACTCATGGCATGTTTGCCCCCCGCTCAACCGCCTTCTTGGGTGGTGGGGTCGTAGCGCTGCTCTGCAACGGTTCAATGGTGATTGCCTCGGCTGGATAAAGCGGCCGAGAATGTGGCACCACAATGCAGGTGTCGCTGATCCACCCGCAACAAGAGAAGCCTTCTCGGACATGAGAGAAGGACGACTGTCGGTCAAAAGCGAAGGGCCTTGTTGGAAATCGGGGTTGCAGGGTGGAGCGCCCGTCTGAATGTGATGCAAGTGTATCTGTGCTTCGCATCGTGATAATAATTGCTTCGTTTTTTCGAGGACGCGGCCCAATTGCTGGAAGACTATTACATAGTCAAATCCTCTAGGTCCTCACACCTGAACAGCGTGTGTTAACAACGTTCCCCAGGGAAGTACGGTGTTACCACCAAATTTCTTGCTGCTGATGAGCATACCGTTATTGGATTTTCCACAATTCGTGATATCACAATATTGTTCCTGTCATCCCGGACAATGAATATTGTTGTCCAAATACTTGCGTGAGATGCTCCAACACTGCCCCCCCAGATCCCTGGTGTTATCTCGCATATGGCGCGTGTTGAATGCCTAAGGGCGAACCAGCGTTGCTTGGTCCGTTGGCGAAAATCTTGACTCGTTGTTGCGCCGTCTACACGCGCCGTAAAGTTGGCGGTGTAGGATGGGTTGGCAGGGCTGATGCTTCTCGACCTACAAGACAATGTATCTCGAGTAAAATAACTGCTTGGAACAATGCTATATGTTTTTACCTGTATACCGGCCACGCGCAACATGCTTACAGTGTTCATTTTTTTTTCCCGCTGATTTCTCTCTTGAGAGGCACGTGGCAACGCTGCATGTTTTGTTCCGGGTGCCGTGTCCAGAGCGCAGGCAGCGATGGTTCACACCGACCGCCTTTTATTTTCTGCTACGTTTTTCTGCAGGGGCAAGCGGCCGAAGCCGCATCAGCAGCAACGTCCGCGGAAGTGCGAGCACACGTCCCGGTGCCGTCGCAAGATGCCATCAAGGAGGCGATCCTCAAGAGGAAGAAGCTGACGCTACTGAAACGGCTTGACGGCGAGGAGGATGCGGCCGACGGCGAGATAGAGGACTAAGCTAGGGCCAAGACCACACGTTAATGTGTACTAGGATACCATTGTAGGAATCTTGGGAAGAGTAGCCCTCGCTGTAAGGTCGCCTTGAAAGTGTTGTTGCCCCCCTGCTGCCGTGTTGGACAGTATGTGGCTTCTGCCGGTGTGCGCCCTTCCTGTTCGAACGTTTCAGGAAAACAATCGCGGAGTAGAGTTTCGCGTATCAAGTGAAGCGTGCCCTTTTCTTTGCGATTGGTTGCCCGCGACACCCGTTGACTTGTTTCGCCAGCACGCCATCGTTATTCGAGAGCTGTTGTTGCCTAATGGTTGCAAGACTTCTACTGCTGTGTGTCTCGCGAATGGCTGCCATACGTCGTGCGGGACGTGCCTAGCACAATGCTCCTATCATAGCCTCTCGTTCTTGTATGCCATTTTTTTTCGGATGTCGGGCTTGGGGTTTGGATTTTTGTTCCAACGCATCGTAGAGGACCTGCATTTAGAGTGTTGCTCTGCGCTAGATACTTCTCCGGTTGGCAGCACCTCGAGTACGCAGTACAGAATGATGGTATCAGTCTCACGGGGGACGGGGACAGTTGGTCTGTCTTTGGGAACGTTTTCTAAACTTGAATGCCCTCGGAATCGTCCGTGAATAGCTGCTACCAGTCCACAGCAAGTTTGTGCCGAAACAACAGCTTCCTCGCTGTTCGTGAAGAAACGTCGGTGTCACGGGATGGCTTCCAAATCGCTACTTTTTCCGGCGCAAAGGAGACACGACTTTAGAATCGACATGTTGGTGTGGAGCAGCCTTCCTGAAATGATGACGTGGTATCCATGTTCTGGTTTCCGATACCCCTTCCTCCCTTGAGTGCGCCGTAGTGAATGCTGTGAGCACGCTGTTTAAAGCAACCGCGAAACTAGGTTTTGTATGTGTTGGAGGGAATCGCACTTTGCGCAGGATCATGACCGACAGACCCAGAGTCTATTTCCTGGACCCTTCATGACCCCTTCTCCCTCCGCCTCCTGGTCGACAAACAATACACTGCACTGCTTTTATTGAATGCAATGCAATTCAAAGCAATGCAATTGTTCGACAGGTGTTTATACCTCTTGGAGTCTCGACACGCACAACAACAGGTTGATTGGCCATTTTTTGCAGGTGCTCTTGTGCTCAAGAAGGCGCTCGACTTCCTTCAGCTTGTCTCCATAGGTAAGCTGGCGAGCCTCATACTTGGACCAGGGTAAATAAATGGCACAGATATCGTGCCATTTCGGCTTTCGACCAAAGAGTTGACGTCTCTCAGCATGTAATTCTTGACATCGAAACTCGCACCAAAAAAGTCGCCTTGAATCAAAATTTCTTGTTGATCTAAACTTGACATGCACACTGGTCCATTGGTTCTCCAGGAGCACGCCAAACATCAGCGTCCTTCCCCTCTGTATAATACAAACGCAGACAGTTAAACTTCAAGCAATGGCCTCCTCGCGCCCCTCCCCACATTATTGCTTCCTGTGCTCATGAGGAGACGTCGAGCCTCGTTCCACTGGACGTGGTGATATTATCCCTCGCCTAAGGCAAAGGCGACAGAAACAAGAAATAATATACCGGTCACGGACTGCTGGAATCAGGATTCATATGCTACAGCAGTGCAATTAGCTGGTGCCACATCGCATCGGCGTCGCCGGCCAACACATCACTCCGCTGAATGCAGTAGCTAGCACACAACATCATTATCGGCTGCGCCCGTCCGAGAGTGCATGGATGCTACGCCCTACACGGAAGTAACACGAAAGGTACTAAAGCAACACGGCGCGCTGATCGCCTGTTCGCCGGGAGACGTCTAAAAGCTTTGCCGTGAACCAAACGCCCACATCTGCTACGACGGTAGGCCACACTTCTTCCCCTCTGCGCACACTTCTTTCCTGGTCGAAACCAGCAGATCGAAACGAAGATCGGGCAATTAGAGCGCCATGCCCCTTCGCTTTCACGCAACCCAGCCAGCTGCCTAAAGACACTGCAACCTTCGCTTTTCTCTGAATACTTTAAATCGATCACGGGCGGTGCCAGACGCCCAGAAACTACCAACATGTTTCACTGGATGCTACGCTCCGCCTAGAACACGGGGCTTCAGGTTTATCGCCGACGATATACATTGGAGAAACGGGCGCCATGCAGTGAGTGCACCACATGCATGCCCCGTGCACACCACTTTGGCCCCCTAGTCGCTGTTGTTCTTGGCGTGCAGTGCGATTGGCACGATGATGATGATGAGCAGGATGATCACCACCAAGGCCAGCAACAACCACATCTGATGGTGCAGATAAGAACAACAACAACACACGAGGAGTTGAGAGCGAGATCAGGTTTGCTACGAGTTGCAGAGCGAGATCGAGCTTTGCTGCGGGACTTGTTTCGTTCGAGTCAGCATGACAAAATCCCTACCAAGCCAATCTGCCCATAAATTGGAAATCAGCCGGGTCCCGGTGTACGACGAACCAGAAGAAAGCGCGTACGAAGCTACGGGGTAAAATAACTCTGCTGCCGAATTAAAGCTTAATCTTCGGCAACGAAGAAAGAACAACGGTTTCAGAAGAACAACAACAGCAGCAGCAACAAGGACGACTAGTAATAAGTATTACCTTGATCGCCTTGCACCTCATCTGCCTCCGGAGCGCGGAGGAGCGGTTTTGGAACACCTTTGCCTGCCAGTACAAGGACGCAGCACGGATAATAGGTTGATCCTTCGTGCTGGGAGTGAATACATGCAAGAGCCGCCAGCACAGAGTGAGGTTGTTTGCCGCTAAAAAAACGGTATTTTGTCAGTCGCAGCAACAACAGTACTTCCAAGATAATGGACACGTGGTTCGATGCTGCTAGTTGTGCCAACTGTTGAAGGCGCGTGTCATACGATCGAGAACTACTTCCAACAGTACAATTACACGGCATTCCGAAAAGCAAAAGCGCAAGACGAAACGGCACTCGGCGGACACGCCAACCACCCGCCACGACGCGAACCTCACGAAACACTCGCTCCCAGTTAGTACAGCATGTCTTGAACGGTCTACCACGGCTAGAAGATACGAGGCGTGCTAGATTCTGTGGGTGGCCTCAGGGGAGGAATGTGAACCTTGTGTAAATCGATTCCCCAGGGAAGCCAGACGCAGAAAAACACCTATATCGTTCGGAGCTTTTTTTTGGGGGGGGGCACTTGCGGGGTGGGGAGAGAGCCCTTTCCTCTCCTTTCCCTTAACATCCAAGCAAAAATAAAAAATACATGCCTCGTGGGCCAACGTAGCCGTATCCCGGACTGACCTGTTCGTTCAGGTTCTCAGCGTTTTCGCTGATCTGGTCTAGCCGCTCCTCGTTGGCGAGCATCTGCTGGATGTTGTCCTGCATGGTCACCTTCACAACGTCCACTTTGTCCTGCGCAGCGCAGCAGCCGGAATTTCGAAGACAAAACGATCCCACCGAACAACATTATCGAACAGCACCATGCCATACCGTAGGGCCTCAACCCCGGTCAACTCGCAGCTACACAAGCGTGGAATGCGAATTGGCTGCACGTTTCTTGTCGTGCACACGTGGTACAGCAGCCGTATGTTATCGCATCTGGTGGTTCAGCTGTAGTCACAAATGACGCTTGCCTGCTCGATGTCGGCGAAAACACCTGCAATAAGGACCGTCGACTACTTTGTACACGTACGGTAGACGCACAAAAGAAAAACAAGGCAAACCCCGGGCATCTTTGCCGCATCTGGCTGTGAAGCTGCCACAGCAGGGATAGGCCGATTTTCGAGAATAAGTCGATGCTGAATGTGCAACACTGACGTCGCATGGGCGAACGAAGCTACGCTCGTGCGAGGAGACCAACTTCGCACGTGTTCACACACTACTAGGTCTCCTCTGCACTCGACGGACTTTGGTCTACCTCCATCGAATCACCTTGCACCCAAACATCGGTACCCCCATTGTCCCTTACTCTACCCCGAGGTCCAGCCAGAGAAACCTACATATATATCCATGGCGACGCCGCGAGGGGGTAAAACGAGTTTCTACCAATATTAAGATTTGACTTGCCTGTACAGCTGCCATCCGGTCCACGTTACGGATGTCGTCGTACTTGATGCACAGGTCCGAGAAGCTTGACTTCATCGTGCGCGACAAGCCTCCCTCCTTAGCGGTGAGCGACTTGTCCCCCACCTTCGCCGTGTCATGACATCCCGTCATTGACCGCATACCCCACCGGATCCCCCATCATGGCGGTCAATCAAGCACGCAGCAGGCAGCCGTTTCAGTCAGTCGTTGCGCCAACGAGCATCAGACGAAGCAGCTGTGTACTAAATGGGCGACAAGGGCTGTCATCGACGGCAACCAATGTGTACATGACTGCGCAATCATCGATGCTTTTCGCAACGTGTCAAGCATGGACCTGTGAGATTTAGTCAAATCTCGCTGAATCGCTCCGAAGCTGGCCTCCTTTGTGAGCAAGAGTTTACTAACCCCCAAATGCCATAAAATGGAAGGCAGAACATTCGGTACCAACCTACGACCTTGTCTAATTCTGGGGCACTGCTGTGGTCTCAAACGTCGCTGTTGTGTTGAATCCAAGACCATGATTAGCGGCACGTCACAAGTTTGATTCAGTTGCGAGCGCAGCAGCTATTCAAAAGGACGAAAACAGCATGGTCCCCAATTCATCGAAACAGGACGACAATACACAAGTGTAGCAGCTCGACATAGGAGGGAAATAAACATTTGGCGACCGCCTTAAAGACCGCGGTTAAGGTGAAAAAAGGCTAGTGGACCAGGCCTGGCTCTGGAATCTCCAGCACAATCGGCCAGCCAGCCACAGCCAGCTAGACAGCACCGCCCAAGCCTGGCCTGTTCGCGGCACCGGCATGTTCCCGCGTCCTGCATACGCCTAGACACCGTGGCCGGGCCAACCTCCTAAGCCACGCCGGATCAACAGACCTTTTTTCTAGCACTGACTGTACCAGACTTTAATCACCTGGTTCTATTCCGCGTTTCGGATGGGTTTGGAAGGAACAGATCGCGGGCGGGGAACAGGCGGGTCAACTACCACGCCCGGGTGACACTGGCCGGAGCGTACTTGGGGGCGCATTTCCGACGGTTTTCTAGCGAACTAGTCTTTCTCGGACGTGTGGTGGGTGAGCTGGGCTTGCGCCAGCCTACAATACATATTGTGGAGTTTCGGAATTCAAGTGACGCGAGATGGTTGTCCGATTGCCACTATTTTTTCCTCTTCGTGATCGGCTCTCCCTTGCATCGCTTGGTGGTCGAGGTTCGAAACGATAGGTGCCACATGTGTGGCTGTCGGTTGGATGGCCATTGTAAACTGTCCTGTACTACATTGTACAAACGTTACAATACTTGCGGATTCCGCAGCGAGTGCTGCTAGGAGGCTTAGTGAAACCTCGTATCTCACACCAGGTAAGTCCTTGAAATGGTTGCGCACAGCAGAGGGGAAGTTGGGTACTCCAACCGGCAACACTCGGGTGGGGCTGGCAGCTACAGAAGTTAATCTGAATACGATCCTCCACACCTTGGTGAGGAACTTGGTCTGTGCCTCCTCCAGCAGGGTGAATGCGATTCTCGCAGGGTACTCCTTGTCCGTGACGCAGCTGTAGATGCGGTTGCTGTCGTCCGCGACAAAGTGGATAGAGAACATGCGGCCCTCTACGGAGTAGCGCTTGCGAGGCTCCACAAACGTGTCCGGGTTGGACATAAGCTGAGGTGTCATGTGTGCAGCGAAGAGGATAAGAGTTAGATGAGCGGGCGTGACAAAGGGTGGCGAACACAAAACCTGCCGTGCTTCACATTCGTCGTCAAACTCGTCTTAACCTGCGTCTCTCACCGGTTCTTCAATCCGACGGGTACATCTACAGCTGTACATAAATAATTAAGGAACAATAAATACATACACAGAAAGACTACCCATAAATAATGAATCAACTGGAGTTTCGCTTTTACTGTAAATTGGATACAAGTATGAATGAGGGTAGATTTGATTAGACGGATAGGTGATTGGTTTATGTAAATGGTGAGAAGGAGGACGATACAAGCTGTAGGACGCATCTACAGCTAACTTGGAAGCGGGAGGGCTGCTAAATTTGCTTCTTTGGGACAGGGATATGTCCATGATGCAGGGCAGCATTCCGAGTACCGTACGCTCCCGCACATTATCGGCGGTATTACGAAACACACTACATTATTGTCACGTGCAAAGCATTTGCAAAGCATTGAATGATTTGAACTGCGGCCGTCGACCATGTACGTGCGTCAACTCTTTTCAATGTAGCGCCAACTGCGCAACAAAAACTAGCATCCGCGGCATCACCTGGCCTGCTGCAAGTTCCTACGAAGCATCAGAATGGTAACCTCCTCTCTGCCTTGCTGCTGTAATGCATGCAATACATCAGCTCGTTGACTCCTCTCGATGTCCTTCGCTGTAGCGTTCCGCTGAAGATCGTGATTGGGGGACTCTACGGAGAGAACAAAACTGAATCAACCCCAAAATTTAGCGCGGAATTATCTGGTAGAATACTGATTTTCGGGACTCTTGTTGTTGCGTGTTGCTTGAGAGAGAGAGCAGCTGCTTTGTTGTTGACCAACAATAAAGGCATTGCCGACCACAGCCCCAACGTGCCAACGGCACTGCAGGGAGGGGGGGGGGGCGCTGTGTGCCCGGCGCGTGCTGGGAGGACACACACTGCTTGCACTCCCGCCGTTTCAGGTTTTGAACCCGCGGCCACACGGAGTCGACCCGACCGACCGAACGGGCCTCTTTCTCACCTCCTTGATGATAAGGGAGTCATCTGCCTCCGACGGAGAGTATCCCGCCACCAGCACCCGGTCCGTAAACCGTATCACCCCCAAGAAGGTAATTCGCCGCGACATTGCCTCTGCCCGTCGCAAGGTACTGGCTCTTCAAGCCGCAACGCCCAGCTGTGTTTGTGTGTGTTGTGCCGACTGATGATCGGGAACACGACCGCCCTCGCAGCAGAAGACCTCGCCGGGTATTTGTTGCAAGCCTTGGGCAGGGAATACGCTCTGGTTGATAACAACGGGGTGGTGCTCTACGCTGTTGTGGTTGGAAACTGCCCGCGGGTCAAAGGTGGATGGGGCGTCGTTCTTGGTGTGCCTCCAGGGATGGTTCGCGGAACATATGGACACAAAACACAAATTCGAACTCCGGTGGGGGGGGGGGACGCAAATTCATCCTCCACCCACCACAGATTTGTATGATCCGCAAGTCCGTCCAACCTTGACTTACTTGTCAAAGAGCGTGCCCTCAACCAATGTGTCTGCTCGTTGCTGCTGGCTTGTAAGTCTATGTAGTGATCTACAAAGCCTGACGCTTGTGCAGGGTGCCGGCCTGATCATCATCTGACCAAAATTTAAGAATTTGAAAATGAGAATTGAGCAAACACAAGGTTGGCTGAGTAGGCTGTGTTCAACCCATGAGACAATCCAACGCCTTGAGCCTTGCTCAAAGTAAATAGGTAGGTCTTGCACTAATGCGTGCGCTGTTGTAGGTGTTGGGAATAGTAAGCGAAACACCCATCTGGTCCATGCCATATAGATGGAACAAAGGAGGTCTCCTCTTGTTAGGAACCCCTCTTGGAACGGGTGCTTTCGCCTCCGGTATCACATACTGTACACATGCACACGAGGCGTCAGGATGGGAGAGCTCAAGGACAGCCCGGATAACCAACGCAGGGTTGTCTCTCTCTCTTCTCAAAAAAGCAACGCATATGTACATGTGTTGGGTTCTCCCGACTGCTACTGTAGACAATAATGAATCCTTGCAGACGAAGAACAGAGTAAACGTGATACGAACGAACGCAAAACATCTTGTTCAGACCACAGCAGCAACGGACTCTGCAAATCAATGATACGTAGAGCCGGCACTTGCGCCGGTTGGTGGCAGCTGGCGTTCGTCGTACGCTCAGCATTTTATTCTATCGACTTCGTTCTAAAGCAACGAACATCCAGGACATGTTCGCACGACGTTGTTGCCGTTCCATACATACATGCTACAGGTCGTTCAACTACACGGAACAAACAGCCCTCTTCTAGCGGAAATCGCCCAACTGTCAGCATATTATGAAAAGGCGCCCAACGGCTGTTGTCTGCCAGAGTAGATGATGACGACGCTCCTCAACTGCCGTACTTATAGTAAACTCCAAGAAGAACATATGCTGGGATATCAAGGCCCGATAACTTCCCTCCTGTGCCTTCACCATCTGCTATATACATGTGCTAGGGGAGGCCAGATGAAGAATTGACAACGCGCTTCATTGTTTCGGCCTGCTCCCGGAAAAATCTCCTTTGCATCGACTGAACAAAGGGGAAGACAAGCCCTCCCACGAGACCGGCTCCTCGGGACACCGAGTAGACCTCGAACCACACCGAATCATCACCCCCCGGACCGCAGAAATGAAGTACGCGCATCCTTTCTTCCCCCTGTGAGAAGAAGCAAAGAGAAAACCGCGGCACGTATTTGCAATAGTAGATAGTAGTCACAGCAACCGCGCGTGCAAAGAGGAGAAGAACACGACACCTACGTATGCATTCTAACGTGCAAGGGGTGTGTGTGCAGGATCACGCTAGCGTGGTCACCGGGTTCGTTTGGACCGAAACGAAGTCGTGGTTGGTGCGCTAGCTCCGGCAAAAAATGACAACAAACATGCAGTATTCATTTCTTCTTCCGCTAGTGTCGCCCTCAACGCGACCCTTGGGACAGCCCATGCTAACCACGAAGACACAGTTCCAGTACACCCTTGACTAGGTCGCTAATTTCGCGTCCAATCAGAGGCGACACAACCGCATGTGCCCAGCTCAACGTGACTCGCAGCTTTTATGTCGCAAGGAGAGCGGGAAACAAGACACAAACCATCCAACAAGCACAGCGGCGAATCCGTACCTGAATGAGGTGCCCCATTTTTGTCGCATACGCCACAGCCGATTGCCGCCCCTTGTGTTTCACGCCCGGCAAGAACGAAGCCCAACTCGGAGCAGAGGTGGGTCGTTTACCCGCCCAAAGCGCCCCCCCGCCACCCCCCATCACGCGCTTTGTGTTTTCTACTGGACGCGCTTCTCCGTCGTCAAGAGATCTGTTTGCGTCTGCCCCGGGTGGTGCAATAAACCGGAGAGCTACATCGTTCCGTTCGTAGAGGACTTGGCATGGATTGATGCACCAGACTAGCCCGGCGCAAGCCTTGGCGATTGTCACCAGGTTTCGCTGCAGAAGGGGCCGGGCAGAGAGACGGGAGGGGAGTGAAGCACGCGGCTGTCAGGAGGTGCTACGTACACGCTGCCGTCGCGTTCGCGTGGACGTAGTGTAGCAGAGAAAAGCGGCGACATGGCTGTGGGCGAATGGGGGGTGGGATGCACTAGTGCTGTTGCGACTTCTGGGCTTGATCTGGCGATACTCCTTGTTTTCGTTGATTCGTTCGGCGAGCTATGCATAAAAGAGGGAGCTTAGGCCTCGCACACCGGGGTAGCTACCACTGTAGCTTCTTGTGCACTCGCCGAGTAATTACTGGAAAATAGCGTCAGTCCATCAAGCCGCACAGACAGGAGCCGACACAACGGCTGCACTTCTGTGGCCACCAACAGACAGACGAAAATCGATGCCACAAAGCACACGCAAGAGGTAGACAAGGAAAGAGGGCGGGCGAGCCCAAGAGAGAGGTGGGGCCGTACACACGCCGGGCCGTACCTGCAACGCGGGTCGTGGAGGCCTCTGCCCGAGAAATATTCTCGCCCACGAGGATCCTTCGTGCATCTGCCACCGCAGAAGTGCTTCCCGGCCTCGCGCATATGTCTCCTTGCCGCTCCCAAGGTGCGCCCTGGCTTGTAGAAGAACACGCGTGCGCCGATGGGGTTGCCATCCGGAAGCCAAGAGCCGCCCGCAACGGGCAAACGATAACCGACAGAACTAAGAAAATCGCCCGAGATTCGCTGGAGGCAGGCGAAAACCGTCACAATTACAGAGACTTCGAGTTGGCGGGTGGGGACTACTGCTGTACCGCGGTGTTGTTCTTGCCTTACTGTTCTCTCTTGGAATCCTTGTGGCGGCGGAGGAGGGACAGCGGCATCGCCACCGGCGGCTGCAATGTCGGAAAACCCTGCAAACGCATGGTTGACCGGGCTTTGCTCTGTGTCCTGTCGCTCCAAATACCGCCTTACAACCGAGGCGCTAGGCTCCCTAAAGAAGGTGAACCTGTGGTCCACATACATACGTCAGTGGCAGCAGGGGAATCGGGGTTTACGACTGTATTGTGAACCAGCAAATGAAGAAACTCCCTGAGCTGCGTTTGTGGCACAACATGGCCCACACGCTATGCTATACAATGTCTGCATGTTTGCTGACTCGAGGCAGACCTGATTTCAGCTACAAAGCTACAAAAAGTTCTGCTGTAGTACAGCAGTTGTATCAGCAAAACGAAGAAGAGTGTTTCGGTAGAGCTTTGGATGACTACTACTGCTGTACTAATCATGTTTTTTGCCACCTTCGCTCGAAGGACCCGCCTTTCGTGCGATCGGCGCGTTTGAATCATCCAAAGAGCTGTCTGAAGGTGTCACGCCAGGCTTTGAAATCACGACCTTGACCAATCGAAAGGCCCTAATTTAGTATTCTACTGTGGCGGGTGTTGGTTGCTTTGCCAGTCTGGGCACTACAATGGCTTTGTTGGGCCTGCTCCGCGTCGTCTGAAAGTCGACAATGTCTACCACATATTTACTTGAAGAAAGAGGGCTCACGTGGTACCTGACGAGATCACCTCGGCCAGGAGGAAGGATAGAACACTAATCCTCATAAAAATGCCCATTGTGTACGGCACGACGAGGTTTGTTGTTGTCTTCACTTGTTGGTCTTCTTTGCCTCCCCTGTCATGTGCTGCTGGGAGCGAGGATTGTCGGTGGGTTGCGGGGCGTGCTGGTGCGGTGTCTGGCTTACAGTCCCGCCGCGAGACTGTCAACAGATTGCGCAGTCGTGCAGTCACAGCACAGCACGGGGTTTTCGACCACTCGATACTCGACCACAGGACAAGCAAGACGTGATGGCAAGCATTGTGCCGGATGGGAAGGGTCCTGGTGATGTGGTGCTAGAATGCTGCCTCGAGGGCGTAGAGGTGACGAGTTCGTGAATATCTGCAAAAATCTTGATAAATCAGGAGGTGCCCCAGTCCCCAGCATACCATAGGTGACACAAGATACCACACCCCAAGGATCGATTTTCAAAAGATCGGTTACTCCAAAGCAGACAAAGAGTCAGTGCCGAAAATTGTGGCATTGGAATCGCCTCGCCGAGAGCTTTCCTAAGACGTATAGTATGATGCAGTATCCTCTTGGTCGGGGAGCAATCGAGCTTTGAAAATCGACCCAGGGGGGGGGGGGGGTGGTATCTTGTGTCACATTCTCTACCTCCTCAATACAACATCAGGACAGATTCAGCAACAACTTCTCTTGTTTCCTTTCCCCTCGGCCGCCCTCGCAGTCCGCTAGCCAAGCCCGAAGCGGGGGTGCCCATCGGATAGAGCTCTGCGCCAACTTAGCTCAGGTAGGCCCGCAACACTGACGTGCGTCGAGGTTACCGTTTACTTGGACGTTGGATTGATTTATGGGAGAGAAATCTAAAAGAGAACTTTCCTTCAAAAGGAACGGTCCCCAGCTCTTCTTTTTACATTACACCGGTCGCTCTTCGTATCGAATACGGGAGGAGACGGACGATTATGCCATGGGCGGAGGACCTCTTTGCACCATACACTAAAACACGATGTCCTCTTGGGCAGGGCGGGGTGACGCCTTCAGCCGGGGACATCGAAGGAGCCCTGCTGGCTGTGAGAGGTTCTCGCACGAGAGTCCACGTGCTCATCCGACCACGCCCAGGAGACTTCGTGTATTCCGTCCTCGAGAAGCAGGTAAATACCTTCTGCGCAGCAGCTAAGTCTGAATCCCAAGTACAACATTGCTTTGCAACAAACAGCAATGTGCGTGTCTTTCTCACTGTTGTGTGTGTGTTCGTCCCATCTGCGGGCCAGTCTACACCCCTTCGGTACATATTTGACGTTCCTGTCGCGACGTATTCTCAGCGGCAACTACTCCTCAATAACCGATGCGAATGAAACAGCCAGCGAAAGGTGGCTTGATTCGTCGTACCGAGGGAGTCAGACCTCACCACACCACGGCGCGATACAAGCTGTCTCACGAAATCACCCGACCTCATCCCGGGAACACAAGACGGCATGTTTGTATACCCTCCATTCCCAAGCCTAACGCCCCTCGTTGTTCCTTCCAATTATGTTCTCTCATGCCCATGTGCCGTTCTTATTTCTCGCGCTCGGTTGCCCTTGGTCGCGTCAGGTCATGGAGAAGGACGTCTCAGCGGCGGTCAAGGCTGGGGCGCACGGAGTTGTCATCGGGGTAGGCGTTACTTATCGTTTGCTCGGGAATACTGTCGCGGCAAATGCTGGCTGTGTAGCGGTGTGCCCACCTCTCTGCGCGACACCACGTCCTTGGAAACAAATCTGCGTACGTGATGCACGGGGGGGATTTCTTTGTACAAATATTTCGCCTCCCACGAGCCAAGAAGCGGGTTCTAGTATTGCTCGCTTTGGCGTTGAACTCGTCCATGAGTCCTGACACGTTTGCTCTCCTTCCAGTGTGTAGGCCATTGGGCTTCCTCTGAGCGAAATAAATGGGCTTAGAAGTAGCGCAAAGGGTTGCGTATCCTGGAGATGTTGAGGTGAACATTTGGTCGTGCCTTTCTCTGGCATGAAAGGCGCTGCTTGAAGACGGCAGCATCGACCTAGAGACCACGGAGCGACTGGTGCAGGTGGCGAAGGCAGCAGCAGCAGCAGCAGCATCAGCATCAGCGGCAGCGGCAACGGCAGCGGCAAAGGCCGCGTGTAGCATCACGTTTCATCGGGCCTTCGACTGCTGCACCACCGAGGAGATTGCAGCAATGGAATCGCTTGTGAGGTACAATGAATGCTATATAAATAGCTGTGTGTACACGCAATTGGCTCAGAGTGGGTATGCTTGTGTTCGTTAGGCTGTATTTTCGCGAGAAGCATTGAAACTCCTTCTTCAGTACAATCTGTGATTGCAATCGCTCAGAGTAACTAGACTGTGCACCTTGATTGCGAGACCTTCGGTTCGTGAGAATCTTAGCAGTTTGGTGGTGGTAGTATAGCTCAGCTCACCACTCACTGGTCCGATTGAAAAACAGCTGTTGCTGTCGCGTTTCAAAAAGGAGGCTTTTTGGATCCATCTTTTTCGACCCTGGGCAGGCAGTGAAATCCATGAGTGGAAACAGCTTGTTGGATGCTCTCGCTTTGCTGCAGCGTTCGCTCTCACCCGCGACAACCTACTGCATGCACCAAACAGATCGTCAGTAGACAGGAAACGTGCTGAAATGCAGCACGGCGTGGTACTTATACGGTGATCCTGTACCCCTCCCCTCCGGATCTTGCCCCCCCCCC